CATAACTGTTGCATGAATTCTGTTGCGTGTTGCTTCATCTATAATCCTCAGCATTTGTGGTAAATGCGAGTAAGCTTATTATACACGCATTACTGAACACGCTACAATACAATTATTTTACAGCTTTAGAATTTCTATGTTAAGATTTGACAAAACCAAATGAAATGATACGGGTTATAACGTTGTCTACACCAACCGAGTGTTACTGTCTGTGTTTCCGCCTAATCTACATCGAATCTCAACTTCCGAGGATTCCTTTAGTGTACGCCCATGTGTACACGAGACCTTGGTTTTTCGTCTCATCCGAATGACTAGACGCTGTTCCATGCTAGGATACCTGTACGGGAATTTCCCAAGGAACTTTCTCTGCCAACACCAGGATTGAACCCCTGACCTTTATGATAATACTTATCTCTAGATAACGTATTTACTAAATACTGACTGAATAGGAAGGATGGGAATCTTTGGTGTTACTTTCTATTTATTGTAACTAGCGTATGACACGGCGTAGCACGGGTATAGCCATGAACCGGAAGTAGCATCAATCCCAAACCGGAAGTGGTAGTCGATCGCCACATGGTGTATGTTACTCACCGGTGCGAGCTACCCCTATACACCAAATTGCAGCCAGGGACAGCCCTAGTGTAGCCGCCAACCCTGAACAGACAGACAAACAAACGACAGTCACAAATATCAGTATAGATAGATTAAAATATTTGCACCTTTTCAAGATAGTGAAAAGAGGCTGTATTGCGATATTGAATAACTGTTGCAGGGCTCAGAGATGAGTACTTGGAGGTGGGTTGTGATTTGATTTTCAGCAGATAAAAGTCTTTTGAAATCTTAAAACTATGTACTATAGACCTCAACTGATATTTTATTCAGTAATATTGTCAGGATCTTTACACAGTGCATAGATTCTGATTAATCAGTATGCTCTATTTATTTTAATTCATTACGGGGTTATTCTTGTAATATAACTTTACCTTTGTCTACCAATGTAACATCTCTATAGGAAATCTAACTTGAACAACTAATATTTGAATTATATTGTTCGTATGCAATTTGAATGGTGTAAATGTAAAAGGGGAGGTAACTACAGAATACATTTTGTCTGAGACTAGTAATACGAATACAGGTCACCATTAATTTCCCCATTGACTTTAATGTTAATTCTCGTCTCTTTGTGGAGTTGGACGTTTTCTACCACAGATGGAGCAACATGTGGCAACCTCTTACCCAAACGCTGGTATGAGGTTCACTATGGAAATCTTTAGATACACAAACTGGAAGTAGCATAGAAGTAATTAATATTCAACTGTCCACCCCACATTTCAACGTAACCACATCTTAACTCCCTTAACCCCCCCCCCCCACACACACACACACACACACACCCACACACACACAAAGCATGAATATTCACCAAAATCTGGCAGAAAATGTATATTCAAACTCTTTTCTTCGATTGTACATCAACAGTCAACAAACATCACTAAGCAATATTGGAGAAAGGGGGAACAGGACTAAAAATAACTTTGGCACTTAGTATGGTGAACGGTGAGTAAATCCTGGTTTAGATCTATTTGATAAGGTTTTTGCTGACAACACGGCATAGGTGTAGCACCATGGGTCGTCTGTCAGACGTGGAGAGCGGACAATGGCTAAAACTGGTCGCCACATCCGGCGTATAACCCATGCATCGTTTCTTACTACATGTACATAGTTTGGAACTGCCCTTGATCGTCTAGTATTGTCTCAGGTTATATCTGTTTCTTATTCTTATTATGACCTAGGCAAAAGCGCCTCAAAGTCATATGATAATTCACTTTAACCTCAACACAGAAAATCACAGCTGTAATTGTTTATTAACTCTTTCATTTTCCTAATTTCAAAATACTATAACACTACACTTAATATTTTTAAAGTTCAGTTTCACTTTAACTTCTGTCTCAGGAAATCCCAATTTGGTAAACTGGTAAACCATGTCTTATTCTTGGGTTTCTATTGGTCTGTTTCATCTTCCATAGTCTCAATAATAATGGAAACTTTCGTTTCAGTAAGGATTACCAATCAACACTTCTTCGACGACTGGTTTTGGACAAAGTACAATTTATCCTCAAATCAAACATGTCATTGTCATCAAACCATTAATTAATTACTATTATTTATTAATCTTATTACCAACTCTTACTCTTATTTAAAATTAAATCTGCATTTAATTATTAATAAACTCTGATGTGCCTCTTTAATCATCAGAAGTATTCAATTATAAATCTACAATTTCCTTTATTTTTATAAATCCGGTTTTGTATAAACATTACCAGTGTTAATATAAACATCTACTACCTAATCTCATTAATTGTGTATGTGAACTAAAACAAATACGCCAATGCCTGAAACAAGCGAGAGAGAGAGAGAGAGAGAGAGAGAGAGAGAGAGAGAGAGATGGGGTTTAACGTCCACTTGACACAAGCTAGGTCATTTCGGGACTAACATATGGTTTAATTTTATTTCAATAATTCACCTGCGCATAGGGACATTTAGCAGTGGGAGTAAACTGGAGGACCCGGAGTAAACCCACGAGGCTGGACAGGCGATCCTACTCCTTGTCACGTACATTAACCTCTATACTCAAAGGTCATTTATAACTCCTTTTTATTATTTAATTACATGTACTCCCTAAACGCTATTCGCGATTTACACAGGGCTTTTTATTATAACTCAACCTTATACTCAAAGATTAAATTACTTTGTACTTATTTTAGCCTTAGCTGGTTAACACCATGATTTTGGACTAGGACTATGGTCTCAAAATCATATTAGCTCTAATTAGCTAAATGGACAACACAAACACGAATTTTAACGAATCAAAGTAGAAACACGGCAAACTTTATCCTTAGCTCTGTCGTCTCCTACTCTGATCCGAAGACACCATTATTTTTTTTTTATTTTATTCCCTATTCTGTTTTATTGTTATTCCTGATATACTTTAAATTTATCAACCTACTCCCTGTAGGCCCACTTTAAATTAATATGACATTCCTAAAGGTAATCATATTACATAAATTATTAACCTATATGTCACGCTTGATTTATGTATCCTATTTCCTACGCTTAAAATTATAACCCTTATTTAATAATTCAAATTTTAATGAGCATTATTTGGTCTTTTAAACAAATATGAGCATTTACAATTTATCGGAAAATGCATTTACCCAATTGCACAGTATATTTAAAGTAAAAATTCAAAGTTTATTTAAATAAGTAGTGGTCTCAATCCTATATATGAAACTGTGAAATTCAAACTATCAACCGATATACAGACTTTACACATAAGAAAAAAGTTCACCGAATGGGTTTATATTTCTGTATCTAAACGCAAATTAATAAATTCATTAAATTCATTGAACTTACTGGTTTTCAAGTTGTTAGGGATCATATCCACAAACATCGAGGAAACCGTCCACACTTGGAAATGACAACCACACGATAATTTAACCGGAAACTAGCAACCCAATCTGAACAACAGACCCAGTCTATCCGCAGAGAAGTGAAAAATTTAATTTTAGTTACGTACGCTACTAAACTGGGGCGCGGATTAAGACCACCAGTAAGATTTTCTGAAAACCAGTGAAGCAGAAATTTAAATTCCAAACTGTACCCATATACATTTTACAAATAACAATATCAAACATATACTAAAGGGATATGGTAGCTACAAGTACATCACTGGAAGATAATGTATATGGGGAAGGGTGGTTTTGGTGAGATGAACGAAAGCTGCTTCCTGCGACATGAACTACCCGCTAATCGATGACCAATCTTTCTCCATCGTGGGATCTATCTATAAGATGATATGGATTTCTTCATACATATCTACAGTGAAAGAAGAGGGGGGGGGATTCTTGTTAGGGCATACAGAGGAGTAGATTCGATGGCAGAATGTTAAGAACACCAAAAGGACTTTAAAGAGTTTATTCCAATTCCTTTTAGATCTTTATAGTAGAAAAGAACAGGGCCATCGTTTGACGTCCAAGTGTTGGTTATCCCAAGCGTCTATGGATGAATTGTAGACAGGGGTTTTACTAAGTTTAAAGTGGGTCAGCAAAAAACTATGAGGAAAAGCAACATTTCAGACATAATTTTGTCTTCAAGATCGCATAGAGACTTGACAGGTCATAGAAAGGTGGGGGGGGGGGGTTTATCAGTAGTATCGCAATATCGACTCCATCCCCCACACATCAAATTTAATTCAATCGGGAATTTTATTGTTAAGCAAATCGAAGATGTCGTCTCCGTATTATTTTCAAGAAACTTTATGTTAATCTCATACTTATCTAATTAAATATGCATAAGGAAAGCAGTAACCCTTTGAACCCATCTAAGTTAATTCTATAATAAAACCTATAAAAAACCGTCAAATTTTATTAAATTATTGTGGATTTAAACCTACAAAATCCCAGTTATAGACAATAAATTATGTGTGTTCACTGACAGTGTCAGTTACATATTGTATGTATGCATAATAGCATGCAGTGAGTAGGCACATAGATTGCACTATGAAGAGACAAGTTGTATGACTTCCAATATCGACAAAAATCTTCAAGAAATGAGACAATGAAGTTTTTTTAAAACAAATAAATATAGATAAATAACCAACGACAGTAAAAGAAGATAGCAAATAAAAGTCATCGAAGTAACTGTTAATCTTTTGGGATATATTTAAATCTAGATGCAGATAACTAAATTAGAGTAAAACTTGGGTTTAAGTACGTGAGAAAGAAGCATATTTTTTTAGTGTTTAAATATGTTTTATTCCATAAAGAGTAAAGCTTAATACTATTCAAGATATCTGTCTCTAGAGGGGTAAAATTGACTTTAAAATATCACGTATCTACAACGGCATTTCAATTGTTGATCATGGTTACACTTCTGTCAACAGTTTCTGTCCTCAACTAGCGTTTTGGTCAAAACCACCTTTCTTCGATCGTTCTTAAATTTAAAGGTTGCGTGTGGTCAATTTTAAACGTGAGTAAATTATTTATGGATTGGTGGGCGCCATAATAAAACATCATCAACCAATGAGATGTTTCTTGTATTGATATAAGGACAACGAAAGTGTACCTTCTTTCCTAGATGGGTATGAACAACACCTGAATCCGTAAGGTAGGATACTTTGGTGGTGTTTAACATAGTGTTGAATTTTTTTTTAGTTTTAGGGTTCTCTTCATGGAATTTTACTTGATAAGTATGAGATTTAATATTTAGTTTCGATTTCGTTTTTGTTGAATTTGTTATACTTTATTTTGCTAGAAAAGAAATATTGTTTAAAATTTAACGTTTGTGACATTTCATCGTTCCAGTAATTATTTGATGCGTTCAATTATGCTGTCGCAGTTTGACTCGGTACCCGGTTTGGCTCGGTTCCTTATTTTACAAAAGCTGAGATTTGATTTATATAATTTCTTCACTTAACTGCTAAAGAGGTCTCCAAGAACCCAGCTCTTTATTATTAATATAAATCTTTGATTATTAGGGTTTCACACTGCGTAGCTTGTGTGAAACACTATTGTTTTTGTTCGGATTATAATTCTTCTTATTATTATTATTATTTTTCCATTTAAGCATATCTCAGAAACTATTTGTCGGATCGATTCGATGTCTTCGGTTTTACTGGAAAAGTGGGTTTGACTTAAATTTTAAAGCTATTTCTAAAGTTCTGCGACAATGCGAAATGTCCGAAATCACCGAAGTTGTCGTTTTTCGAAATTTTGCCGTAATATTATCAATAATTGTAATATTTGATACATTTTGACATAGCCGGAGACAAGGCACATAGCTACAGTTCTTTAGATTTTTTTATTTTCGGAGATATTAGGCGCCAAATTTTGAAAATTTAAATTTTTACGAAAAACTTTTTTCATTAATGAATATTTTTATGTGGTATTTTACCTAAGGTTAAAGAGTCATCTGATTTGACCAAAAATTGCAACATTTTTTGTCACCGTATATTTCCTTGGCCCCCATTGGCTAATTTAGTTTTTCAGTCCTGGATTAATTATTTTTTATTGTTCGATTTGTATAAAACAAATGCTCCGTGGTCCAAAATGTCATTTTTTTTGTTACCGGTAAAGTTGCCTTTCGGCAACGGAAGTTACGTAAATTTAGCAAAAACTGCAATTTTGACAGTTCGGTATCACTTTTTGAGAGCAAATATTATTTTTTTTCAAATCTGGTATGACTGAAAGGGTGTGCCCTATTAAGGCACAGAAATCATCGCGCTCAGTTATTTTAATTTTTATTTCGTTTTCGGATCGTTTCGATTTAAAGGTGAAAATGAGCTATTCACAACCCATTCAGGCTTTTCATATTTTAAAATATTTCTTCACAACTTTCATAAACAAGTAGCAATAATCCATACGAAGAGAATGTATGTGAAAATTAGTTTGTAATATGAGCAGTTGCCGAGAAATGGGCAATTTTGCATGAGTCACTATTACGCTAGTTTGCCTGTAAAAGAGTCAATTATTATTCGATTTTCATAAAAGTGACACCATTTGATGCGTAATGTCAATTTTAACTAGGTCAAACCAATTTAACATTTTTAATGTCACCGGAAATGACGTAATTTGGGCAAAAACTGTATTTGGTCTATAATAGTGGCAATTATTATTCGATTTATATGTGATGCCTTATGCTATTTCTGATTTCATAAAACTAACTTAACATTTTCATTATCACCGGAAGTAAGGTAATTTTGTCAGGATCACTTACATATAACAAATGTATACAATGAATTGATATTGCAGGATTTGGTTGATTCTACGTACATTTTATTTGATGCGTGCAATGCTTATATGGAAACCTTTTTAATGGTTTCATCGGTACCGGAAGTGACATGTTCAAGGGTAACGGGGCATCGGTGAAACCCGTCTTTACTGCATCGCAGTTCTAGTTCTAATTCTTTATTACATCTTGTCTGCTTTGGTTGATTTAGTGGTGTATATTATATGTTTATGTAAGCCTTCCTTTTAACTTGCAAAACTGTCATCTATGTTCATATATTTTTTTTTTTTTTGGGGGGGGGGGGTTGACAAACCGCGACAACGGCGCCTAGTTCAATCTATATATGATCGACCATCCCTATAGTTATAACATATTTGTTGTTTGTTTGTTTTTTTTTGGGGGGGGGTTGTCTTCTTTGATTTCCCTTTGATTTGCTTTTTTTTTTGGGGGGGGGGCTGGATTTGTTTTGGTTTTTTTATACTGGAATTTGGATTTGTTTGTTTTCTTTTTTATCTATTGATAATATCGTTTTTTAAATTGATTTTCGGGAACCGAGCGACTTTGTTTATTCTTCGACTTTGTAGCATTACTTAATAAGGTATGATGTCTGTGGATAAAAAAAAACAAACAAAAAAAAACAAGACGTTCCCACAGACTGTAAGTGGAATAATTCACATTACTGTGTGATGGAAATTGATTTTCTACAAAGTGGAAACTTTTCTTATTAAGGGAATTGAAGAAATGTTTTTCATTGTTAAACATTCTTTGTTTTCTCATAGCTTATTACCGAAAACCGGTCTACCAGTGTTAAAGGTCCGACCAACTGTAGGGTATGTGTAATCAACCTTTGGTTGTGTTTAATTTGATTCTACTAAAATAAAAAAGAGTTCAAGTAGTGTGATCATTCTGTCGCCCAATAACGAAACACGAGAAAGGATGAAATTTATTTAAGAAAGAATTTATATCCTTTAAACATATAGAAAATACTGATAGGCATAAAGTTAATGTGTGTTGAATTATATTTTAAGCTCACTGCCATTACGTAGTTGAGACACAATTTCCAATTTGAACAAACAACGTCAAGGTACATATAATGATATGAACAATTTTAAATATAAAATAAACAGTCTTTCCTGTAATTTATTTATATAGCAAGGAAGCATATTGAACAATTTCAGGTCACTTACATTCAAATTATTTGTGTGTATTTAATTGCACTTTAAAGAACAAGTAATAGCTGGAATTTGAAAAAGGGCGGCCTGGTGAAATTCTCACCCCCTTTTATAGCACACCCTATGTTCATCTCAGAATTTTGTCCAAATGTTTTTTTCCTGTCAAGATATCAATGTGTTTTCTCCCAATTTCTCTGCTACTCCATTATTCGGCCCTGGACATGGTTTCATCCCAAAAGTACATCTGCAATGATTATGATATCATATTGAAGGTTTGATAAGCCCTGAAATGTGAAGTGAAATAAATTATAAACCTTTATAAAGTAGATATTTCGACACTGAGTAAATACATATTTGATGTAACCTATCAACGTATTTGATGTGCTTTATGTTTGTCAGCATTGTAAATTAAACACAAATATAAATAAATACACGTAAAGATATCAACGGTCTATTTGTTGTGTGAGGAATTTTTTTATAACAAAAACTATTTACATTTTCATTTGTGTTTTTTTTTTTTTTTTTTTGGGGGGGGGGGTCCCCGTAGTTGAATGATTATTTTCCTTCAAAAGAGCTATACAGAAAGAATATATGTTTTAAACTTTGCTAGCAGCTTATAGCCAACCCTATGTCTAAACCTGGAATCCAAATGATTTCGTGTATGATATATTTAGCTAATCGCTAGGCTATAGGAAATAAAAGCTAAACATAGTATTATATCCTAATTGCTACGAATCCTTGTTACGTCTAAAATACCATGATTAAAGATAGGCTCCCAGAAAAGTATTTATCGGGTGGTTATTTTCAATAAAAGTATGGCAATTTTGGTATATGGAAATTAGAGATATCCAATCTTACTAGAAAAATACTGGATTCCCTGAAAAACACCCATGGAGCGTATACAGGACAAAAATGTCAGGTTTCCCTAATCGACAGCCCGACGATTAGGAATATCTGCACGCGTGACGTCAAAGGTTACACGCGGCGACTGAGCGCTTGATACATGTACATGTTGATAAACTTTATGAAGAGTTAGTCGTACAACACTTTCTGAGATAAAAATCACGGAAAAAGACGTGGGCAGTGGATAATCCGAGAATTTAATTAGGATTTGATATTTGTATGCAACGAATTCTCCTCCGACTTCGCACCCGTAAGTCACGTGACACAAACATAACCTCTTTTGATCGATTTTTTTAGCAAGGGTATTCCTTGACAATTACAATGTTTTGAGAAGGATTTGAAGCAAATTTATGATAAATTAATTAGTTTGAATATGTTTTTAGGCCAAATATATCATCAAATCACCCAGTTTGTACACTGGAATGTATCTTTAATGGACAGACTGCATAAAGTAAATGAATCACACTATAAATCTATAAGTTATTTAATATTTCGTATATTATTTGGGCTTCATTAAAAACATATATGTATATTTTGTACTTTTTACAGATATTTGCAACTGTGTGGGGACCTACCTTAATATTTTCCCCATCAAATATCGATAGTTCGAGTGTAAATGCTTCTTAGGAAACTATATAATAATGATACAGTGAAAAATCTTTAATCGTCAGTAAACAGTAAAGTCAATTAAAACACAGTAATTAATTGTTACTTATTACCTAACAATTCTCAGTAATTTCATAAATTTCCTGTCTGGTAGATATATATGTTTTTCACGAACATTAAAGCCAACACAGAAGCGCGACAGCTGGGAAGAATTTGAATCCAAGTACTTTCAAATCTTAATATAATAGAAATTCTAGCTGTTTTGATCGTGCCTTTTCTTTAAATAGTCACGCTGTGACGTTAATAGTTCAGACCTTTTTCTAAGTCGACCAAAGTTGACTGGTCATGCTTCTCTGCAATGGTGAGTATAACTGCAATATAGATCATTTGTAATTGATTTTAATTACGTGTTTCGGACTTTCGGTCGAAACACGTATTGTTTCTGATCTGTAAGTCTTTTTATTAAGATTTTCTTTCTTTTTTCTTTTTTTTGGGGGGGGGGGATTTAGTCAGTTTGTGTAGCCAAAACTGTCCATGGTGCAAACATTCTGTCAACGCAGATGTTGTTGACCTACGTGGATCTATTTATTTAATATAAATTGGGTCATTTTTGACAAACAGGAAGAGTTTTACGGATGGAACAAAAATTAATCACAGATTGCCCATATCTCGTTTATTTTTCAATGAATCTTCGTCGGGTTTTCATTTTTGGATTCTTTGAACGAATCCCATATGGGCTCTGACTGACGGTTTTTCGAAATTCGGAAGTTGGCTCGATTAGTTCTAGAATCAAATATTTGCGAAAGTTTTCTTCAGCATTTTTTCGATATTCAAGATGGCGTATCAAGTTGAAACTTGGCAGGAATACGGAACACATTAATGCCTTCAAATTGGCATATTAATAACTTTTGTGGCGGCTTTCGGAAACCTTCGGAAAATATCGAGGCCTTCCGATTTTCCCGAACATGAATAGTTCTCTCCATTTCAAAAATAGACTAAAAATGACATATGGTGGTGTTAGCCCAAGATATTATCTTTCATTTTCAGAGACTTTGTTCAATAACATTTTCAACCGTTTGGCCGCCATATTGGATTTTGGAAAAAAAAACCCTTCAAATCGATTTTCAGGCGCAATTTTGATTCCGATTTTCGAAAACTTATTTTTTGTTTTGAACCTGCTCCGTATGGCAATAATTCTTAATGAGTCGATTTTTTAATTTCGATTTTGTTTACTTCCGGTTTCATTTTAAATTTTGTTCGACTTTTCACCTTCTAGCCGGTGACTTAGCCGTTCAATGACTCTTGACCTTTGCATATATGATGACCCTGAAGTCTACTGACAAATAATTCCGAAAAGTTCTATACTTGTAAGTAAAAATAGTAAATTTAATAGACCGATAGATTAAAGATATTGAAAATGAATCAACTTTAGACGCAAATACGGTGCTCTCTCTGACGTCCGTGCTTAGCATGCCAGATAGACAAAAAATGACATATTATCTTTCATTTTCAAAGACCTTGTTCCATAACATTTTCAACCGCTTGGCCGCTATATTGGATTTTACAAAAAAACATTAAAATCGATATTCAGCCGCTATTTTAATTCCAATTTTCGAAAACTCCTTTTTGTATTGAACCTACTTGGCAACAATCTTTAGGTGGCCGATTTTTTAATTTCGATTTTTTTTTTTTTACTTCCGGTATCACTTCGAAATTTGTTCGACTTTTCACCATCTAGATCGTAACCTAATCTATCCATGACCCTTGACCTTATGATGACCGTGATGTCTACTAACAATTGATATAAAAAAAAGTTCGGTCATGAAGTATAACATCCGGTTTTATTAAGAGTTCAAAATGACAGGTTTCTCCACTTTATTAGGTATTGGATGTTACTATACTCAATAATTCATCGTGTAACTTGAATGTTGACGTGACAAGGCGTGACATGACGTGACGTGACATACCGAAACACGTCAGTTCTCCTTAGGAGTTCTAGTTAACCCTTTGCAAAATGTAAGAGCTAAATCTGTCTATTGCAGGTCTATCTTTGGGCCTTAAATGTTATATAAATTATTAATTAGAAAGTTATTAACATGACAAAACCATAATCAACCCTCGATTTCATCGGATGACTCCGATTTAATGAATTCATTTTAAAATGGAGAAGCGGGGCTAAAACTCGAATGACCAGTACGGTGGTCACGATCAATGCAAACATCTTTTCAAAACTACAACCATTGATAACTTCACTCAAAATAAAGTAATATTTGAATAACAATTTCAATATATTCATTTTGCATTATCTACTTTTGTCAGTCACGCAGAAGGGGCTGAGTGTGGGGGAGGGGCGTGGAAGAAATGGGAGAGAAAGACTAAAAGTAACTTTGGTTCATGTTTGGGTGACGGCGTAGCAATTATTTGTGATCTGTGTCCATACAGATTATAATATGAATGTGAATGTTTTAAATTGTAGTCCATCGACTGGGAAAGTTATTTATATTGTATTAGAATAATCTAAGTTTGGTAATCTAGTGAATATAAGTTTCCGGCTTAAAACAAGTTAAAAAAAAGTTCAAAATTTCGTTTTACTTGCCTTCGCTACAATAGCGCCTGGAAGAGTTGTTATGTAAGTTGCGTTTTGGTTCATGTGAGGAATCAGCCATGAAACGGTCTGTTGTGGCGAGTTCTTGGTAGGTGGTGCACGGAAATGTGGGTAGACATTCGCAGCGAAGACGAAGCAAAAGTTGTATACTATTTCCAAATACCTACTTGAAACATCAACACTCATACGTTAATCAGAGGTCTGACGTCATATGGTCAAAAGCCGCTTGCATGACCCCTGACGCGGCCTCCCACAACAACTACACAGATCTTTAAGTAGTGGAGGCCATCGAAAGTATAAAAAACGAAACGAAATTGCGTTTCCATTGAATATGAGCTTGGATCCGCACATTTTAAAGTATACAATACTATACAGTTAAATTTCGTCTTCAGAGACTCGTGCTGTGCTTTGCTCTACTAATTCCCTATTAATATTCATCAATTGTCTTATTATTATAGTATTTTTTCAATGTCTTTGAAAGGTTAGAATTGAAACCATGAACGGGTTTACTGTAATAGTTGCAGTTTGGTTGGTGTGTGTAGAGGTCTGTCTATCAACAGATTTTTACATTGATATAAATGAAGAAGTTGAAAAAACAGCTACAGTTAATACACGTAAGCCTTAAATTATATAAATTTATAAAAAAGATAATCGGCACCTGTGTGAAGTCTTCAGTCCAATTAAAATTCGCTGTGTGGGGTGGGGAAATGTTCACCAAAATAAAGTCTAACAAAATCTTTAACAAGTTTGTTTTCAATTGATCTGAAATGATCTGACCGTTTATATAGCTACTGAACAGACGTGTTGTCTAGGGTAATAATTTTAACCAATCACAATGACTAAAAACTGACTTTAAAGTCTCTAACTTAATATCATCCAAAGTCTTCGACATTGGAAACACGAATTATTTGTCAATTTAAATCATTGATTTATATTGATATTGTGACCTTGCCGGGAAAAAGATGGGCTTCTGATATTCAATATTTAAGACAAAATAAACATTTTACCATTGGTACACGAATCGAAGAACGAGGTTAGACATATTCCAGAAGTCATGTCAAACGGTGACCTCATATTCTTATCTAGAGAGCATGCACAATAAATACTATAGGTGTAGACTGGAATAACCAGACGCTAGAGATTGCCATTCGATTGAGACTTCTGGCGTATTTCCCCAACATAACTGATTTGAAATTAGAGTAAAAAGGAAACGACTGAATGTAAATCAGTTTATATACATTCATATTACATTATTATATGCGTTGGGGCCAATTTGTGTCAATTTCTAGGTCCCAAATATTAGTGACTCAGCTCCTTTAAAGAGAACATAAAGTCACAAAGAAGTATTTAGATGTTCGTGTAGTGCATACCAGAAAAAAGTCATATTTATTAGCAGCTACTTTCATATTATTTTATCTTTTACAGGTTTGACCCCGGGGAAATGTAATTATCGAATCGGAGATGGTAAACTATTTTCTGTGAGATATAATAGAAGATTTGTGTATCCAGACTCGAAGTATACCTGTCTTCATTTCCATTGTACAAACACGGGAGACGTGAAGCTCATGTATAGAATAAGTGGTAAGACCTTGTGTACAATTGTGGAACCTAATGTATTTATTTTCAGTATTTATCTCTTGCTATGAAATCTCAATCGGTATTCCTCGTTAATTTCCGGAAATTTACAGCGTTTGTGGCAAATGAATTGGTGGTGGTTTTCCGAGTTGCTGTATGGCGTTCGAACTGTTGGTATACAATGTACAATGCCTGGGATTCTGGAGCATTCTATTCTACTAAAACAATTCCAGACAAAATTACTTTTTTCTTAAACAAAAGTAAACAGACATTTCATAAAAAAAAACTTTATCGTTTCTTTAACATCAAATTTGATCGCTTATCTTCTAAGCACAGACTTTCTGGATTGGCGTTGGAAACTTGCCAACTGTGTGCGAGTTGAGCTTAACCATTCTAAGTATCTGAATATGATTTGGTTAGAATTAATTGCAAACTTTGACTTTAATGTCATATTGTCCTTTTCCTTGAGGTGTTAACTACGATATAATTTGATTAACCCCTTTGAACTGCAGCGATTTCTTTTTAAAACAAATGCAAGTAAATTGTGTTTGTAATGAATAGCCCAATCTTTTATGGATATTATATGAGAAAATTTTCATTTCTAGGTTGTAGTTTTAACAATACATGTTTAAGATTTGGAGAAACTGTAGTGGATAACGAATGTCAAGCGTGGACATGTGCAATAGATTATAGAGCTTGGATATCAACTAATGTCTTACATATGGGCGTATTTATTGACAGAATGGTACGTAAGGGTTGTTTGATCGCAAAGGCACACTGGGCAGTGGCTGTGGATATTTTAGGGGCGCCAGATTTAATTTGAACAATATAAATTAAGATTCCTACTGATAGTGGTGATTTAAGGACCCTAATACTTTGCATTTTTCGGGACCTCAATAAATATCCGTAAGGTGGCCCAATGTATGTACATGTATGCAAATCTCTCAGTTTTAATCAAGTAGCCGAGATATTCAACTTATTGAAAGTTGCTAAGAAAGTCTTTTATCATCTAATAAAACATTCTGCAGTAGACATCGCTCGTGTGATAACTTTCATAATATTCTACTGAGCGATATCTACAGTGGAGATATCGGTTTACATGAATTTGATTTATACCCAGAGGGTTGTTGGATAAATCAAATCTTCTACTTATATCAACACTCGTCAATAAAGTAAAAAAAAACTTTGCAAAGCCTCGTTCTTTATTACGTTATGGAGTTGTGTTGATATTGTTTGATATCAGGAAAGACTCGTAGGAGATTCTCTATATATTATTCAACATGACAACTCACGGACCCGTGTGTCGAGGTATGCACGTGGTGTAATATGCAGGGCTATAGATGACGCATTTTCGCTCTTTCTAGATGTACTTTTATAAATATTTATAAATGTCGTATTCTCACTTTTTTGGAACAGGGGAATGGCATGAAGATCAGGTCCCTTATCAGAAACACAATAAACTTAATTATTTAGGCTTCCATTTTATATACTCTTCAAAAAATTCAAATACCTATGCAGGTTGTGATATGATAAATAGTCATGGACACTTGACATGCTTTGAGAGTATGTTCACAGATAAAGAACTTATCGCCCCAACAGAACGACTGAACTATACGCGCGACACGCAATAGCGCCATACACGTGGGAGGGGTTCATTGTCAAATTTAGCACTTCAAAGAAGGGTTGATGAAAACTGCCGCGTGCTGGTTTGTCCTATCCACGTTTGCTTTCCTATCGGTTCTTGCATAAGATTTACTGTTTATCGTATCTTTGCTTAAGTGTGTTACGTTTAATTTGCAATGAGACGTCTTCAACATGATGAACGTCTACGTGCCATTGGCATGCTTCAAATAGGTTCTACACAGCGAGAAGTAGCCAACATGCTTAATGTGTCACAGTCTGTGATCAGCAGACTGTGGAACCGGTACCAACAAACACACAATGTTGATGATAGACCTCGTTCAGGTCGTCTTAGAGCCACTACACAGGCCTAGGATCGATACATTCGTACACGGGTCCTGCGAAATCGAGGACAAACGGTCAATCAGCTTTCTGTAAAATTGTACCAAGTTACAGGAATTCGAGTTACACCCCAAACGATTAGAAATCGGCTACATGCAGCCCATTTGCATGCGCGACGACCGCGGGTTGTGCCTCCATTAGCTCGCCAGCACATGGCAAACAGGCGTCAATGGTGTAGGCAGCGTAGAAATTTGGGTGCGTGTAATGTTCTCAGATGAGTCCAGATTTACTCTGGATTTCACCAATAGGCGTGTTCGCGTTTGGAGGCGTGTAAATGAGCGGCATGCTAACGTTAACGTCATACAGCATGACAGATTCGGGCGTGGGTCTGTTATGGTGTGGGGAGGAATCACCATGACTGGCAGAACGGACTTGCATATTGTTCAAGGAAGGGTCACTGGTGTGTACTACTGTGACCGCATCCTGGCACCGATAGTTCTGCCCTTTGCTCGACGTGCAGGTGGACGTTTCATCTTTCAAGATGATAATGCCCGTACAGCCCGTGCACACCGCGCTAGTGTAGTGAATGACTACATCCAGCCTCGCCATATTGTCCATATGCCTTGGCCAGCCATGAGTCATGGCCTTTCCCCAATAGAGCATGTCTGGGACCAATCTGTTTCACAGAGAATTACGAGTCTCGTATAATATCTCTGTCATAGATGACTGCCTTAACACGTGCTGTCACAGCACGCGGTGTGAATCATTGGCTGAATGGCGCGTGCATTGTTTACATAAGACATAACTGCTTCGGAGAGAATTCTGCATTTTAGTCAATTTAATACCCATTTACACTAAATCGGAAATAATTTTTACCTACAAATACGTCAAACGCCATTATTTATTTTTCCAATATATACAAAAAATGTTTTAGAATTTAATTTGTCGCAGGAAAAAAGTTAATATTTCTAGCTCATTAAGCCGCATCAATGTCATCCTTATCAGTGATTGTCGCGGCCAAGCAAATATTCACTGCGGATCAGTGTGGTCTGGGACATGATCGGGAGACGTGTTCGTCGACGTCAACGTCAACCGACAACACTGCAAGAATTGGCTGTGGCACTGCAAGAGGAGTGGGTCAGATTGCCCCAAACCATGATTGGACGGTTGATTAGGAGCATGCCACGACGAATTGCTGAATGTCTGAGGATTGGTGGAGCAATTACTCATTATTAAGACAAAAATCAAAAACGTCCATTTTCACTTTTGACAGTGTATCTCTTTGCGAGTGAAATGGGGTCGTCAGATAAGTCGCCCATATGAACTGTTTATGTTCATGTGTAGGCAATTGGCCTGTTATTAACATACACTGGTTACCTCTAATAAAAAAGGTAGTGCTTTTCCGAAGTTTTGTATTGTTTCTGAATATCCTCTACTTTTTGAAGAGTATATGTATTCTTACATAACAAATCACGACAAATCGAAAATTATTTTTTCCATCCCGGAAAAATCACCTAATCTTTTCTATATTTTGATTTATTATTTTGCAGAAGACCAAATGTTTGTTTGATGGAAAATGTGTTGATAGGGGTGTATTAATTTATGATGAAGCAAAATGCTTATCAAAGAGATGTACTGTTTTCGGTCGACCATTAGGAAAGTGGACATTGGGTCATATACAGTATTGGAGACCTCATGTTGCTGGTTTGTATTTTATAAATACTGCCTTGAGCACGACACGTGAGATTTCTTCACGGGCTGTGTTTGCGGGTAGGACTATAAGCAATTTACAGCAGGGATTGTCACATCGGACCTAGTTACATCCCAACGAGAAAGGATGGCTAATGGCCCTAGATATTCCCGTTGTGTTTTGGAACTGAGACAAACGTGACTTTATGTAGCAATGCATTAGATTATGAGGGACAATAGCAGGTGGGCCTAGTCGTCCTACTGTCAGCCAGCGAACAAGCATATTACGTATCAACCCTCTCTAGATCGCACGCAATGGTGGAAAAGCCGGTCACTTAGCACCGATTACTTTACTTTTTATCACTTGTTTCCATGTATAACGCGTTAGTTTGGAGTGAGAATGATCTTGAAAAATGCCATCAGAAACTGTATCTCAAAAGGCACGACTGCGTCTTGATCCATGGTCACCCTAGACTCGTTTCTCAACACGGTTGGCTCCCCTTGCAAGTTTCTTAGAAACGTAGGTCTGCGATATCAACCTCAGTATTAGGACCATTTGTCTGCGATATCACGATCATTGAAAGTGGATGCCAACGTTCTACTGTCTGATTTAGACCGGCATACGTCATGCAGTGTGCTATGAAGGACATTTTGTCCGAACAGCGACTCTTCTGACTCTACCATTGAAGTCATCGAAAGCTTTAATTAATTTAGTATTATGATTGAACGGGTGTCTAGAGAATGTTTATAAACATGCATTATGCAAGAGCAAAATCTGCTTATTACAAGTCTTTCTTTAGGCCTGAAATGTTATCTAAATTATCAATTAGACATTAATTAACTTATCCAGACCATAATAAACTCTCGATGTCAAGGCTAGCCTTCGATGTAGGCTGGATTAGATTCCTATATGCCGCTAACGGCCAAAGATAATTAAATCAGAAAAAGTGGATAATCGTGACTATGCTGTTTATATTATTGATTTTAGTAATGATAACCGAGACTATGCAAACATTTCACCGGCTTCTTTCTCGGCTCATAGTGGATCAATTAAATCAGAAAAAGTGGATAATCGTGACTATGCTGTTTATATTATTGATTTTAGTAATGATAACCGAGACTATGCAAACATTTCACCGGCTTCTTTCTCGGCTCATAGTGGATCAATTTGACTGAAATTTTCAGCAAATTACCTTTACACTATCTAGTTTTTAACTATTATAGCGAGAACTGCCATCTCTTTATCTTATCTCCCATAATGTATCTTTAATAGTTGATTCTGGTGGCAGTCGTCGTTACATATTAAAGATACATTATGGGAAATTCGATAACGATTTGGCAGTTCTCAATATAATAGTTAAAAACTAGATAATGTAATGGCAATTTGCTGAAAATTTCATTCAAATTGATCCACTGTCAACCGAGAACTAAGCGATTGAAATTTCCGCCTAGCCTCGATCACCATTACTAAAGTCAGTACGATAAACAGCATAGTCTCGATTATCCATTTAAACCTTAAATCGTGAAGGAAAGTTATGCAGTAAATCGGTTCATAATTCACTAAAGATCGCAGGCTAGTGATGCCATCTAGAGTTGATTATGGTCTGGATAGGTTAATTAATGTCTAATTAATAATTTAGATAACATTTCAGACCTAAAGAAAGACCTACAATAGACAGATTTAGCTCTTGCATAATGTATGTTTAAGGCTGCCTGTCTACAGATGGTTCCACTTAGGAACAGACACTAAGCTAGTTGGTCGACATTTTTAAGTCCTAAATCTACGATTTAGTCGAAAACACTGAGTATACTTCGAGAATTTTGAGAAGTATTCATTCTGCTTCCATTAATGGAATTGAATAGGTTTATTTAGTCTATGTGTGTATGCCAGATGTGAAACGGGGTAGAACCGCATTACAAACAATATACTAAGTTTTGGATATGACGGCCATTCAGGCCAGAGATTTATTCTTGAAGTATAAAGTAGATGGATCCCTGCAGAATGTCGTCGTTATTGACCTTTTATATATTTGCGATTTCCAGTAAGAATCCACTGCTTATATTGGTATTTCTTTTTTCAGATTGTAAGGTTAATGATAAATGTTATAAATCCAAATCAGTATTTAATATTGGTTGTACAACATATAAATGTAAAAATGAGGTAATAAAAGAAGGCAAGATTTTACCTGATGGAAGAACATATAAAACTTATAATATAGCTGGAGGAATCGGCTTTGTCATGAAAAGTATGTTCTTTCTTACCATTATTAAAGGGAGATCCAACTAGAATACGCTCAAAATTTCTCGAAAAAAATATGATAAGAATAACAATATTTTAGTTAAAAATAGTCTGCTAAAAATAGGTGCCGTATCAATAACCAGTGTCTCACGGAAGGAACCCAGCCAAAATGGGACCGAGACAAAGCGAGACAGCGGTTTTATAGTCTTACAACTTCGTTTGTTGCTCTCCCTGAATGATCAAACAATGACATTCCCATATTTTTTATCAAAATATTTTCGTATTTTTATAGAATGTAAACAGTTTAATACGGGTAACTGTATAGATGAAGGACAGATTACTAAATTTGGAACATGTATTGAGTATACCTGTATGAAAAACGGGACAAACGTCATCACCAAAGAAGGTAAGATAATCTGGATCAATACCAAATCGAAACTTTATTTCTAACAATGCATTAATCGCTTACTCTATGTAGCAGTCTGTAGACCCTATTATGTAGTTCACCGTTAGAGCAAAATTTAGATCTTGTATATTCTTTCAGGTTGTCCAAACGCCATGACCAAAGGATGTGGTCCGTTAAATGACGTCATATCACCATTAGCTTGTGTTCAACTTCGTTGTCAAAAGGCTGGAAATCGATATGCATACCAAACCACAAGCGAAGGTAAGACGTAATCTGTAAATATTTGATTAAAGCTGGAGAATATGACAATACCATCAAGGTATTTAATATTTGAAGTATCTTAACCAGTTACGACATGGTGGTTGAGTTTCGTTCAAGACATTTTGAGAATGTCTTTTCCAATCGGATTATAATGAAAGTACCAAATACCATCGATAAAATTAATGGGTGGCTTCTGGTGACCAATGTAATAAAAAGTGACGCTTTCATATTTTATCATTGTGAAATGAAATAATTTAACGTTCTATTGTTTTGCATTAACTGGGCTGATGAAGACGGTATTTTATGATTGTAGGCTGTTATAATGGCGCCAAATGTATCAATGTGGATGAAACGGGTTTCGATCAGAGATCAGATTGTGTGAAGATTTGTAAAAAATTAATTCTTAATGGAATGATTTCTTACAAATTTGTCGGTGGTATGTATTACTTTAGTATTAAATTAACATTATATTGTGTGCGTCTTCATTTTCATATAAATGTATAGAACTAACATCTACAGTAAAATCGACTTTATTTGTGTTAGTTCTGCGTATCTTAAAAAAAAAATAGTTTGGAAGATGTTCCCCTTGGCCTTGCACTCGGTCCGCTTAGTTCGAATATAAACGTGATTGCTATGGCTTGATTATTCCATGACGGTTGGTTTGTTTTCTTATTTTGGTTTCAACATTGGTTGTATCTACAAATGTAAACGCACATATGCAATCGATTCTACAATTTTATTTTTGATCCAACTCGAAGCTCGAGTTCTACTTTATACAAGTATTTACCAGGTGTTAATTCTATCTCAAACTATTTAATATTTTTTTCAGATTGTATTGAAGAAATGGTAGGGTTGTAGATGGCGTATATCCATGACAATAAGACAAAACAACTCTTTAAATTAATACAACCTGTTATTTAATTCTGTTTTCTGTTTTGCATAAAATGTTTGTACGTAAACAGGTCGAACATCCAATGAAAAATAATATATATTTGACCACTTGCCCTTTGAGGGCAGTTGTGCGGGGCGGGGATAGCGTCTAGTCGTTCGGATGAGACGGAAAACCCGAGTTCCAGTGTACATGTTAGGGAGCACGTAAAAGAACCTCTGCCAGCAGGAATTAGAATTAAATATAAGCCGTACTGCTGCTGTCCGGATAAAATTTCTTCAAAGCACATTGCATGGGGTATGCCCACCTTATTAGCCCGTATGATGCAGATAAGTATGAGTTTAACCTCCATTTCACTCCATTTCCATCCAAGTGCAACATAAATGTGTTCACTTATTTTGCGTTTTATTTAAAAAAGAAATGCCATAATACCAATAATTAGAAGGAACATTATTGGTGAAAATGCAGTTCCGGAGAGTACAGTATATTATTCAAATAAACTGGCTTTTTGCGCTGCATACACAAAGACATTTGGGCAAATGATATTGGCAGGCGAAAAAGGTATTTGTAGAAAACCAAGAAAATATTAAACAGATTCTCAGGTTAGTATTAAAATAGTGGTGTTAACAACCTCCAAACCCGACGCATTTCCTTCCATTTTCCAGGATCAATATTATAATAGAACCGATACTCAACGGGTTCTTATGAGGTATTACTTACAAAGGTTCATATAAAACTATAATAAATAATATAATTTTAAAAAGAGACACTGAATAAAAGCTTTTATTCCAATTGAACATACATATTATGTCATTCAACCAAGAACTGATTATCAAGTCATTATGTCAACACTGAATTTCAAAGACACTCTGAAAAAATAAATGAAAAAGCAATTTGAGTTTCAAGTTTGTTGGGATTGCGACAGAGTAACATGGACTCTATCAAAACTCAGAGTCGCATAGTTATTATTGCCCCTGTGCCGGAAACCTGGTAGTCTCTCTAAAGTTGAGAGCCTTTAAAATATTGTTATATACTAACCCAATCGAGATCGAGTCACACAACAAGTGACCCCTTTTTTTACACTACATCTCGTCAGTGACTGTATGAGATTACAAAACAATATGAAAATAAAACAAGCCAACAGTGAGGCTAATGTCCCCCGCAACAATTCCAAAACAAAAAGATGACACATATTAATTAATTACACATGTATCTTTTTGAAAAGTATCAAACTGATTATCTATACTTGGTCTAAGCCGAAAATGTTCATGATGGAACTCGGTCAAGGTTTTGAAGTACTTGGTAGTGATTATTCTACCTAAGTTTCATCACTCTCCCATAAGACAGAATCAAAGTTATCTTGTCCCAAAGCATCGACCAATGAAATTGCTTAGCTCTGCTTAGCTTTCGAAGAAAAACTTAATCATTCGCCTAATTAACATCTACACCAAGTTTAAACATTCTACCTCAATTAAAATGTTATTTATGTTCCAAAGTCTTGACCAATCAAATTGCTTATCCTACTTAAACTAAGCAAAAAATTCTCTCACCATCAATTAGAACTAAAGTTATCGTGTTCCAAAGCTTCAACCAATCAAATTGCTTATCTCGGCTTAGCCTTAGTGGAAAATGCGCGTGATCGAATTCTGCCAATTCGCCTGATAAACATTTATACCAAGTTTTAACATTAGAAGGAAAGTTATTATGTCCCAAAAGGTATGATGGACAGACAGACATGCCCATTTTAAGAGTTCCATGTTTTCTTCGAAAGGCGGGGGACAGTTAGGCTGTTCGATTTTACTTACGACCACCAAATCTGTAGGATATGTCACCAATTTCTGTTAGTTCTTTAATACATCGTCTTTTACATTTCTTAACGGGATCATTTCCTGCTGCCCCTATCGTTACACATTCATCACCACTCTCACAACCTGGACAAAATAACAACACAATCCATTAAACTTAAAATAGTTCCTGATTCAAAAATAACATTATCGATTTAATTGGTTTTCATATATTGATTTGTTTTGTTGGGTGACAATCTGTCTTCATTTAAGGTTTTAAGTCTATAAGGGACAGCAACCCATAAATAAAACCAACCTACACCCGTTTAATCTCTTTCGAGACAGGAATTGAATTGTAGGTTAAAGAGCATATCCTATCACTTATCAAGATAGCACACTACTACATCAAGCCAGTTCAGTAAGTTTAGCCTTTCACATCTAATATTTCGCTGGATGTTATACAACGCACCATAAAGACAAATCCATTAAGATGCACTATGTAAGATTTAGATAATATGGTGCTCTATTTCGAAGCAGGAATTGAATTGTGGGTTAAAGAGCATATCCCGTCACTTATCAAGATAGCACACCACTACATCAAGCCAGTTCAGTAAGTTTAGCTCCTTTCACATCTAATATTTCGCTGGATCTAATACAACGCATCATAAAGACAAATCCATTAAAGATGCATTATGTAAGATTTAGATAATATTATGGTGTTCTATTTCGGCCACTTCCCACTTCGCGCGTCGATTTTTTGAAGGGCGACGTCGTGTTAAAAAGCCGACGTCGCTTTAAAGAACTGACAACTCTAAACGTGGATAATGAAAAAGTAATATATCGAAAATTTTAGTCAAATTATTTTATTCTGAGCGAAGTTATGAAGGTTGGAAGGTTTGATAAGAATAGCGTAGTCTTGATTTTCATTGCTACCATTGTTACGATTATTCATTTTTAAATTAAATCATTAAATGCGATCATATTTCAATCCATTAATAACCAGGAACCCGATGATCTAGAGGATTGATTATGAACTAACCACGTGAATAAATGTCTAATTAATAATTTATATAACATTTGAGGCCAAAGTAAAGACCTGCAATAGGCAGATTGATAAAATGCATTTTTAACTGTTGTTTAAAAAATAAATCTCGACTGCATGCTGCAATAACACATGATCAGTTGCAATCTGGGATTTTTGGTGTATCGCATCATCCTTAAACAAATAAAGGTTAAAAGAAAACATGTCACTGTTATTGTTGATATCAAATTTGGCAACGCAATAAAAACTAAAGCAGTTGCCATGCAAGATAAGATAATATGCTTACATTTTGAAAGAGATGGACACAGAACAAGCTAAAAAATAGCGATTTTACGTACAATCAGGGGCCATGCGATACGCGCAAGTATCGCAAGGAACCCAGATCTTTGGGATATAAACATACATGTATAAAAACTAAAGCAGTTGCCATGCCATGCAAGATAATATGCCTACATTTTGAAAGAGATGGACACAGAACAAGCTCAAAATAGCGACTTTACGTACAATCAGGGGCCATACGATACGCGCAAGTATCGCAAGGAACCCAGACCTTTGGGATATAAACATACATGTATATGTTAAGCTAATCAAAGTCGAATACAAATTAAGACCTCTAGAGGGTCCACAACCTTGGTATTACATACTTTTACACTATTAGCGTACACGGAGTGGTCATTTGTGTCTGGCAGTGGGTTCTCAAGCTAAAAACGCGCTGTTTCGGACAATCAGGGGCCATAATCCAGGACGGTACATTCCGATATGCCAGAAAATAGAAAGGAACCGAGATCTTTGGGAAATAAACAAATATTGTAAGTTTTATCAAAATCGGATTACAATTGTGACCTCTAGAGGGTCCACAACTTGTTGCTTAAAAGAAGCAACGAGTTTCGGTCCGATTTTCATGAAATTCGACTTCAACCGTCATTATGGTGTAACGGTTTAATATACGAACGGTTATTTAAATTGGATAAAAATTGTGACCTCTAGAGGGACCACAAGCTGAAAACGCCATTTTTCGAACACTCAGGGTCCATAATCCAGGAAGTTATAAACACACATTTCATTTCAAGTTTCGTTAAAATCAGATAAAAATTGTGACCTGTAGAGTGTCCACAAACAATTTGTGGACGGACGTCCGGGTGGACAGGGGCGATGACAATATACGTAAACGTGAAAATGTGAGCGTGTAAAAAAAAAAAAAACTCTACTGACCTTGTGCTACAGGTTTGAAACCGTACGTTTTGTCATTTTTAGTACACATATATTTGACACACGGCATAGGACTAACAGTATCACCCAATAAAGAACATTCACCAGTCATAAAGTTTGTACAACCCTCTGAAATAAAAGGTCGTTTTGATGCACTGTGTTACATCTTGCCCCCAATCCCTAAACACCCTCCTTACAGCTCAATATAGTGGACCGAGCAGAAAGCCAAGACGACTGTTTTAATTCCCGCCCAGGCAACCATACTTTTGTCCCAAACAACAGTTCGAACTTATTTCACATTTGCACAATGTCATAAAATATTAAAGTAAAACCAAACTATTGGTCGGAAAATATAATGTATTTTTGAGTGCTACTGCTACACTGGCCATTCGTTCATATTAACTCCGGGTTAGTTCATTTTGTATGTCACATCTAAATCTATATAACTATTCATTGGCATCCATTACTAAACGAATATCTAAGACAGCAGACAATTCTACATTATATTTATAATATTAAACTCTTGGTGGGCATCAATTGACTAATATACTTTAGCTTTGAAATAAAAGAAATGAAATGGGGTTTAACGTCCCACTTTTCTGTTCTATCTGTATAAATGAATATTGGCATAGGCCGTGCAATATGCTACGAGGGAAATTTTGCCAGAATTCCAACTACCAAGGCTTCTTTTACGTGCATGTCCAATGTCAACACAGGGGCTCAGTCTTCGTACCATCATAGAAACTAGGCGATGTTCCCTACTTGCAAGACCCTCCCTCCTGCACCCCTGACATGGTAAAAACCACGCCGGAAAATACCGATGAACTTTCTTGGCTAACTACTTTAGCCCAGTTGCTTAAAGAACAGTAGTACGTTAATTTCATTCCATTTCTGGGACAACGCCGGGATATAATCCGGGGCCTACAAGTTAGCGAGACAGTCTCCTACACCTTTCGTATAAAAGAAAATCAATATAAGAAATAGTTTAATCTGTTTTAAAAGATAATATATATATATGCATTATTGGAAAGAAGACAAAAACCTACCAAGTGACATTTCAAGTTGTCCATCACTATTACAAGTAGATTCCAGACATTTGGCATGTTTGTATTTATCTCCAGGATTCAAACATTGTGTGTTCATTTTACAAGCTGAAAGATAATTTAATAAACATAGATCAAATAACTAACAAAAATATGTTATAGATATGCTTATTCTACACATCATATCAGACATTTACAAGATTTCATAAAAAAAACTGACAAAAGTATAGTTAAGTGAAAATTACAAAAACTAAACGTGAACAAGTTTTTTTTTTATCTTGATCACCTTGAAAACTGTTTTAAATATTAGTAAAGGTTCAGCAATGCACATGACTTTTTGTTCGTAAATAAAAATGGAATGACCATGAATAGGCGATGCTCATATATAAAGAATATATACTAGACAAGTTTGTATTTACCTTTCTGTAGGACAATAAGACCCCTTGATCCGCTGTAATCGAAGCTGCTGCCATCCTGTGTCTTATTTTCTGTAACATCGCTGACACACATGTAGCCGAAACAGTCTTGAACCACCATCTTGTGTCGCTGGACGCATGTACCATTGTTTGGACAATCTGCAAGAATTAGAAATATATCGCTTTGATTATGAACATGGGGAACGGTATTCTGTTTCAAATCTAAAAATGATATCACAACAAGTAGAGCCATCATTTAGTGACAGGCAACGTATTTTTAAACGTAGCTAAGTTTGTAGCACCATGGGTCATTTGTTAGACGTGGAGAGCAACAGACAGGAAACCGGTCGCCACATCGTTTCTTACTACATATTTTGGAACAGCCCCTGATCGTCTAAGGGTTGGTTGGCTCTGGACTGGCTACTGACTCAAATAAGTAACATGAACAACGATAGTTTTTTTTCTATACGTTTTTATGTCACAACAGTTACACAATAGTCAGCATTATAATATTTAAAATTAACACCTCTTTCTCTCAACCCCATTGCTGTAAAAGTCTAACCAGCGTGGCTAGACTCAAGAATCCATTATATCGTGAAATGATCGTCAAAAAACCCAATGCGTGTGTGTCTCTAAAGAATCCAATGCGAGTCTAAAAAATTATTCTAGCCCAGCTCTCTCTCTTATAGGTGCCGAATGGCTTAGGTTAATTAGTAATTTTCCACTCACGTGTATTTCAAAAAATAACAATTTATTCTTGAAAATGCAAATGACCAACATGTTTACTAAACTATGGCCGCGTTAACGGATCTAAATAACCAGCATACTTTCTATATTTTTGGTTATGAATTTAGAATCAATAATTTGTAAAGATAACGACATTGTTTCAGCCATCATATTTCTCCATTTCTGGTCTTTAGCCCCTATGTCCTGTTATTGTCACAATATTTCATAAACAATTTAATTTGCGTTTCAAAACAAACTTATATCATAGCTAATATTTTGGCAACGGTGAATAATTAATCAAAACCATAATATGATTTTACATATGTGTTCTTTAGCACAAATCCCTGCCCTCCATATTACTTACAAGTTCAGTCTGAGGCTAACATACTGGATATTTTTATTTTCATGGTTACGAACGCAATTCCACAGTGGAGTGAAGAGGGCGTTTCCCCCTCCCCTTCTTTAAATGACACTACCAATTTGTACACGGAACCTCGGGTTTTCATCGCACCCAAATAAACGGCTGGGCACTTTCTGGGAAGGGTATTCTTGACAAAGCATCAATAGCAAAGTTCATTCAATACATTTACATCGTTTTCATTTAAAGTAGCAAAGTGAGTACAATATAAACCCTTACCAGCTCTTGTTGGTTTCCAGAAAGTCTTTAATCCAAACACTTTACCGTTGAAGTCAGCTGGTATGGCACCACACTCTGCTTCCATACAATTGGTTTCATTATACTTCTTTTCACCTATAGCAATACATTCACTGCCAAATTCACATTTAGTAAGCTATAAAATATGTAAATGGGTGAACTTCTAGAATGGTAAAATCAAGCTCGGGTCGAGGAATATGTGTATGGTGTGCGGAGCGAAGCCATGAGAAAACATGACTCTGATCTCTTACGTCACCAAGAACAAATTTCAGTAAATATTTTGTTATATTTATTGGTTACATACTTTGAACACCCATGAAAATTATACACTTATCAAATTTGGATTTTGAATAACGAGAGCATATTGAAAATAGTAACATGTTCCAATCTTTAGTTTTGGGTAGGGTAACATATCGAGCAATTCATACACCTAGCATCGTTCGAAATCTGTGCTGTAGAAAATGTAATCCAAGATTTGCAAAGATACATTATGTAAGACAAATATGCCTATTGTCAGTCTTTTTGGCTTCAAATGTTACATAAACTATTAATTAGACATGTATTCACATGACAAGCCTATAATCAACTCTCTGGATCATCGGGTGACTGAGATGGATTAGAAAACCCGCTAGATTTAAAAATTTAACGATAAAATAGATAATCGAGACGATAACAATCAGTCTACGATACATCTTCAAACACTCATAACTTTGCTCAGAATAATGTGATTTGAGTTCAATTTTCAAAAAATTCATTTTGACTCATGAAATTTATCAATGCATAGGTTTCATTGCCTGACGCCTCTTTAGATAACTATTGGGGTAGGGGTTTGGTGGGGGGTCCTTGTCGATATCAAAAGAAAAACGAGGAAAGATTCGGATATTTCGGGACAATGGTATACCTGATTTGAGAAAAACATGATTTTCATAAGTAAACTGCCGGCTTTTTATACTGCATTGAAAACTTACCGACATTGAAAGATACATATCCATTTCAATCTGAGAAGAGCTTTCAAATTTCTTAAAATTGATGCCACAGATACGAAAAGAACAATTTCCATCACTTCTAGTTTGATCTACAGGTACACATTCTCCATTAAATTCACAACCTGTAAACATGATACGGATCTATAGCGGATATTATTAATGCAAAATTGTTTGAAATATATTCACTTGATAGTTTCATATAAAACCATCGATTTGAAAACTTACTCAAAACAAAGGAAATATATTTCTTATGAAAAACATCTGTTCAAGATACATCAGAGATCGCCGTTCGACAATGTACAAAAGTAAACACTGTCCGAAACAATTTTAAGACGATAAATTAATGGATGATCGTTGGCCCAATCTGATTAAAATACAGATCAATATTTCGTTTCGTTTTTTTTTATACTTTTGATGGCCTACACTAAATGAAGATCTGACAAGTTGTACTCGAAGGTCGTGTCATGGGTCGTACGAGCGGCTTTTGACGGAATGACGCCAGACATTTATTAATCAATCAGCGTTGACGTTTCTAGTGGTTTACCCACAGTTCCGTGCATGGCACGCCAAGAAGTCACCGCAACAGACCGTTTCATTGGCTTATCCCTCAATTCAACCAAAACGCCGGTAATATAACAACTCTTCCAGATCCTGGTGTAGTAAAGACAAGTAAAACGAAATTTTGAACTATAAAACGAAACGAAACAGATTGATCGTTGGCCAACAATTAGCTCGTGTCTGAATAGAGTCAGAATAATAAAGACAACAAACATTAAGCGTTCAATAATATCCTTCTCCAAAGATTCACATTCAATAATATTACGCGTTGGCATTGTTGTGTTAATATACCTATCGGTATTTCTAAGTTATCCGCCGATATGCAATTTTCATGTGTTTTTCCGCCCATCGAGTGACTACTGCAAAAGGTGTTAACATCTCGAAATTGATCCTAAACATGTAAATGCAAAATATTTAAATCAATAGTTAGCATTATATACATATCTACTGATTTTGGGTATGTGTTTAAAGGTTAGTCTAGATTTTAAAATAAATACATGATTTAGGCGATCTTACCGCTTTCATCATTGAGTAGGATGACATTTCCAGATTGATCACATTTAAACTTGAGACATCTGAAGCTGCCATGTTCATATTGAAATACTTTATTATTAGGGAACTTTTCTACTGGATTAGATCCTATTTTAAAACTGCATGACTTTCCAACTAGAAAATAAAAATATTATAAAATTTTATTAGTACAGTTATTTTAATTCATCCGTTGCGTCAGACCCATTTCAAGTAATCATGTCTTATTCAGGGGCTATACATATCATCCAAGACATACTTGTAGGGACAACGTGTCGTTGAGCTATACGAATTCTCCCATGACCGTCATTCATCAAATGTTGATCTGATATTTCATAAGCTACATAGGATTGCAATGTAGAATAATTAGATTATCCTTCAGGTTCAGTGCAGGGGCGATCTGTTTTTTGTGGATTTAGTCCATTATATTTTGTAGTTGATGCGAATATGAATTTAATTAATTTTGTCTTCTTTTTTTTTTTACAATGGGCCCCTGGCATCTCTGGGCCCTGGGACTACGGTCGGAGGCCCATGCAGTCCACCCCTGGCTCATTGCCTTATTGGTGGAAGACGGCAGGACAGATCTTGGGTCGGGAAATTTGGACTTTCCTTAAATTACTAAAAATTGGGTCAATAAATTTTCTATGGGATTGTTAGTAATTCATCAGTAAAATACTATAATGTATCTCTGTATTTCTACCTGGTACTCAGGTATATTACAAGCACATATAATAATGCTCAGAGCTTTGGGTTGTCCACCTTTGTAGTATAGTACCCCACCTATTACTAAAATCACTCTTACTCACTCGTTATTCGATTTTCTGTATCAAATATTTTTATTTGCTAAACAGACTGATTTTATTATTCATAAATATTAACTTACGGCTTCTCTTTTGAACATGGTGCACATTTTGCGATATAACTCCATGGCTACTACAGCAGCAGCAAGCCCAAAACACCAACAGATAGATTATCATTTTCATTTGCTCTGAATAAGTAAATCAAGTATTGTTAACTTGTCACCGTTGAAAATAATTGTTAAAATATACTCTTTTCTTGATATGATATTATGGAGAATAAACGTGATAATAATCATCAATTTGCCTTATTGAATCTCAAGGATTATTGTAAATTTCAGAATATTAAAAAATATATATTTTTAAAAAAAATATCTATTCTGTACTTACCGTCTCTGTTGGTTTGATCTTCATAGCAAAACTAAGAAGGATTCATTACAATTTTAGTCAATAATTCATAGAGTAAATAGTTAATGCACACATCTGTGGCAGTCACACTATATTTCATTGGACGAGACTTTAACTATGATTTGGTTAATTGTGGATAATGACATTCTTTTCATAGGCAGCAAGGTGTCTGGAATTAATTTATTTGCCTGTTAAACTGAATACAATGAATGTATTACTCTTGCTTTACGGTAAAGTAGAGGAATTTGAAATAAAATTTTAAATTTTAAAGAAAATCCATAATTATAGCTATAAAGGTAAAATAATTCACGATTACTGTGATTAAAGGTGTGGTTTCAAGCCTCAAAAAGTTTTTTTTGTGTTGTTTATTTTGTATTTTGGTTTTTTTTTTGTTGTTTTCGGTTGCTTCATACTATAACGCGTGCTACTGACTGCATGATTGAATATCATACTATCCATACACAATATAACATACCGTACAAAATTCATTTCAATATTTAGTGTGTATTTTTTTTTCTTCAGGTATATTAGCGGGGGTGAACAAGTGAATAATATTGCCAGGACAAGGAAGTCATTTCCAATCATAAAATATTTTGTGTTCTATCTTCCCATAGAAGGTGTCCTGGCCTGGCTATTATTACATCCGAACACTCCAATTCATTCTCTCATTTTTGTAAAACGTTCATAGAAAGAGACTTTAAAAAAAAATAGTTATTGGACCGTTTTCATAGAAAAAGATTTGAAAAAATAGTTATTGGACACGAACACAGAGGCCCCATTCTATGTATAGATTGTGACTTGCTGTACAGCTATATATCTAGTTTTTTTTATAAAATGTTTAAACAATGATTTTGTTGGAAGTATCAATACAATAAATATATTATCGGTCATTTACGTTTGTATTCCTGTGAGTGGGTGTGTATGTAGGTGCCAGAGTGAGGTTTAGCCGACCCTGAAGGAATTATCAAACCAAATTTTAACACATTTTATCTTGGTTTGACACTTAGGACTTTATATATATCGCCCATGTAAAACCCACTCGATATTGATTTTTCTCACATAACGTCATAAGATATAGTCCCACCGGGAAAATGTATACAAAAACGATAACTGGCTGCATACATATCCAAGCAATGGCAACGACTATTAAAAGCTTAGTAATATAGGCCTTGTTTCGGAAAAATGAACTGAACAACCATTTTAATCCCTTTTAATGAAGTGTATGGGTAACCAATATTACAATTTTCGCTAACATATCAAATTTATCACGGTTTAATACAAACAAATAAATACAAACAAACAAATCAAAATACCAACCAGGTTTGTAATAAGGGATCCCTATAGGGCTAAATGGCGCATCGAGACTTTAGATTTCCAGACATTATAATATATAATCGGAGAAAACCATAGTCACCTCTACAAAATCTATTTGGGGGGTTGGATGGCCGAATGGTTAGCACGTGCGCGCTGTATCATAAGGCCTGTCATTGAGTCAACTGGCGTGGTTTCGAATCCCCGATTGTACGTGACAAGGAGTAGGGTTGCCTGTTCAGCCTCGTGGGTTTTCTCCGGGTCCTCCGGTTTCCTTCCACTGCTAAAGACCCCTACGCACAAGCGAATTATTGAAATAAAATTAAACCATATGTTAGTCCCGAAATGACCTAGTCTGTGTCGAGTGGACGTTAAACCCCATTTCTCTCTCTCTCTCTACAAAATCTATTTAGCCCATGGTCTTCACCGCTGTCCATTCAGGTGTATGTCTGTCCAGTGTCATATTCTAGACTACTCCATGATAAATATTAACGTTTCATGGAATGGGTTTGTTCAGATTTCTTCCAAAATAAAAATAAAAAAAATATCTGCAGCATTTTTAGGAGTTCATTTTCGAACCATTCCACTTTTCAATCAAGGTTCAGGTTAATACCCGGACAATCTTCACAGAAATTAATATAATTAAAAGTCAACAGGGTGTGTATAGAACCCATGTGATCGATTTCACGAAAATTGAGCACTTATTCATAAGTACTAAAGTTATTTTTTACCGAAACCAAGTACTGGTCTTGTTAAGTATGTTTTGGGTAATCTTAGTCAAATTTAATAAACAGTTAATTACTTAACCATTTTTCAGGAATGCTGGTTTTTAGGTACGCTCATGTAAAATAAAGTTGCTCGGCATCAAGAACACTGCCATACAGATATCTCACATTCGAGTGAAGCCTGTATCGTTACAGGCTCGGGACTGTACAGCACAGTGGACGCTTACAGCTCCCTGATCCATTCACTTGATTTGATATTCATTGTTTATTTCTTGCAATGTATTCTGTCTTGTCCACAGGTTCATCTTGTAGGTTTTATTTTGTGTATAGTGCGGTCCTACTGCTAATAGAGAAATTATTAACATATAGCCTAATCCAATCCACAATAGTCCATTAAGCCCACTTGTGCTCTTCTTTAGGTTCTTCTTTTCATTTATTTGCCCTATCTGGAATTATTAATACACACTACCCTGTTAATGCTGGTATATATACTTCAATAACTACATGTATATAACAATTTAACTCAAATATGTAAATATATTGTTTACTGTGTTTTCTAAGGTTACAGAAAATACATCTATATACATAGATATTGGCTATACTTTATACATATATTATATATACATACATAAAGCAACAACACTGTTCAATTAACGAACTGGACAGACAATAATATAATGCTAATAGCAATAAATAATACCATACTGCAAAACAATGTGTCTCAATAAGGCACAACTAACCAAAAGATGACTGTAGGGGACGGAAATTGAATAAAACTTGTATTTAAAACAATCAAAGAAACAATATATAATGGTGCTAAAAAGATCTGAATAATTATAAAGCTATAACATTACTTACATATTACTTTAAATTTATATTAAAATATCACAGATGAGCTTTGATGAATTTTGGAATGCTTTCCATACAATCCACTTAGCTAGCTATAGTACATGTACAATAATACATGTAACAAGATTTACATTCAATCAACAAGTCTAGTCTAACAAAGAAAGTCTATTCCAAGTCATCCATAAAATAAGGCATCACATGAAAATAGCCACAATCTAGCTCAATAATATAACAAAGTCAATTCTAAATAATCCTTTAGTGACTATATATTTCTCCAAGAAAATATGAATATATTATTTCATGGGTTATCTAAATCAAACAATTCTACATTATAAAAATATAAAATTGAAACAATGTATCCTAACAGTTTCTCTTAAAAATAATTTTACAAAATGATATTTAACATCAATTGAAGGGAATCTTAAGAGTTTTACCATAGTACCCTTAAATAAAGCTAATTTATAAAATATAAGAAATATTAAAATATCACCTATTAAATAAGAATATCATATTGTAACCCTGTCTACTTTATAATGGGATCTTGTTAATAATAAGTAAAAAGATAAATTTTTCTATATAAATCTTAAGATTTAATAATAGATGTATAAATATTAAGGCTAAACTAACAATGTTCTTATAAGAACGTTTTATAATAGATAATAATAAGAGTTCAAGAGAAATAATGTAAGTTACAGTAATTACATATCATAAATATAATATTTAAAATAATATAAAACAGGACGGAATGAACCAAAATCACATGAAAAATCACTAACAAATATCAAATAGCATTAATTTTTTCCACTTCAAAACATGTTCTTAAAAGCTAAAATCCATGAAAACACAAAATTGTCTTACCCTAATATAGCTGACAATATGAATAAAATACAGTTCTAATAACTTGTTCCAATTTTTAAATTGGGATGTTTTACACAGAAAATATGAAACGAAAGGTGAAAAACCTGAAGTACAACAGGGTCTGTATTTTAATCACACTGACATTTTGATTTAGAAATACAAAAATCAAATTACTATGTATTAATATTGTACTTCTATCATTATCAAATGAATTACAAACTATTTGATAAAAACTTAACAGTACATAATATAACAAGAGAAAATAACATAAGATTATTATTTTCCTAACAGTATTTGGAGTAGAAGTAATCTATCTGGCTGGATGGAATGTTTGATGTTTTATAGATTGACAGTTCGTAAACTGCAGCTTGGTCTGGTATACTTGTCAATCAACTGATTTGCATAATAACGCTGTTCATCAGTCAAGGGAGGTGGTTCACTTTTACTGTAAAAAAACAAAACAAAAACATATGTACGTATTTAAATATTATAACTGTAGCCTACTGATACAAGTTTCATACACTAAGTGATCAACTAGATTGTTATCAATTTATTGCCATTTAAATTTATAGCATATTATGTCAATTAATCAAGACATCTGATATGTAACATACATTACCAAACTCAAAATTACAGTCTAGTCCTAATTACTATGTCAATCTTGACAAAATTAATCATATTATTAGGGAAAGAAGCGTGGTTAATCTTTTAGATTAGAAAATGTACAGACAGTAAAAGGGTAAAGCAAGATATTGATTATAAATGATTATAAAAGTTTATAAAATACATGTACATGTATACGTTTATAAAATACATGACCCTTGTAGTAATATCGGACTTCCTTGTGTTTCCTACGTGATCGTAAATAAAACTACAGGTTAGTTTGTTTCTACAACTTTATTATTAAAGGAGCTAAATTGCTAATATTTGGGACCTACAAATTGACACAAATGGATCGCAACGTATATAATTATGTAATAAACTGATTTACATTCAATCGTTTCCGTTTTTACTCTAATTTCAAAGAAGTTATGTTCGGCGAAATACGCCAGAAGTCTCAGTCGAATGGCAATCTCTAGCGTCTGGTTATCCCAGTCTACACCGATAGTATTTATTGCGCATGCTCTCCTAATAAGGATATGGGGTCACCGTTTGACATGATTTGTGGAATATGTCTAACCTCGTTCTTTGAGTCGCATGTTACAAATTGTGCTGAAACTCATTATGGTACACGATTCATGTACCAATCGTAAAATGTTTATTTTGTCTTAAATATTGGATATCAGAAGCCAATCTTTTCCCGGTAAGATCACAACACCAATGTTGATTAAAACTGACAAATAATTCGTGTTTTGATTGTGGAAGCTTTTGGATGATATTGGTTTAGAGACTTAGCTACTTTAAAACTGCTTGGCTTCGATGTTCCTTGTTCTCAATAAAGTACAGATGATAGCTGCACAGAATATCTGGGTGAGCTCTGATGAATTTCCCTCAATACCGGTACCCTTTTTTATAACCCCCTAATTTCTGTACGTCATAGACCAACTTTAGCATTCTTTACCTTCCCCAATATGGAATAAACATCCCCATTCCCCAAAAACCGGGGGGAGAACATTACCTTATTTGGTTTAATAAACACGTCATAAACAATGGTAAGGGTTTTACCAAAATATCACTGTTTTTATATATATATTCATTTAAGTATGTGTGATTTGACTCTATAGAAAGTGTGAACCAAATAATTAGTTAAAGATACAATATGGTCGCAAGGACAATAGTATTACACCCTACAATCCTATACTATTAAAAGAAGAGAATTAAAACCCAAATAAAATAGCTTTACATTTCATCATGCATCTATGTATTAAAAGAAAAGTTAGTGTTAGAAAAAAGCAACAACTAATTCGTACAGATGAATTTGTAATAACCTCCCCACCCACCCCCATTCTGGTATTTCAACTAATTTTTTATATTTTATTTATTCTAGAATAATTCAAATCAATTTTAGTCAATATTAACCATTTTATTAATCCATGTATAGTTTGTATACCAGTTTTATCTCTTGTTAATGTAATATCTCGTGTTAATGTAATATGTATTTAAATAATCAGATTTGTAACATCTACACTATGAAATCTACAATTTAAAGAAAGCTTGCTAAAAGAGAACCAGCGGCTGCCAGGCAAGATACGCCCACATTTTCGAGAGATGGATAGAGAACAAGCCAAGAAGAAAGTGATTTTTCCTACAATCAAGGGCCATAATTCAGGAAATTAAAATTCAATATGCGCGAATATCGAAAAAAAAACCCAAGATCTTTGAGTTATAAACTTACATTTCAAGTTTCAACAAAATTGGATAAAAATTGTGACCTCTATAGGGTCCACAACCTTGATATACCATATTTTTATGCTATTTGAGAATGAAGGGCAGCCATTTTGTCTGTCAGTTTCGGGCCGAAATTCGAACTCAGCTGTCTTTAGGGTGTAAAGGTGTAATAATAATGCGTTTTTTTAAATTGGATAAAAATTATGACCTCTATAGTGTCCACAAGCTAAAAACGCGATTTTTTCGTACAATCAGGGGCCATAATTCAGGAAGTTACGGTCCGATATGCGCGAATATCGAAAGGAACCGAGATCTTTGGGTTATAAACTTACATTTCAAGTTTCAACAAAATCGGATAAAAATTATGACCTCTATAGGGTTCACAAGCTAAAAACGCGATTTTTCGTAAAATCAGGGACCATAATTCAGGAAGTTACGGTCCGATATGCGCAAATATCGACAGGAACCAAAATTGTGACCTCTATAGGGCCCACAAGCTAAAAACGTGATTTTTCGTACAAACAGGGGCCATAATCCATGAAGTTTCGATCCGATACATGCCAATATCGAAAGCAGCCGAGATCTTTTGGGGATAAACCTATATTTCAAGTTTCGTCAAAATCGGACAAGAATTGTGACCTGAAGAGAGTCCACAAACAAATTGTGGACGGACGGACGGGGGCGACGACAATATACGTCCACATGAAAATGTGGGCGTATAAAAATAAGTTCTACAAATGAAGAAAAAATAATAAAAATACTAGATAGACATTTACCTATTGTAGACTTACCGAATGTTGTCTCTATTAACAACATTTAGATTACCATTAACTGTTACACTAAGATCACCATCACTGTTAATAGGGGGTTATTTTATATAATGTTATACTTAAATACATTCTATACACTTAAAGCCAAAGGAGTCATCCTAGATATATTTTAACACCTCAATTGTTTTAACAGTTTTCTCTCACTTTTAAAATCCGAACAGTTCAACATTTTAAGCCAAAGCTATATCTTTATACTTGGCATTCAATTTGCAAACTTTAACCCACTTGTATTGTATATTTTGTGAAACGTGACTGATCCATTCAAACCATTCAATAGCCTCACAACTATAGTTGACTCTTGTCCTACGCTATTAGCTTAATGAATAATAAACTTTACAATTTGATGTGACAGACAGGAGCAGCTCCCCAAGGAGCCAAACATAAATAAAGTTGTTAGCCTTATTTATGCTACTGGTATTGCATTTGTAATTTTTATATTAGAATTACAGGAAAAGCCGAAGAATCCTGACAAAATGCATCATGCTATGAATTTTTAAAATATCACTTCAATTTATTTTAGAAAAATACTGGATTACATAATAAATATTTACTTTGACAACACAGATCCACTGTTGTTGTTAAATTGAGTGGAACGTATTTTAAAAAGTTGAAAATCAAAGAAAGAACATAAATTCTGAATTAAAAAAAAAATGTGCAAAAGATGAAGATTGTCAATGAAGAAGTACTTACATTTCTATTTTATATTTAGTATTTGCTGGTAAAGTCTGTGAGACAACACCATTATTAGCATCATAGGTTGTTGTTCTAATCAGATCAGTGGAACCAACAGATGATGGCTGGGATATACTAGTGGGAGTTATATGAACTGTTTTTCTAGTACTAGAAACAGGTGTATAACGTGATGGTGTCGTATAGGTTGAACTACCAGTATAAGATCTTGAAATAGGACTCGGACTTCTAGTTCGATAATCCAAATTGTGTTCGCTACTGCTATTTTTTAATATTCCCCTTCTAGGAAATCTAGCAGGACTAGTGCTTCTAGCTCGGTAGGTATCATGACGATCAAAAACAGAATCTAAATTACGATTAAAATCATCGTCCAATACATTTCTACTTGGAATATAGGGACTCTGACTTCTGCTTCGTATGGTTCTGTTTGGTGATCGGTAGTAACTGGTATCTCTTCTGCTTGAACGATCATATGTAGGATTTTCAGACTGGTATATTGTTGATTCTTTTGGTTCAGTACTACTTTTTTCATGATCTGTTATTGTAGTGACCTTTTTAAAATATTCGTATTCATACTCATCATCATCATCCAAATCTTTAGGTACATCGACATCTATGTCACCAACTTTAGGTACTTTAATATCATTGTAAGCAGCACTGTATTGGGTTGATGGACGATTATAATCAGTATGACTATCAGAATATCGCAATCTTGTGGGAAAATGTTGCAGGTCTGGATAATCTGTAAAACCGCCTGCAGATGTAGATCTATAGTTGTAGTCACTTGTGCTAGTCTTTTCAGACGGTGTATACCTGTATTTTCGATGTGGATATATTTCTCGATGAGTTGAAGGCACTGATGTAGAGGTACTAGAATATCTAAAAGGACTGGTAGATCTTGTTATCGGTGTATAAGATCTACTGATAGTCGTTGTTGGTTTATAATTATAACTTCCGTCCATAGCAGAAGACAGTCTGGAATGTCTTCCTAAAGACTCTGATCGAGGACGTATCGGATAGGTGGTTGATCGTATTGGTGATGGCGATGATCTTATTGGTGGTGCTGATGATCTTATTGGCGATGTCGACTGTCGTGGTGGCGATGTTGATCTTCTATAACTAGAAGGTGTAAAGCGTGTTGTAGTATCTCTAGTAGATATTGGTGATAAACGGGACACATGTTTTATTGGTACAGACGTAGACTCTCTTGTTGGTAACGATGATGTGTAAGAACTAAGTCTTGACGTATGTTCTCTTAATGGTGAATGAGGTCTTGAATCAGTTTGGAATGTAGTACTGGATGTTTGAACCACAGGTTTGAAAGTTTTAACATGTGAGGGAGATGTTGATTGTGTGGTTGATCTTGTTGTGTCCACATCACTGTATCTTTTTACAGGTGTTTGTACACCAGTGCCATACTGATTTTTAAAGCGTAACTGTGAGAGTTCATCATATAGATCATGTCTTTCTTTCCGTACATCCTCTAGTGATTTCCTTAATTCATGTATGGTAGATTGGGACTGTTGATGAGTACCTTGCATTTTTTCTAGATCCTGAAATGAGATAAAGAAATGTTCATTTCTCTTTCAAATTGATAAGACTGGTTCATCTATACGCCAACCTTACCTCAAACATGGAACAGTTCTAAGGACATTAGTTTACTGATTGCGATTACAAGCAAAGCATTTTTGAGTGGCATTTAGTTGGTCTAATGTTTGCAGGGATTTTTTGATGAAAATTTAATACATACAATCTACTTTGTAGACTTGAATTATTTTGGACAACAGGTATTAAAATTTTAAGTCATTATTACTAAAATAAATAGCAGGGCTATTTACAAAATATTCATTTTTTATTCAGAACACGTTTAACATGCAAATTATTGTCAAATACTAGAATACTTACTTGTCTAAGAGCAAGATTATCTCGTTCAAATGTTGACATCTTTGTTTTCAACCGTTCATTTTCCGATATGCAGTTCTCCATTTCTGCTGCGTGTCTTTTAGCAGTTTCTAATGATTGTACAGTTTTCTTTAGTTCTATCTCGATCAAATTATAATTAGAAACTGAGGCAGTTAATTGTTCTTCTAATTCTTTGATTCTGGCTTCTAAGGCAGCATTAATACGTTTTTCCTGATTTAAGAATGTCCGTAGTTCCTGATTTTCAGCTTGGGCTGTGGCAAGATGTTTACGACAATCATCTAATACTTCATTTGTTTTTAGTAGTTTATCAGAAAATTCTTTCTTGGCATTAGTTATTTTGGCAAATAAAATATCATTTTCTACAATAGCACTAGCAAGAGCTTGTTTTAACTCTATTACATCTTCATTTGACATTTCTGTAAGATTGATTAGCTTTTTCCATTTTTCCTGACGATGAGGATCTAAACCATCAATTTCTGTTAAATCACTTCCCCATATTTCTTCATTGACGCGACGAACAGGACCTGAATAGCCTAGACTTATTCTTTGCGGAGATGGACTGATCGATCTTGGTCTTCTCACAATTTCTGTTCCGTTAATTTCAATTTCAGGACTTCTAAAGCGAGGATTATAATAATCTGTTCGTACATCGAATCTTCCTAAAGGAGCATCAGGATATTTACCCCGTTCCAAACCAACATCTTCATATTTAAATGTGGAGTTATAATTTGGTTCGCATACTCCTAGAGACGACTTCGGTCTTTCTAAACTTTGTAGATGTGTTCTGTTGGGACTTAGAGAACGACTTCTGGTTTGGAATGAAAGGTGCATGTCATCATCATGGATATTGAAATCTGAACGGTAAGGATTCCTGATGCTATTGATATCTCTGAATTCCTGCGACCATAGCTTATCATTTATTCTCCCTGTTGAAGAAAATCTGGGAATTCTTCGAGAACGATCTAATGATTCAATGCTGGAACTGATTCCATCCATTTCATGGCTTAAAGAGCCAATGAATTCACTATGGCCAGTGTCATAACCTGAATCATAAGGCACATAATCACTGGAACCACTTCTTCTTTCCCAAGCTTCACGACGTGGAATGTGTCCGGATCCTCGGCCATATGGTTTGGGAGGATTTCTTTGTATATCCAGCTGTTTAATAAAAGTGGAATCTTCATCTCTATAAATTCTCTCAGTGCTACCGATATGTCTAAGTGGTGTTACAACATTAACAGGATCAGCTAGATATGTATTACTTCCTGTTAGACCAAGATTTCTTCTAATCATGTCCTGCGTTATACCATTATTATACGCCTGCATTTCAGCATTAACTCTTCTGATGCGGCTCTCTCTGCCTAAAGATGCTGATGCTCGTTTACGAAGAGCTTTTGTTCTTTCACTTATTTGATCGTCAGATTTTCTATATTCCCTATCATCAGATCGTGAACGCTGATGTTCAGGATCAGTTTTCCTGGTATAATCAGCTGGACTATTTCCTAGAATATCTTTGGGCATACTTTTATCTACATCTCTTCTAGCTTGTTGTAGATCATCGTAATGACTGTAAGCTTCTGGACTTGGTGAGCGATCGTCGCGTCTAGTATGATATCTAACAGAGCTTCGCGAGTGACTTCCTGAGTCTGTGGATGAATAGGGACTCTGTCGTGGCTCGGGACTATGTCTATATTCTCGTTTGTTATCACTCTGATAACGATCAACAATTCTGGTAGGACTACGTGATTCACTCCTTTGACTGTCACTCAAGTACTTAGTATTTTGATCCGAAAAACCGGGTTTATACAAAGCTTCCCCTTGTGATCGGGTTTTATCAAAACTATCATTAAAATCGTCAATGTTCAAAACCAAATCTTCTGGAGCTGAATTGGTTTCTGTTACATGAGGTGAACTAATAGGACCTTGTGACAGACGGTCAATATTGTTCTCCCACTGATGATAGTAATCTTTAGGACGTTTCAATACAATAGCTTTCTGCTCTTCCCTAAGATATGGTGAAGAATTACTTGTTCTAGGTGCTATATCTGGCTCATCTGAATCTTCATTCATATACTCAACAATATTTCCATTAATTGTTTCTCGTAGTGTAGTCTGATTGTGACTCATATTATTACTGGCAATTTCTGTGTACTGAATAGGAGAATCTCTGGATATACTTGAAGTGTATTCCTCAGGCTGAAAAATAATGCATAAAATTTTTAGTCTGCAAATCTATTCTCTTTTTCCAATTTTAATTACTACCGGGTACACAAAAAGTTGTTTTAATTATGATGAAATGTTTAAAACAAAGTTCAATAAAGATGTTATAGTAAAATAAGTGATTTATGTGTGCCTAACAGAAGTTTACTAATTACTGTAGTTCCATTAGCAGTTAGACAATCATGTCTAAATATCATTTAACAAAAGCAACATGTTTTCGCATGGACATGAATCTTTATATGCTTCTGCTTTTTTCTCTTTATAAGTGATGCCATAGGAATTCCAGTAAGAGCCCAATCTTATTTGATTGTGTATGTAACATGTCAAGGGGTGAGATGTTAAGGAGTGGTAGGAGTAGGATTAATCATGTCTTCCAAGACTGTATATTTACCTTGTGTTCACTATAACTCTGTAGATTTTTGTCGGCTAGTTTATTATCTTCTATCTGTAAAATACAAACATCAAAATAAATGTAATGTTTCCCATTGAAAACTCTATACTGAATAGAGAATTGGCAAAAACAAAAATAACAAGAAACTGTAACATCCTTTTCAGAAACTGAATCTATCTCTTACCTTTCTTCTTAATAAAGCAACATATATCATTAACGCATGTTCATCTGCAGTACCATCTATAATATCAGTCGAGCTGAAAGATAAAGACAATACAGGTATATAATCAGAAATATTACTTTATTTCAACTACTATTCTGTAAATTGTTTCAATGGCATTTAGTAATTGAACTGGAGTATACAGGTCACAATTCTATGGAATACAATTACTGCTTATTACTGAGCGACGTTTCAACTAGGCTTCTCTAGTCATTAATTGATAATGACTAGAGAAGCCTGGTCGAAACGTCGCTCAGTAGTAATTGTATTCCATAGAATTGTGACCTGTATACTATTCAGTAATTGTTATTGTTTTTATAATCTACATATCTGCAACTTAATCTTTATTTATTGAATTTAAAACTTTCAAACAAAGCATGTACGGTACTTACTTTATTATATCTTTTATAATACCATATTTACTCTCAATATTACTAAGAAGACTATTCAGATATACTGTCTTATTCTAAAAATAAATCCAATATTAGGACAATATTATAGACAATTATAATTTATATCTAAAAGTCTACTGATTGAAAATTAATTTGGAACAAGGCTATACAGGATATACTCTAATACTATAATAAACCAGCGGCTGCCAGGCAAGATACGCCCAAGTTTTGCAAGAGATGGATAGAGAACAAGCTAAACAAAAAGCGATTTTTCGTACAATCAAGGGCCAGTTCAGGAAGTTACGATCTGATATACAGAAACCAAGATCTTTGGGTTATAAAGATATATTTCAAGTTTCATCAAAATCGGATCAAAATTGTGTCCTCTAGAGGATGCACAACCTTGATATACCACATATTTACACTCTTTGCATATGAGGGGCGGCCATTTTGTCCAGCAGTATTGGTCCAATTGGCATAAAATTCGAACTCAGCCGTCATTAAGGTGTAACGGTGATATATTCAAACGTTTTTTGTTTTCTTTTAATCCAATAAAAATTGTGAACTCTAGAGGGACCACAAGGTAAATTCGAACACAAGCATCATTAAAGTGTAACAGTGATATATTTGAACTTTTTTCTAAACCGGATAATAATTGTGACCTCTAGAGGGATCACAAGCTAAAAACGAGTTTTTGCGTACAATCAGGGGCCATAATTCAGGAAGAGAGAGAAATGGGGTTTAACGTCCATTTGACACAAACTAGGTCATTTCGGGACTAACATATGGTTTAATTTTTTATTTCAATAATTCACTTGCACGTAGGGGTTTTTAGCAGTGGAAGGAAACTGGAGGACATGGGGAAAACCCATGAGGTTGGACAGGCGACTCTACTCCTTGTCACGTACAACTGTGAATTCGAAACCACGCCAGTTGACTCAATGACAGGCCTTATGATACAGCATGCACGTGCTAACCATTCGGCCATCCAACCCCCTCATAATTCAGGAAGATACGTTCCAATATGCGCAAATATCGAGAGGAACCAAGATCTTTGAGTTAGTTATGACACAAGAAAAAACCATGATTTTTCGTACAATCAGGGGTCATAATCCATGAAGTTATGGTCCGATATATGCCAATATCGAATGGAACCAAGATATTTGGGTGATAGACCTATATTTTATGTTTCGTCAAAATCGAATAAAAATTGTGACCTGTAGAGTGTCAAACAAAGAAATTGTGGATGGACGGACGTCCAGATGGACAGGGGCGACGACAATATACGTCCACATGAAAATGTGAGAGTATAAAAACACAATTAGCAGTAGGGAAAGGCTCACTCCAGTATTGACTTATTTCAAGTTTATCTTAAACTAAATATTAATCTTACCTCAACTTTTCTAACAGACACAAATTTTTCTAATAATTTAACAAACCAATTATCAGCACACAAACTATAAGTAAGATTATATTATCCAATTAAATATACACAATATATATGTATACTGAACAAACTATATTTACTTATTACAAGAAGTAAATTGTTACAGATTACCACAGATTGTCCAAGTACGTAGTACTTCAGTAAAATAATGCACCTAGGCACAGATGTGAACATTGAGTTGTGAACACACTTCTATTACATGTTTCTAAAAGCTATTTGCCATATTTCTGTTATCAAGGTGATTTTCTGTTTTGAGAATTAAATTCAGCCATTTCTGCATTTTTTATGACAGAAAAGATCATGTCCCCTACATCAAGGCCACGCCGTTTGAAAAATGATTGAGAGCCATAAATAGTCCTTCTAAATATCTCGAGGAGAGTGATTCGCTCTCCTGGAATTTAACTACTTAAAATGGAATATAATTGTGCCTGTGAGTGTATGTTAATGTTACCTGTTATGTTGTAATGTATTTTATTTATCAAAATAAAACGTTCTACTTCAAATGTTATTAAGTTTCTGTTTGTTATTTTCATGAAGAATAGGATAAAATCATTAAAAAAGGTACTGATTAAATACAATGTACTGTTAACAAGAAACAACGAGAGCATCGCTAACACTGCAATATACGTCATGCTTTGATTGATATGAGCATCGCTAACGCTGCAATATACGTCCACATTCATGCTTTGTTTGATATATGGGGGTCACGATGGCTAAGTGGGTAAGACACTGGCTCGCTAGCCTGGAGGTCGGGTGTTCGATCCCTGCATTGGCCGCGAAAGTTCATTCGGATTTTCCGGGGTGCTTCCCCCTTGTCAGGGATGCAGGACAGAGGGCCTGACAAGGGCAGCTGTCTAGTCCTGCGGATGGGACAAAAAACCGAGGTCCCGTGTACACATTGGTGTGCAGGTAAAAGATCCCTTGACAGAGTAGACTGAAGTGCCGCTATCCGAGCAAAATTTCCCTCATAGCACACTGTATGGCGTATAGCTGTCTTCATTAGCCCAGTTCGGAGCAGAACAGTAGGACATTAAACCACAGTTCATTCATTTGATTGATATGGTACTTTTTAAAATGAAGATTATGAAATGGCTGTAATAAGACAAGAGGCTAGGTTTGTTTTGCCAAATTTACAGAAAACAATATTAACAAAAAAGTTCCAAGATGATCCATTCAGCTTTGCAGCCTGTAGGCGATAAATACAAAAATTGGGAGAGGCTCTGCCCCTGGGGGTTGGATATGGAACAATATAAATAGGTACCACCCTGTTATTGAAATGATTGACAGGCTGAATTCGAACAAAATCTTTTAATTATTGCAACCTGTAGAGTATTTACAGATAAAAACTAACAAAAAAGCAGGTGCGGTACCACACCCCTGGGGTTCGGGACATGAACCAAAATAAATAGTTGCTATCCTTATAGTATTAGGAATAAATATGCCAAGTTCCATTTAGAATTCCAGCCTGTAGACAAAAACACAAAAATGGGCCGTGGCTCTGCCCCTGGGGGTTGGACATAGACCAATATATATAGGTACATCCCTATGCTGATTATTCCGAATTCGATCCAAATCTGTTAATAATTGCAACATGTATATCATTTACAGACAAAATATCATACCAACATCAATAGTTGCCATCTTTAGGATATAAGGAATTTATATAAGTATACCAAGTTCCAAGATAATCTATTCAGAACTGGGCTCTGCCCCTGGGGGTCGGGGCATTCACCAAAATCAAAATCAATGTGACTTATGTTGTCAAGGTATTTTCATGAAGAAGAGGATAAAATTATAAAAAAATACTGAATATCGAATAAAAGTACTGAAGAACAGTCATATTACGTGATATTGATATAAGCGGGTCAATTATACAAACCGAGGCTCTCTATACCATAGAAATAAATAGACTTGGCGAACTGAAGAACTCTGAATGCACGAGTCGATTATATCAACATAATGCCATAAATTAACGCCATGTGATCTACAGTCTTCAAACTAGTGTTGTTCACCCATTTTCATCGATAACAACAAACCAAGGAGATTCAATTCAATTCGTTGATTATATTTTGAAGATTCTCAGATTCGAAAGGAGAGCGAATAGAACACAACCCAAATAATATTTCATGTGCAAGTAAATTAAATAAACTTACTTATTGGTCAATGAAATTCTACCATCAAAAAATGTATCAAGATGTTTCTGACACCACTCTAACAAATGTTGTTTACCAATACCAAGACTTCTTCTAAATATATTTTGTTCTGTAAAAACAAGAATAGGGTATATTTATTGTCCATAAACTATGATAATGAAAACCAGCGGCTGCCAGGCAGGATACGCCCACATTTTCGAGAGATGGATAGAGAACAAGCTAACAAGAAAGTGATTTTTCCTACAATCAAGGGCCATAATTCAGGAAATTACAATTCGATATGCGCATATATTGAAAGGAACTGAGATCTTTGTGTTATAAACTTATATTTCAAGTTTCAACAAAATCGGATAAAAATTGTGACCTCTATAGGGTCCACAACCTTGATATACCATATTTTTACGCTATTTGAGAACGAACGGCGGCCATTTTGTCTGTCAATTTTGGGGCGATTTTCACAAAATTCATACTCAACTGTCCTTAGGGTGGAAAGGCAATATAATAATACGTTTTTTTAAATCGGATAAAAATTATGACCTCTAATGGGTCCACAAGCTAAAAACGTGATTTTTCGTACAATCAGGGGTCATAATTCAGGAAGTTACGGTCCGATATGCACGAATATCAAAAGGAACCGAGATCTTTGGGTTATAAACTTACATTTCAAGTTTCAACAAAATCGGATAAAAATTGTGACCCCTATAGGGTCCACAACCTTGATATACCATATTGTTATGCTATTTGAGAACGAATGGCGGCCATTGTGTCTGACAATTTTGAGCCGATTTTCACAAAATACGAATTCAGTCATCCTTAGGGTGTAACGGTGATATAATAGAACGGTTTTTTAAATCGGATAAAAATTATGACTTCTATAGGGTCCACAAGCTAAAAACGTGATTTTTCGTACAATCAGGGGCCATAATTCAGGAAGTTACGGTCCGATATGCACGAATATCGAAAGGAACCGAGATCTTTGGGTTATAATCTTACATTTCAAGTTTCAACAAAATCGGATAAAAATTGTGACCCCTATAGGGTCCACAACCTTGATATACCATATTCTTACGCTATTTGGGAACGAACGGCGGCCATTTTGTCTGTCAATTTTGGGCGTATAATAAAATTAAATGGGGTTTATTTAACACCCTACTTTTCTGCACCATACAGGTTAATAAAGACATACATATGTCATGCAGTGCGCTATGGGGGAAATTTTGCCCAGAGTGCAGCGCAACAGCCCACTCTTATTTTGAATTTCCATTTTTTGTTCCTTCGAGGAGCTTTACGTCTACTTCCACCAAGGGTGATATCACAGACAAGTATTCCAACTGTCAAGGGTTCTTTTATGTACACGCCAGTGTGTACACATGACCTGAGGTTTATATGAGATTCTGAACAACTAGACACTTTTCTTGCAGTGCCCTCCATTCTGCACCACTAACATGGGGAAGCCACTCCCTGAATACTCATGAGGAGCTTTCTTAGCCTACATTATGGTGAACCCAAGACCTCCCAGTTGTGGCGAACCTGAGACCTCCCTGTTGATGAGCCAGCACCTTACTCACTGAGCCATCGCAGCTTTATTATAGTGTTGTAACAAAGTAGTTGGAAAAACCATCCATGATTCACATAAAAATTGAAAAAATAGATAAAAGAACTTTATAATACCTATATTATGAATATTGTAGTTTAAAATAATGTGCCATAAACAATCTAATATACATTTAATATCACCATCAACTATATCTGTAAAAAAAAAAAAAAAAAAAGACATAAATATTTAAATGTGGTTATCTCCCTTTAATGCACCAGGCAGAGTGGTTTGTCATCTTTATTTTTCATTTCAACTGCTTGGTCTGCTATCAAGAAATTAGTAGTAATGAACACTAGTGCTTTATTGTGGTTGGTTTGAAGTCTGTGAGATCTTGAAAACTAGCTATTGACATAATCCTTGCTAGCTCAATAACAAAATAAATTGCAGTAAGGAAACAAATTTGTTCTCCTAGATTGTTGGTGTGATCTGAGTCCTAAATCTTAATAACCTTTCCTATATTCTGAATTTATTCTTCTACCTGCAACATAACCAACCAGTGACTACAAGGCAAGATACGCCCACATTTTGCAAGAGATGGATAGAGAACAAGCTAAAAACAAAAGTGATTTTTTTGTACAATCAGGGGCCATAATCCAGAAAGTTATGGTCTGAAATGCGTAAATATCAAAAGGGACTGAGATCTCGTGATATAAAGATATCTTTTAAGTTTCATCAAAATCGGACAAAAATTGTGACCTCTAGAGACTCCACATCCTTTGTATTACATACTTTTCACAATTTTCATACAAAGAGCGTCCATTTTGTCGGACAGTTTCATTTCACTTTTGCTGAATTTAGAATTCAACCTTCATTATCATTGAATGGTGATATATTTAAACGGTTTTTAAAATAGGAAAAAAAATTGTTACCTCTAGAGAATCTACATGCTAAAAATGCAGTTTTTCGAACAATCAGGAGCCATAATCAAGGAAGTTACGTACCGATATGCACGATTATCGTAAGGAACCAAGATCTTAAGTGTGTAACGGTGATATATTCACATGTTTTTTTAAATCGAACAAAAATTGTGACCTCTACAGGGACCCCAAGCTAAAAACACCATTTTTCGTACAGTCAAGGGCCATAATTCAGGAAGTTACGATCCGATATGTGCAAATATCGACAGGAACCAAGATCTTTGGGTTATAAACGGGTATTTCAAGTTTCATCACAACTTTGATATACCAGATGTTTACACTATTTGCGTACGAGGGGTGGCCATTTTGTCGGGCAGTTATGGTCTGATTTTCACGAAATTCAAACTCATCCAACATTATGTTGTAACAGTGACATATTCAAACGTTTTTTTTTAAGTCCGATAATAATTGTGTCCTCTATAGGGACCACAAGCTAAAAACTGCAATTTTTCATACAATCAGGGGCCATAATTCAGGAAGTTACGATCTGATATGTGTGAATATCAATAGGAACCAAGATCTTTGGGTTATAAACATGCATTTCAAGTTTCATCAAAATCCGGTGAAAATTGTGACCTCTGGGGCCATAATACATGCCAATATCGAAAGGAACCAAGATCTTAGGAAAATAAATCTATATTTCAAGTTTTGTCAAAATTGGATGAAAATTGTGACCTGTAGAGTGTCCACAAACAAATTGTGGACAGACAGACAGGGGCAACGGCATAATACGTCCACATGAAAATGTGGGCATATAAAAATAGATCCCAAACTGACTGAAAATAGCAAAATTTATCAAAAAATGCTAATAAAAGTAAGCATAACATGCATCCAGTGATTGGCAGCTATCAAGCCCAAAACAGACTAGAGTTTAAGGAAGCAACAAAGTCACAATTAGATTTAGAATACATACCGGACTAACATGGCATATATTATTTACCTTGAACATCAAATGTTAATTTGATTCCATTTTTTTTCATATGATTTACAACTGTTTGTATATAGGTATGCTGATCAACATTTTGTGCTCCCTGTAAAATATAAATATTGAGTTATTTGAAGAGCCCCCTTTAAGGAGACATTTAATTTTTTTTATAGACTTTTTCTCCTTTAAATTAACAAGAAATATCATAATTTGAAACAGGCCATAATTAAGTCTCGATGGCATTAGATTTCTCCGATATTAAATTGATTGGAACGGTTCAGCCATATTTTGATTTAATCTAAAAATGGAGGAGCGAGACTTAGCTTTGAACAACCAGTACGGTGGTTGCAATTATTGCACACGTCTTGTCAAACATTCAAAGGCTAATATCTTCACTCGCAATAGAGTAATATGAATGAAATTTTGAAATTATTCATTTTACATTATCTATTTTTGAAATATTATAGCAAGAATGGCTAGCTCTTTATCTACATCTTGCATAATGTACATTTAAAATATGTAAAGTGAAAATTACTAATTTACATTCAGATTGTTTTAAAGATTTTCTGACTAAACTGCAAATTCAGCATGCTTTATAACTTAATTAAATTTTAATTAGCTTTATTGTTTAATTCTTTGCATAAACATAATAATATTAATAAGATTATAGTAGTGATTGCTTTAACCAATTATGTTCTATTAATCTTCTGGTAATACATATTAGACCATAGAATATAAATTATTATCATTTATACAGATAACTAACAGATATGTAACTTGTTACAATATATACAATAAAAACTTTATATGGAATAACATTAACATGACCCTTTTCGAAGATGGTACTTGTCTTTATCAAGCATATACTTGAAAAATCAATCATGTTTTCTCTTAAATTTAAGTTTCAAGTTAATGCCTTAATGCACCAGAAGTCTATTATTCATTTTTGTTTCATTTAAATTGAAAAAATTTATGGGCTGAAAGGTGTTCTTATGGTAATTTAGACAATTAAATAAAATAAACTGTCTTAGATGTCATCATGACATCAATGTTCAAGGATAGAAAGATTGAATTTTTTTTTCCAGTAGCTGGCAAAGACATCATGAAATCAATAGAAAGTAAGAGGCATTTAATGTTAGGGTTCATCATTTTAATTATTGGTGGAATAAAATATGCTTTTTTGATATAACTGCTTTTTAATAGGTATGGTATTTGCCTTTTAGTTTAGAATACTGTGCCTATATAACACAAGAATTCCTTCAATCAATGTAAATTTCCAAATATATGTTGTACAGTATAATATGTGTATTATTATACAAACTATTGTGAATAACACAACACACAACAAATGATATCATCTTTGATATATACAAACAGCAAAAAAAATGTCAGTACGATTTCAAAATCAGAGAGGCACATTAATCAAATCATTCTAGAAAACGACTTACTAAATGGATCAAAGCAATTTTTTGTGAACAGTATGTTGACACATTAGTGATTAATTCATCACAATTCCAAGACATTACGAGAAGGTTTAGAGTCTGTACACAGTATCTGGTGTGTCCAGCCCGATTGTCAATAACAGCAGTGCAGTGTCTGTACATGGAGTGGACCAGGCGATTGATGAACGCCATTGGCACCTGGAACCACACTCTCAGAAAAGCCTGGAGCAATCCATCGGCTGTGTTTGGTCTCGGTACGAAGTTATTAAGTCTCCTCTGAATTTGATCCCAAAGATGATCAATCAGGTTTAAGTCCGGGCTAAGGGCTGGCAAGTGCATAACGTTGACACTGTTCTGCTGTAGAAAGTCCCAAGTAACTCTGACATGTGAAAGTGGTATGACGTGGGGTCTGAGAGCTTGATCGATGTAGCGCACTGCTGTGATGTCGCCTTCTCTCCCTGGACCAAGATTTGGGAACACCACAGACCCACTTTCTGGTTCAGGCTGATTCCACCCCAAACCATTATGGTTGGACCTCCCCATGACACATTGGTCAGAATAACACTGGCCACATCAGCATATTCTGGTCCTGCCATCTGCAGTTGATACGCAATACCGACGCACAAAACAGTTCTCCATTGCCTGTGTCGCCTATTCTGGTGCTGTTGGGCAAACTGTAGACGTTCACGTCGATGGCAAGGATCATTCCACGGTAAGGTCTACGGCAATGGATGTTGGCGCACTGTATCAGTACTGATGGGTCTTCCGTGTGTTCCCAATGTCTGACGTGCTGTCTCAGATGCCTGTGTGACGGGATTCTGCACGTGGTGTCGCACAACATGGCAATCTTGTCGCCTTTAGGTAACCCTTGGTCTACCAGTTCGGGGGCAATCATCCGTGGTGTTGGTGGCGGGAAAGCGTTGCTGAAGCCTGTAGATGGTTGAACATTGATCTGGAAGTGATTGGCAATGGCTTGGGCAGTGTGGCCAGTGTCAAGTCCTCCAAGCGCCTGGTTCCTCTGAGCTGTCGTGAGTCGTGGCATGCTACTGACGTTGTTGTAGTGTGAATGATTCAACCAGGTATGGGGTGCATTTTATAGGGCTGGTCTCGGTGAAAATCATGGAGAACACATTACCATCTCTCAAAAGTCTGGATGCGTTTTTAATAACATTTCCTGGGTTCAATTCTGTGTTTGGGAAGGAGCCTTATTGCTCAGGTAAAGTTGGAGATGTGGTCACAAATATACAATAAAAACATTTGGCAAGTTTTATGCAATGCGTCTAGTCAGAGTAACAAACCAACCTGAAGTTTCTTTTGCTGCTTATAATATAACCGGCAAGACGATTTACCCAATACTACCCGAATACCACTCCTATATCACCACATACTACCCAATACATCAACATAATGGTGCCAAATGAGCATATTAATTGATTTTTTTTTAAAATAGTGAGATATATCGTGGGAAATATACTTCAAATGTGATTACCGATGTCTGCCTATTCCATTTGCCTCCCTATATCACCCAAATCAAGCAAATAATAACCCAATACTACCAAATACATATCAAATACTACTAAATACTACCCAATATTATAAAATACAAACCTAATGTCGTCAATTAGCAGCACATCAGTATAATAATTCCAACGAATATTCGATAATTTATAGAAAATTGAAATATTTATGCAGTTATCTCCCTTTAAAACCAACAAATAGATTTTAGATTGCTACTCAGATTAATCATCTTGTTGGACTTTGTAGTGCAGTTTGTTTCCAAGACGACAAAGTTAAAATAAGGAAAACAAGTTATTAAAGATGCCTCCGCTATAGTGTATTCATACAATATTACACGTTAAAAGCATATCAATATATAACATAACATAAAATTAAAAGAGTTTTAAAAGAAGTTAACCAAGATTTAAAAATCCATTAAAATAAAATCAGTTGATAAAATAAACAGCCAAACATCCAAATAAAACAGTATTTTAGAGGTTGATTTAAAAATGTTCATTTAACGGTCTCATGGCCTACTCAAAAGTCTTCTTTTACTATAATTATTTCTTCATCCTGGTGATTTTAGTATGATAACACGCTGTCTACAAGTGCACGCGGTCCTGTAAAAAATCATTGGGGTATAATATGTCAGGAAAACACACGAATTTATCTTTACATCTGTCTTTTAATGACTTATTTACGTGTCTTCTTTGTCTTTTAAATGATTCCGGTTCCAAACCAGACGCCTTTAAAAATCCCCCATTGATTCTTCTAATATTGTCACTATTGAACAATTTCTAAGTATTCTACAGTATATATCCACAGGTGACGATGTCGCGGTGATGTCATTACCACCTAAATGAATAGACACGGTCACCAGTTTCCTCCCACATATGCATATGTTTATATTTATTTTTTCATGTTAACAATTAAGTTATTGCATATATACTTAAAGGACGATGTTTTATTTTAAAATTAACGAAATTGCGCATGTTTATTACAATGCACATGTTTATTACTCGTATATATACATTCCACAATTAATCAATGGGGTTAAGATTTTTGATTGGGTAATCAAATTCTGGTTTATTTATATTATCAAAGAAACTGATAGAGCAGTAACAGGTCGCAAATGAACTGAGAACTGAGAAGTGTCGAGAATTACACACTGAAAAAAAACATGTGCAATACCCACCTTGTATGACAGATGACCCTATCAAGTGGTAAGAGACAGATGGGTCATTTTGGGAATAAAATATGGTACAATGTACCATACTTGTTTTTCTTATTTTAAGTTTGTCGTCTTGGAAACCAACTGCAAAGCCAAAGAAGATGATTAAACCATGGACCTTATAAGGTCCATGATTAAACCGAGTAGCAATCTAAAATCTATTTACTGGTTGTAAAGGGAGATAACTGGGTAAACATTTCAATTTTCTGCAAAATATCGAATATTCGTTGCAGTTCTTATTTGACAATATTAGGTTGTTATTTAATCATATTGGGTAGTATTTGATGAGTATTTGGTAGTATTGGGTTATTATTGGCTTGTTTGGGGTGGTATAGGGAGACAAATGGAACAGCCAGACATCGGTATCGCATTTGAAGTACATTTCCCGCTATATAACTCTCTATTTTTGAAAAAAAATCAAATGATATGTCTATTTTACATCATTATGTTGTAGTATTGGGTAGTATGTGGTGATATTGAGGTAGTATTGGGGTGGTATTGGGTAGTATTGGGTAAATCGTCCCACCCTAATATAACTGCATCACTACTCAGGGAAAACGCATTTCATGATTCCAATGTATTATATTAATTCAACAGCATCCAAGACATATAATGAATATTAACATTTAAAGTTACAATTTCATATTTTTAAGTTGTATTTTTAAAATGTATTAAAATAAAGCCCTAAAATGGATGGTATCTATAAACAGTCCTACCTTGTTAAAGAATAATCCTATTAATCCTATAATTCACTATTGCCAGTTGAGAAATTGGCAAAAATATCATTTTCAACTTCAAATTCAAACGTTTGAAGATAGCTATTCCATGGTGGGGAATAGGAAAACAAGGGAGGTAATTGTGTTATTATTTCCAGTGTGAAGATTTTTTAAGTGTGAGAAAGATAACCTATGATCGTATAATAGTGAGTTGACAACCTATTGAGCAAAAGACATAGAAATAATTATATTTTGACTTAATTAGAAAATATGAAATTGTAGCTTTAATAGGCTTGATTATTTATAGGGGTGGGGTGAGGGTTGAACTGATGAAGTCAACTGATCTTTCTGTTGAGATACAGTACATGCTATTGTTTGGTAACAATATTATGTACAATTATGAAGACTAACCTATGATATAAACCTAGTAACTGTATGTGATATTGATCGGTTGTAAAGACTAGGGTATTATTATAAGATAGATTATATATAAATTACTAGGACATTTACATACTCTGTATATAATATTACAATTGATCCCCCTCTCTCTAGTCTATACAACACAATATCTAATTCCTTATATCCTCTACATAACAATGAAACAATTCATCTACTCAATATGTATAGACACAAGTTACAATATGTTATGCTAATAACTACATATCACAAATTTTATATAAAAATGGAAGCACAAACAGCCATCTAGTGGTCACATCAAATGCTCATCTTTCTAGCAAACACATGTGTATTCTGTCATTATATCCATTCAACTCAAAAGGTCCATTATTGGCGCAAAATTCAACATATTTTTCTTACCTATCTCTTTATTTTTGAATATTAGGTAATTTCAAAGAATCAATATATTTAATAACTCTTATTTCTAAACAATAAACTGATCAAATTCCATTAGTCTTTTAAAGATGTATTAAGTAAGAGCTAAATCTGCCTATTGCACATCTTTCATTTGGCCTCAAATTTTATATAAATCCTTAATTATTAATTTGACATTTATTCACATGCCAAGCCTATAATCAACTCTCTAGAACATTGGATGGTTGAGATTTTCAACGGATTTAAACAAGATCGCAAGTTAATAATTTAATTAAACAAGCTGTTCCCATGCGAGATGTATAGCGATTTTTCAGACAATCAGGAGTCATTTATCCAGAATGTTATAGTCCGACATGCGTCAATATTGAATGGAACCTAGATTTTGGGGATATAATCATGTTTTAAGTTTCATCAAAATCGGATACAAATTGTCTCTATAGGATCCAAAACCTTGGTATTATAAAATTTAAATAAAGGGGAGGGACCATTTTGTCAGAGTCTCCGTCCGATTTTCATGAAATTCGAACTCAACCGTAATGAAGGTATAACAGTGATATATTTGAACAGTTTTTAAAATCAAATACCAGTAATATTTGTGATATCTATAAGTTCCACAAGCTAAAAACACGATCTTTTGTATAATCATCTACAAAGATATGGTTCGATGTCTGCCAATATCAAAAGGAACCGAGATTTGTGGGTTATAAACATACATTTTAAGTTTCATCAAAATCAGATAAAAATTTTGACCTTTAGAGTGTCCACAAACTAAAAACGTGATTTTTCGTACAATCACCGGCCATAATCCATGCAGTTGTGGTGCAAAACAATAGTCAGACAATATCGAAAGGAACCCAGATCTTTGGGATATAAACCTATATTTCAAGTTTCACCAAAATTGGATAAAAATTGCAACCTCTAGAGTATCCACAAACAAAATATGAACAAAGGGGCGGACATGGTTGAAGACATTATACGTCCACATGAAAATGTGGGCCTATAATAATGGATAATCGTGGCTTTGTTTATTATCGTAACAACAGTAGCAATGACAATCGAGAGTACACTTTTCTTCAAACAGCGTTAACTCCACTCAGAATGAAGTAATTTGACTGAAATTTTCAATATATACCCTTTTCTGTACTTTTTTTTTAAAACTATTATTATAGCGAGAACCGTCAGTTTTTTATAGAATTCTTACATAATGCATCTTTTAACTGACTTTAAATAACAAATACCCTAAATAGGCATGTAAATTATTGGAATGCTAATATTCAAATATTTGAGAGTGCACTACATTACAGCCATCCAGTTATATGTATTAATTTACTATGAAGAGGGCTTTAATTCCTTCATACTTAGAGAATTTAAACTTGTGACATGAAGGCCTATTTATGCAACATTTAGGCCTATTCATAACAACAAAAATGTCCTGAGAGCTAATTGCTGAAGAAAAGAGATCTGTATGTTTCACAGCCTGCCTCCTCATTTTGCTGACAAGGAATAGCCCTCCAGATCTCAACATATTTGGTTACTGGTATTCAAGACTTTGTTAAATTGTTAAATATTGAAGATCTTGATGATTAATTTGGTTATATAAACAGATGATTGAGTGTAGTAGAACATAGAGAAAGATCATCTGAAGTAAATATGTTATAATTAAATAAATATACCTCAAGTTCATCATAAATACCACATGTAGGAGCTACAATATGTATCAATTCACATAGTACTTTTCCTTCTTGTATATCTGGTATACCATTTATTTTTTTACCAACTTCTTGTAATATTGAATTCACCCAGTTCAAATACACCTAAAATAAAAAAATAAATTTTTAAAAATACTGCAATCATTTAAAACAGAAAATCAATACAACAATGAAGTAAACCTAAATTTATACCATGGAGAGAACTCCTACATTCTTTGCATCATTAGTAAACCATCTGCTTACTGTTTATCGGCATGGCTGAAAAATTCAATAAATTAGATTCTATTTTGTCTTGCTTGCCTTCAACAATACTTTATGAAATAAACATATAACATAATATGGAACACAATTACTATCCTCTCCATCAAACATCACAACGAAGAGTGGCTTTCATTAAAATATTAATTGTGTTTCATTTTAATGTCCATAAATGTCGCCCAAAGAAATACATATGAAATGCAAGAAAATGGGAACATTTTCTATTAAAATTGTCCCTTTCTATTTCAATTGATGTAGGTCAAAAATAAAATTAACTTACTTGTTTATTTGTTATATGTTTGTGTTGAGACCTCGAGTTTAGGTGTCAACTTGGCCAAAAATGAAACTTTATTTAGTGAAAAACACAACAAAATCAACCCAGTTTAATAATTTATTTTGACCTAAATCAAAGAGGTTTAGCCCCTTTAATCTATCCTAATAATTTTATAAAACAGATTTATAAAGTAATAGATTAAAATAAGCTTATATGGCACCTTAAACTGATTAAACCAGTCCTTCATGTTTAAGGTGAGCTTTTTATGGCTCCCGCACAATTTTATAAACGTGAAGGACTGATAAAACCCAACTTATTTTTTGATTGGAGACCACAATCCTCAAAAGAATGAAATACAAGATATCTTTTATTTCATCAAGTTGTAATAATACAATCTTAGTTCTTAGTACAAACGATTTCTTTGTATTTAATAAATTAACCAACAGGCCAATCATGCACAGAACGTTGCACAGGCTGCGGTAGTATGTAATAGTGGCTAAATTAGACAGAGAATAATTACACACTAAAATAAGTCTGCAAAAATACAATGTCGAAGTATTCTTATCTCAATTGACTAGTCTGATTATTTCTAGTAATAAATATATATTTATATTGTCGAAATAAAAACCATTTATATTGTAAGTTAAATATTGTATCTAGGAACAATTTAATGACAGTTTCATGTTGTTACCTGTACTTATATGAGTTTAATGCGGTCTCGTCTTATCAAGGTGGTAAAAAGCAAACATTAGTTGTACAATGACTCTTAACGGCTATTCATATATTACCTTTCTAATAAAGTCCTTTCATAGTCACTAGAAGAATATTTTACAAATAATAAATATGACAATGTTTAATATAATAGGCACTCCTATAACCGTGATATATTATTACCAGATATTTTACAATACACAGTGAAACGGCTAGTATAATCAACTAAATGTTGGCTCCAAGATTTCATTGTCTAGAGCAATTATTATTTTAGTATTCTGTATTTTATTAATGAAACAATTTGAAGAATAACAATAAGTTTTCTATATGTGCGTAAACACTACAGTGCATGTATGTAATATCTATTGACCTTCAATGGAGGTAATCGATTAATCACATTGACAATCATGATTTTAAGGATTGTTGGTAAATAAATCTGACAAAGATTAAAAATATTTCTAACATTATGTCCATAACATAAAATTATTTAGTATACAGTACTACTACCTACTTCAAATATAGACATGTATGTACATACATAATCTATGGCTATGTAGACATATAGTAAGTTTCTTAAATTTTCAAATGTCTTTATCATTTACCACAGCAAAATTTTACTTATATCAAATTTATTTTGAATCCCCAAAATTAACTCTACAAATTACAAGAAACGTTATTACCTAATACTAATCCTGATAATCCTAATCTAAGTTTACATTTTGTATTAAATCCAATCTGTTCACCTTTAGAAATGATTGCTACCGCCGAAAGAGATCAATGCTAATGTGTGTAGGTAAAAATCAGCACGACAGTCAAGCTCAGGTATTTATGGTTCGATAATAGGCTCTTTCACTAGCTATTCATATGTCCTTAACAAATAACTAGAAGGTGGTCTGTAGTAGTTGTCGAGTAACAGTACTTTTAACAGACAAGTCCAAAAAAAAGTTAATGAAAGATTTATTGATTTTATTTTATTACCATGAGGGTAGATAGTTTTATCTTTGTGCATAATTTGTCTTAAAACCAAAATTAGTTTAATCTTTTCAATTGTTATTGATAATAACATGAGTGTCCACTGTAAAATGATATAAATATTTAAAGAGTATGGCAGTGTTGACATTTCTCAACTACATAATGAAGTACCTTTTGAGGAATTTACCATGATACATATAGCATGACTATTTTATTTATTTTAATAATACATTTATTGATCTATCTATATGTGAAGACTCTTATTATCAGTCACACTAATTACTGTTGGCTTTACCCTCTTACATGTAGAAACAGATAAATTAGATCAAATTTCATTGTACACAATTCAAGATATCATATTCAACCAGTTGTGCACCCACAATTATAATGTATTCTGTGTGAAAGGCTCTTAGAAACCTATACAAGTATCAAAGCCCTACATTACTTTTTTCATATAAATACAAACTGTCAGTTGCCATATGCTGTAGGCAATAGTTCCTAGTGAATTGCCATGCTATGACCAAGAACCTACATGTCTTCATACATATTCTTGCTTAGACTATAGTGAGTGATAAATGATTGACATGTTATCAAGTCACTCAAAATACAATTGAATTCTTTTAATGAGTTAGGCAACTCTGTTAAGCAAGTCAAACGATCAGCCTTTTAAGTTGAAACTTTCTGAGAAGGGATCTAGCTATTTCCTCACATTCTGTTGTTTGATTTGCATACTGAAACTCACACTTTTATCACCGTCTACACTGTGAAATCTGGGACTGCTCCTTTCAGAATATTCGATGTCAACTTCCATATTAACTTCATGTATCAAAATTTAAATCACATATGTATCCCGGTATGTGGATACACCAAAAGATATTTTCAATTTTCAGCTTGATTACTGGACCTCTAATGGATACATTAACATACGGCTAAAATATGATTAATTGATGTATTACAGCTCTAGAAATTAATTCCCATTGTTATATCGATTTGCTGAGATTTTATGGAATTTCTATCCGAAAACAATAGGTATGAGAATAATAAGAATACTGAACACTTCTTCAGTCCTAACCAATGAAAGGCAATCAATCAATTACTAGTTACTCAAGAGTCAAATCAGTCCTTATAGAATTTTTACACGCTTCAATGTCTCCATTTTCTTTTTATTTGACATCCCCCATGAAACCCACCCCCACTCCATGAAAATATACTTTGTTGAACAACAAAAGAAATCAGTAGTAGTATTTCTTAGAATTTATAATACATTGTTCAAAACTAAGGTAACTTAAATTCTACACAGAGTATCTAAATTATACATTACAGTCAGCCTATGACAATTGAAACATTTGTTCACATTTTACTCCAACTCTCTTGGGAAATCTCATTTGAAATAAAAGCTAATTTCATGTGGTTTGTGGGCAAACCAGAATAACTTGTATGGACATGTACCAAGAGTTCTTAGTATTTCTGTGATTAAAAGGTGAACTGAAACAAGCAGATTAACTGCACACAACTACATAAGTTTTATTGATAATACCAACATTCTTTTTAAAATCAACATATCACAATTTTTTTCATCAGATTCAAACCATGAATACAGTTTTGTCCTTGTTTTTTTTCTGGAACAAAATCAGGAATGTGTTTTAGGTTTAGAATTCCAGATCATGTCAAACAATGTGAATCTGTGTCAGTTTTTAAATCAGAAAAACAAAAAAGAAATGTGTTTTAAGTTTACAGTTCCAAATCATATCAAACAATGTGATTCTGTGTCAGTTTTTAAATCAGGAAAACAAAAAAGAAATGTGTTTTAAGTTTACATTTCCAAATCATATCAAACAATGTGATTCTGTGTCAGTTTTTAAATCCAAATTGAAAACTTGGTTATTTAGTTACTATTATTATCATTAACAATCCATAATGAGAACATTCTCTGGCAACTAGGGTATGCTCTAAATGAAGATTAAATTGTTGTGCAATACAAATACTTTTTTTTAAAATTTACAGGATACAATTCTATGGAATACAATTGATAATCATGAACTACAGTATGTCAAATTGGTGTTATTGTTGTAAATGTCCCATTACTTTTCATAATTGTACCATTTGCTTGATAAAATTGGAGACTAATAAAATGGTATTTTTTATTCTATGGTTACATGTGCATCAAGAGGAGGGGAATTTTGTCTTGACAGTTGCATTTTTTGTCTAATCTTCTATGATCCTTGAAATGTTCTACCAATTTTAATTGTATTGGTACTCAAAATACTAAATCACGTTCATTGTTAGCTCAAATATGTTAGCAAAATATCTGAATGATAAATTTATTTTTAAAAAAATAAATTTTTTAAAGGATATGATAAATACAAAACAGCAAAAATACAACACAGTAAGAAGTAAATGAACATAAATGAAAGCATGTATTAAAGAAGCTAAATCACTAATATTTGGGATCTAGAAATTGACACAGATGGGTTGCAACGAATATAATAATGTAATATGAATGTATATAAACTGATTTACATTCAATCGTTTCTGTTTTTACTGTAATTTCTACTAATTATGTTTTGCGAAATACGCCAGAAGTCTCAATCGAGTGGAAATCTGTAGCGTCTGGTTATTCCAGTCTACACTGATAGTATTTAGTGTGCATGCTATCCAGAAAAGAATATGGCGTCACCGTTTGACATGACTTCTGGAATAGGAATATGTCTAGAATCGTTCTTCGAGTACCTTGTTACAAATAGCGCTGAAACACATTATGGCACACGATTCGTGCACCAATGGTAAAATGTTTATTTTGTCTTATATATTGGATATCAGAAGCCCATATTTTCCCTGTAATATCACATCAATGTTGATTTAAATTGACAAATAATTTGTGTTTTCAATGTCGAAGACTTTGGATGATATTGAGTTAGAGACTTAGCTACTTTAAAGCACTCCCATATGACACTGAGTGCCATACACATAGATAGGGAAACGCAAATTGTGTTAATTTAGAATTTATTAAATGTATCGCATAAGAAGATAAATCCATAACACAGTTCTATTAACATAAAATCCCTGGTATATTTGTAATAGATTCAATAAATTATCATTATATAAAGGAAAGATTAATTACAGGCAGGCTACATTTAATGGAAATTAATATACTGGTACATGTAGGAAGGTGTTGAAAACAAACAGGTTATCAATAGAGCTGTCTGTTAGATTATACATGTAGATTACTTTCATGTAATTCAAAATTAAAATTGTTACAAATATACTTTACTAAATCTATGATAAATGAGCCAAAAGCAGTCATAATTGCATACAAACTAGAAGAAACCAGACCTGTAATCTATTTTCTATATAAAACTAAAACAAATCAATAAGATAGCTTTGACAACCATGATTTGTTAGAGATGACATTTACATCACTAGTGGATTAAGGTGCCTATATAGAAAGATACAAAATACATATAAACATCCAAGATTTATAAAACTCATTCTTAACACTAAGCTTATTTCTGTAATCTTAATTCTGGTATTTATACTCAGGCCCGTATCCAGCCGGGGGGGGGGGGGGCAATGCACCCCTGAAAAAATGTCCCCGACCATAGCTCTGAAATACCTACTGTAGACTGTGCCGGGTGTGCCCCCTAAAAACTACACTGCCCCTCCACAGCCAGTAAGCTGGCTACGGGCCTGTTTATACTGTATGTAACATTTTAACAGAACCACAAAAATAACGATCTGCTTACAATCTGTGCAAGTCTTGGCTTTTGGGCACCCAAAATCAAAAAGTCAGTGCAAACACATTTTCTTGCTTTTATGCACAATGCATAAAAGAAAAATATAATCATTTATCATTAATCTTTCCTTTATCGAAAGAAGGAAGCATCGACATACATTTGCACATTATCATGGTCACCTGACTGGCACACATTCTCTTGAAAATAACTCTTTCCGTATAATCCATTGGCTATAAAGTTCAATATTCTGAAGTAACCTTTACTGATTTGAAATTGATTTTCATTTTTCAATTAAATTATACCGCCGAAAAATGGCTAAGAAACATGCCAAACTTTAGTCGATGTCAGATTATGCTATATATTACATGTATGTCATGTATCGTGAAAAATCATTATAATATTTTGTTTATGCTATTGATTAATTATGCAGTACAGCTTAAGCTACTGACCCAACCTTTTTCTGGGTCTTCACTGAAGTCTTTCATACACTTTATTCTAAATCACTACAAATGATTTTCAACAGATACACCAGTCCACCAATTGAAGATGCAGTCAATATAGATGAAGTTAAATTAAGTTACTGTATGAAATGAATATATTTGAATTTTAGTAAACCTACATGTGTAGCCTATATGTATGTCTAATTTTACTTTATAAAATATTTTTAAACAGGTGCATAAATGTTGGCATTAGGGGTTTTAATAGTGAAAATTCTAAAATAACAATGTGAAAAAAATTATAAACAAAGCAAATAAAAAAAGTGCAAATAAAATTCTATTAATTGACTTGTCTTTGAAATTATAGCCATACCTCCTTCTTCATGTTATCAAATTGACTGTGAAACTCTTATTCCTATAAAGATGTTAGAAATATTCATGGTCAATAAAAAAAAATGTTACATGTCAAACATTAATTACAATGACATGATCTGATATTATGTAATCACTTCACAACTTTTCCTTGGGTCACACTTTCTGGTTTTGGCAGTTTGCCCCATATTTCCCATGACCCTGATTTTGCAGCTGAAATGAAAGCAGTTTTATTAACTCTTACTGCTAACAGGATTATGGGTTAATTCAATAATTGATTAAAACAACACTTCAATCATGTCAACAATCCCTTAGTGAGTCCATAGTTACCAAATTATATTGAACAAATTTATATATAATACTGCCCTTTTCAAAGATAAATTTTACATGCTTTTTTTTATGTTAAATGAATGATTCAATCTGTGGTTTATTTTTGGATCTATAAAATCAGCACTAGAAAGTAAAAAGCTAAAAAAATAAATAATAAACTTTCACTTTCACTCATCTCAGATAAATTTATTTCTTAAAATCAATTTTGACAGCTTGTCCTATTTGAAAAATTAAAGGTCTATTTTCATTTTTTTCTGTAGGGATTCCATTATTTATTAACATTGTTTATCAAATCTGTAGACCAATATTATTGTATAAATAAAATCCTGAAATAAATATAGGCCTATACTTTTATTCCTGACACTAGTGACAGGTTTAAAATGTCTTTGATCTGGCAATTCCCACGTCATCGTTGTCCTGACTTCTGGCTGAATTAATAACTAAAACTGTAAAAACCTCTGATTGAATAAACAACCTTTTGAATATTAATTATTATGTTGCAAAGTTCATCTCAAATCCACCAGCCTTTATTCTGGGACACATATTGGTAGGAGTCGTCCATTCGTCCATTTCACCGATGCAATTCTTTTCCCTTCTTTAGTCTGAGAAGGCAAGCCTGGTCATGCAGACGATTTTTTTGAAAGCTTATCGTTGAACATTCTGCTGTTATTTCAACACAAACTTATAAGAATAAAGTACCATTAAAATTACCTTCAAAACTGTCATTTCTTAATCGTTTTTTACTGTCTTAACTCCATTTCTTGGGGAATACAGAACTAAAATTCAACCCGAAAACATCGAAGGCGAAAATCGAAGGAGGCGGGCAACTCTTTCCGTTTCTAGCCAGCAGGTGCTCGCGCATGCGTAGACACTAAACAATCGACAATTTCCGTATCCTCCATCTCAGCAGTCCAATTTTGATGAAAAAAAAGCATAGAAAGGTGAATTTTAAGGATGCTATAGATTACGCCTCGTCGAAGAAAGGTGAAATTTTAAAATAGTATATCGTCAAAACAGTGCCCTCCTATTATATTTATAGGAATTCAGCTACCTCGTAAAAGATCAGAATGACTGAATCTACTCTAAAATTAGCTATATTATGTATATTGAATTGTATTAAAGAGCTGATTGATATATGGCTAAAATGGAAAGGCCTACCGGAATTCGTTTTTCTCTAAGCCCATGAAAAGTGTCAGTTCAGTTAACATGAGAGATATGAATGCAAATGTGTCGATTAACTGAATAACAACATGTTCACCGTGCTTTATTACACTAAATTACAATGCGTGAGTATGTTGGTACGTACTGTAGGATTAATTTCACAGCAGGCCCATTGCTAAGGTTTTAGGGGGAGCTAGGCCCCCAAATATATAATTCCCCCCCACACTCACCACACACACTTAGCATTGTGATGTCATCAGGGAAAACATAAAAATTTCAATTGAAAATAGACTGTCAAATCAACGAGCCAGCAGCATGACACATTTATTTAATTTTATGATACTCAAATTAGACTATACATGTAGCTGTCTGTTGACAATTGTATGTTTTTTTAAATGCAAGCCTCGAAATGTTTTAAAAATAGCTACCTGTCGCTTCAATGCCAAAAGTTATGATCTGATTGTTTTAATATTGAAATATGTTGTTGACATTAATGAGATGAAGACGCCTGTCTAGAGTTGTGGTCCTTGTTTCACTTTGTTGGACCTTGTGAATGCTCTAACGCTAAAAGTTATCATCCAATCTTTGTGAAATTTATTTGCATTATTTAAATTAGTGAAACGAAGACGCCTATTGAATTTCAGCAATTTCTGTTTATTACGTCTTGAGTTATGGCCCTTGTTTCACTTTATTGAACCTTGTGAACGCTCTAACATCTAAAGTTATCTGCTGATCTGAATGACATTTATATGTGTCATTTAAATTAGTAAAAAAAAGAATCCTATTGAATTTCAGCAATTTTCATTAATTAGTTCTAGAGTTATGGCTCCTATTTCACTTTGTTGCACCTTGTCAACGCTCTAACATCTAAAGTTATCTGCTGATCTGAATGACACCGTCACATCAAGAATATTTCAATATTTCTTCATAGTCAAAATCACAAATATTAGTTTTATAGTTTCTACAACCCAAAAAACATTTTCCTATATATTTGTGAATAAATCAACTTTAAATATAAGACGACAATACCGTTTTTTTAGTTTTTGTCTATAATACATGTTTTTAGTTTCTGTTTTTATTATGAATATATATGAATTATCGCTAATGATACCAAATAATGCCATTAAACAACTTTAGTATTACATACATCGTATTGGAACTTAAAATTTAACAAAAACTATTGTAAAAAAAATAGGAAAACCTGGTTCGCTACGGTGTTAAAATGTTGTTATGGTGTTGAGTATTCAGTTAGATGCACTGATAACACCACTGTTCTGTTTAACAATGTAGATTGTTATAAGATAATGAAAGAATGAATCGGGTTGAACGTCCTACTGTTCTGCTCAAACTGGCTTGATGAAGACGGAGATACACCATGCATTGTGCTCTAAGGGAAATTTGTCTGGACAGCAATTAAATTTCAACTGACAAGGAATTTTTTCACATGCTCACCATGGTGTACACAGGGTCTTCATTTTCTTCCCATCAGAACGACTAGACCCTGTTCCTTATCAGGTCCTCCGTCATGAACCACTGACATGAAAACCACAATGTCAGGAAAATCCCTGGGAACCTTTTCGGTCAACCAAAATTTTGGGGACATAATTTTTTCTAGACCTATCAAATAAAGCAAATCATTAAACTATTCTTTATTGAAATAACATAAAAACAAAATACAACAAACATTTTGTTATAACAAAAACTAATAAAGTGAACAATGAAGTCTTGTTGTAGTATTTAATGTTGTTATATTAGCCTAAGTTGTCTCAACATTTTTCAAAACCTTTGACCAAATCTGATGGGGCACTTGATACAACTCTGTCCTGAAACTAATGCGCTCGGGATCTGTTATTAAGGTTATAATCTTGCTATATTCGTACCAAAGGATGTCTTTGACTGCTGGCCAAACAAACTTGTTATAGCCGATTGGTTTCATTGTGGTTACTTCTTATCATAGTCAACGATGCACCATTTATTAAACAATCGTTCAGGTAAAACATCCGATTCTGGGATATCAAGGAGACTATCCTTACTTGTGTCAGTGCTTTTTTCTGGGGTAGGTAAAATATCTTCATGTAGTTTTGTCACCTTTGCAGGATCTGTGTTATGTACTTTCGGATTTAGAAAACTACATGTACATATTTCTGACAATACATAACTACAATAGCAACTGAGATTTCTTACAGTGATCTCACCGCTGGTTTCTGTAAATGCTTGTTGAACTTTCAAAGTATCTTTAATTACCTCCAAATTGTTAGGCAAATCAGAATCATAAGTTGAAATTGCTTCAGATGACACATAAAATAGCTGAACATTTAAAGATTTTGCAAAAAGTCTCTCAAATAAGCTTTCAGCATTTGGTATGTCCATACCTCTAGAAACCAAAGAGTCGTCTGTTCTTTTAATTACGGCTCCTACTCCATCCGGTGCTCCTTTACCATCGCCAGCCTCCCAATAATCCCATGTAATTTCATGGAAGCCCATTTCAAATGGTATCTTTGACATATAGTGGAAGTTTGATTTATTGCGATATTGGGTACTAGGACCATCACTTTGAAAATGAAGAAATTTAAGTTCTCTATGGTGAAGACTTATACAACTAAAAACGGGGTCGAGATAATATGCCCATATTGACGGTGGATCATGTCTATTTGAATCGGATATGGTACAAAAAGATACACACTTGTCCTGAACATAAATGACCCCTGTATGTAAGGTCACCTGGACGTGGGACCCCCCCAAAGTGAACAGATTGAATTTCGCTGTTGTATTTACACTCCCAGTTCTCAGAGAAATCAATGTGTATTATGAATTTATGGCATTGATCTTTTAGAATTTTCGACTGCCTAAATTGGTGTTTGATGTTATACACATGTTGGCAGATGTCTAGTAATAGTTCTTCAAGGGCAATCACCATTTCTGCAACAGTTCCCTCTCTCTTCTCCTTCACTACAATCTTTATTTCTTTTTCTAAAGTGGCTGTCTTCTTAGAGGTTATTGTTTTCTTTACTGTATTCCATTGGAACCAGTATGCCTCTTTGTCCATATTTTCCCTGCAGTCGATACTGACTCTTTTCTGTTTACATTCAATACATAAACCAGTCATACAATCCATTTCATCTTTTTGACTATCAATACAGCATACAAATTTTGTTAGTTTCGCCACTGAGCTGAACTCTGTGCTTAAAATTTTCATGAAGGGAAGTCGATCAATGAGTAGTTGAACATTTTAGTGTTTTTTACATATGCAGGTATCCCTATCTGTTAAGGAAGGCTGTTTCACCCAGAATGGGCGTAATCTACAAAATGATGAATATGACAGTTTTACAAAAGTATTTTTGGCGCAAAACTTTACATAAAGATTTTGTAACGTATCCGTCAAAAGACGCTTTTGCATTTTAACTTTGTTCTTGGTGACTGTATCTTTTTTTCCGGTCTTCATTTGACTATTATCATCGCGAAGGTAACAAATTTTCACAAGCTGCTGGTATCTAATGGGGATACCTGGTCTACCTCCAGTTTTTGAACAAGAATCTTTATTTTTACTAATCCGTCACGAAGTTTTGAGTTTTTTTCTTGCTTCGTCTAATAAACAATATTTTTCTAAGATTTTTCACAGATTACCTCTCCTTTTTTCTTTTTCCATTGTTCTCCTTCATTTGTGCTGCTTTGGTTTTTAATTCCTGTAACAGAACATGATGAAACAACAAGGTTCTTCTTACGGTATTGGAAACACCAGCTTTACCTATTAGCTTGTTTGTCTTCGATCTTGGTGAGTTCTTGTCGCCATTGGACATTTCTATGACGGACACTAGTAGTGATTAGGTCATAGACTTGAACATTAAGCCAGCGAAACAAATGTGGTGACGGTGTTGATAAAAAATTTCGGGACAATAAATATTTGTCCCTTTTTCATGATTTTTAAGTCCCGGTGGACAAAATGATGAATTATATATTTGAGGATTTAATACTGATCACTAAAATAATATTTGCATAGTTCCATCAGCTATAGAATTTAAATAAAAGGATTCTGCATATCAAGTACCGGGGATTGGGACACGTTTATTTTATGTCACAAACAAATAAAATGATAAAACATTGACAAATAACATTAGAACACATAATATAAACTAGAAAAACTAATATTTTGGATATATTCATTTATTTTTTTTGATCGTTTGTTTATCGGGACAGCATTTTATACAACATTGGAGAATGACCCACAGATTAGATAATTAAAAAAAACGATGGGATAGAGTTTTTTTCACTCTTTCCTTGTGTCCCTTATCCATCAAATAATTCACTGCTATCAGTTATGACCAGTTGAAACAAGTGGTATGGGGAAAAGGGAAAATCTATAGGGCTCATCCTCTTAATTCAAGATCTTTTGATCCTTAACATATTTGTTAAGTTTCTTTAGAGAATGGGATAATTGTAGCCCTTCTGGAGGGCCTACAAATTCTGTAAAAAGCAGGGGCTATAGCTCTAGAATGGAAGGTCTGATGCGTACCAAAGTCGAACTGATGCAAGAACTTTTGATCCTTAACACATAGTTTAAGTTTTATCTCATGAATTGGACAAAACTTGTCACCTCATATTTCACATGTTGCGTAAAAGGCAGGTGGCCAATGCGCACTAATATGGAACTCATCCAAGAACTAGTGATACTTGTTTTATGTTTCATCTAAATCGGATGAAAATTGTGACCTCTAGATGTTCCACAACCTGGGCATTACATACTTTTATGCTATTTGCCTAAAAGGGAGCGGCCATTTGACTGAAAATTTTGGTCAGATTTTCACAAAATTCGGACTCAACCAGAATTATTATGTAACAGTGATATATTTTGAACAGTTTTGAAAATAAGATAAAAATGGTGACCGCTAAAAACATGATATTTCGTACAATCTGGTTTAATAATCCAGAAAGTTATGGTTCAATACGCTCTAATATCAAAAGTAACCCAGACCTTAGGGATATATCAAATTGGATGAAAATTCGAACCTCTGGGTGGTCTACAACCTGGATATTACATGCTTTTAAGGGAAGCTGCCATTTTGTCGGGCAGTTTCATTCCTATTTTTACAAAATTTGCACTCAAACATAATTATGGTGTAACGGTTTTTACAAGGTTTCACAAGCTAAAAATGTTTATATAGGAAGTGACGTTCCTATATGCACCAATATCAAAGAAACCTTGATCTTTCGGTTATAAACATACATGTACATTGTCAGTTTCATCAAAATCGTATGAAGATTGTGACCTCTAAGAGTGTCCACAACCTTTGTATTATTATGCATATATTTGTCAAGTTCAGTATTGCACGAAACCATCATCGACTGTGTTTGCATGGTAAGGGATTTAGAAAAGAAATAAAATTTCACTTCATTGCTGAGTCATATTATTATCTGGAAATCGCTCAGAAAGCTCCTGGTGATCTAGACCCCAAGGAGCTCCCGGGGCCTAGACGGCCCCATGAACCTTCACCAAAGTCCTAAGATGGCTTCCCCCCCACCCCATTCAAGAATTGCTTCTGCTGGCCCTGACACTGTTTTATTGTGTCCTAGATATTGGATATGAGGATATTTCGGCGGTAAGATAACAATATCAATATTTATCGAATGGACCAATATTAAATTCTTATAGTGTTCAGACCCCTTGTGTCCCATTGCCTGAGAAGGGTTGAATGGCTGAATGGTTAGCGTGTGCACTCCGTATCATAAGGTCAACTGTTGTGGTTTCAATTCTCCGGTTATACGTTACAAGAAGTAGGGTCGCCTCACTCGCCTGTCCAACCTCGTGTTTTTATACGCCCACATTGAAATGTGGTCGTATATTGTTGTCGCCCCCGTCCGTCCGTCCGTCGGTCCGGCGTCAACAATTGCTTGTGGACGCTCTAGAGGCTAAAGATAATATCCCATTGACTTTAAATTTATATACAGTGTTTAAGGCCATGGGACGAAGAAGCCTATTGATTTTCAGCGATTTCCAATAATTACTGCCAGAGGCCAAAGTTAATATCCGATTGACTTTAAATTTATACACAGTGTTTAAGGTCATGAGACGAAGAAGCCTATTGATTTTCAGTGATTTCCAATAATTACTGCCAGAGTTATGGTCCTTGACCACTTCAAAAAATCTTGTGGACGCTCTAGAGGCCAAAGTTAATATCCGATTGACTTTAAATTTATGCATAGTGTTTAAGGTCATGGGACGAAGAAGCCTATTGATTTTCAGCGATTTCCGATAATTACTGCCAGAGTTATGGCCCTTGATCACTTCAAAAAATCTTGTGGACGCTATAGAGGCCAAAGTTAATATCCGATTGACTTTAAATATATGCACAGTGTTTAAGGTCATGAGACGAAGAAGCCTATTGATTTTCAGCGATTTCCGATAATTAGGGCCAGAGTTATGGCCCTTGATCACTTAAAAAAATCTTGTGGACGCTCTAGAGGCAAAAGTTAATATCCGATTGACTTTAAATTTATACACAGTGTTTAAGGTCATGAGACAAAGAAGCCTATTGATTTTCAGCGATATCTGATAATTACTGCCAGAGTTATGGCTCTTGATCACTTCAAAAAAATCTTGTGGACTCTCTAGAGGCCAAAGTTATTAAATCCTATTGACTTTAAATTTATACACAGTGCTTAAGGTCATGAGACGAAGAATCCTATTGATTTTCAGCAATTTATGATAATTACTGCCAGAGTTATGGCCCTTGATCATTTTGAAAAATCTTGTGGACGCTCGAGAGTCTAAAGTTAATATCTGATTGACTTTAAATTTTATACACAGTGTTTAAGGTCATGAGACGAAGAAGTCTATTTATTTTCAGTGATTTTTGATAATTACTGCCAGAGTTATGGCCCTTGATCACTTCAAAAAACCTTGTGGATGCTCTAAAGGCTAAAGTTAATATCTGATTGACTTTAAATTTATACACAGTGTTTGAGGTCACAAGGCGAATAATCCTATTGATTTTCAAAGATTTCTGATAATTACTGCCAAAGTTATGGCCCTTGATCACTTTGAAAAATCTTGTGGACGCTCTAGAGGCCAAAGTTAATATCCGATTGACTTCAGATTGATACACAGAGTTTAAGATCTTAAGACGAACAAGTATATTGATTTTCAATGAATTTTTATGACTTGGAACAGCTAAATCCATGATACAGTATTAAAAGTTTTGTATACAAAACGTTAGCATGGGGCAGAACTTTATAAAAACTAAACAAATTCTAATGGTTTTCTGAGTTGTTGCTCTTAATCAGATTTTAGTGTATTATAAATGTTTCATTACCGAAAAAAGTAAAAATATGCGACAACTCTTGTTGACTGCCCGGACGATTTAGCTGCTGTGGGCGTATGTTTCGTTGCCTGGCAACCTATCTTTTTTTCTGGGTTTGCAGGCTTCCTCCCACTGCTAAAGAACTCTACACACAAGCAAGTTATTGAAATAAAATTGAACCATATGTTAGTCCCGAAATGACCTTGTTTGTATCAAGTGGACATAAAACCCCATTGCCTGTTACAATGCATTTAGCTCTTACATGTATGTTGTTAGTTTTATTCTCATCAACATGTAGTGATTAAAGGTACCTGTTTCTCTTTTCCAGGACCAGGTAGTAATCTACCTCCATTTTCCTTCCTGGGGAAATAGTATGGATGTACGCCCCAAGATAATGGCAGGTCGAGAAAGGCCAGCTTACAAGCATCCACAGCATACACAGAAAGCTTTTGATAGTCTTAATCAGATGAGAAAGTAAGTGTTATTAAACCCCCATCTTCATAAACCCAGTTGGTGTAGCAAAATTATTTCTACATGAATCTGGAAAGCAAACCCTGAATTAGTCAAGACAATAAACAACATTACTTAAGAGGGGTCGTCACATGCGGAGCATCCTATCCTAAATCTTAATGGAAAATAACTAGTCATATACATGTACTTTCTGGATTAACCCTTCCGAGTGAATGTCTGAGAAATTTTGAATTTGCCATAATTTGTAGATCATTTCCAATTGTCAACTTCTTTGAATGTTGAATATAGCAGACACGATTTTTTTTGTGTATCCAAATGTTTCATACTCATATACCATCCTACTAGTTACCCTTTCTAGAATTGAACAGAACATCAGGGATATCAGAACATTTAGTCAATGATAGAATGGATGTCAATTTTACTCTGCCTGTAGTATACATCTGTTTTAACTACTTATTCATTATAATATTTCAGGTGTAGTTTATTATGTGATGTTATACTGGTAGCAGACGCTATAGAAATAAATGCGCATAAAGCTGTGTTATCATCATGTAGTCAGTACTTCTACGCCATGTTTACTGGTGAAATGTCTGAATCAAAAGCTGACCGAATCACATTACAAGAAATAGATGCTAGAGCCTTATCACTTCTTGTAGATTTTGTTTACACCTCTGAAATTCATGTCACGGAAGAGAATGTACAGGTAGGTTAAATTATCAGTCTAATTCTGTCGATCCTAAAGTGAAAAATGTTCACATACTCATACTTTATATCACAAAACTATACCTTCATTCATTTACTCTATTGACGAGGTATTCATAAGATCATTGACTAAACCACTAGAAACACATAAAGGCATCCATTGAAATGACATGGGTATGGCAATACTATTTTGGTTAATTAATTACAACTCATCTTAATTTGCAAAAGTAAAAATCCTTTCTTCTAACCATATATAGCATGATGTTACAGTCCTGTGATAGGGTGCCACACCATTACATAGTGACTTTTGATTCCTATAAAAGTTCGAAATTATAAGGCACACGACAAAACAGTCATTGGTTGAGATTTCGGCGCTTGATGGTGCTGGAGCTTAATAAAGCACCTTTAAAAGCATTGACTGTAAATATTTTGAACAAGATTAAGTTTAAAAATATATTATCACAACCCTACTGCAGTTTACAAGTTTGACAATTGATGTATTTTTGTTGAAAATTTAGAACTTTTTTGTAGACATTGTTACCAGCAGCCAATATATTACAATTGACAGAAGTACGAGATGCCTGTTGTGAATTCCTACAAGCTCAACTTCATCCTTCCAATTGTCTTGGTATACGAGACTTTGCTGATGTTCATGCTTGCTCTGATCTCTATAATTATGCGCAAACTTATACAGAACAACACTTCACGTGAGTATCATTCACAAGTTTATTTACATTTTTCTCTCCTAAATATCTGAAATGTAAGGATTTTTAGGGGTTTGCTTAGGGGTTCTTCTCTTGTCTCTAAAAAAGAAAATTGATAACAAACAGGTATGAGCAGGGGCGGTGAAAAGGTGTGGTAATGAGGGCAAAACACCAGGCCCTTTGTACTGAAAAGTGGTGGGTGGGGACAAAAGAAAATGTGCATTACACCAGGGCCCCAACATGTAGCTAACAGGGTCTGTTTATTGACTGAATTATGTGACTGTTGTACATTTTCTCTATATTGATGGTTAATTTCAATGAAATGAAATTGGTATTAACGTTCTATTTTCCACCATATGGGCTGATAAAGACGTGGTGTACTATGATGTAAATTTTTGCTAAGACAATGATGGTGTATGTGCCTACTCCTCTTGGTATTGCTATGGGTTGCATGCTGATGTGAACACGGAACCCAAAGCAGTGGCACTTGTGTCTACTCCACTTGGTCTTACTGTGCCAATGTGTACATGAAATCTCAGGTCCCATATGACTAGATGTTGTCCCTCTGTCCTGCACCACTTACTAACATCATGATCCATCTTGGGACACGGTGGTTGGAGCCACATGGATCGGCAAAGCTGGAGCAAAGTTCAAGGTTAAGGGGGCAAAGACGCGAGCTTCAGCCAGGGGTGTGCCTCCCACGCCCAGATATATTTAAAAAAGAGTCTGCCGGTAATGCAGTGAGGCAGCATTTAGACAGCAATTGTCCAGATGAATAGAGCTTACCAGATACCGCCTGTCGCAAAATCGATAGTTTATCCGACCAGAGAGGAAGGGTCAAAAGAATGGAGTGAGTGAATCAAAGTGAATGAATATTTTCACGACAATATTTTAAGAAATAGAGTGCCGGTAATGCAGCCTGGCACTATTTCAGACACTGGTCGTCAAGATAAACAGAGCTGACCAGAAAATGTCCGTCGCCAAATCACTAGCTTAGTGAGAGGGAGGTTTCAAACGAACGGAGTGGGTGAATAAAAGTGAATGAATATTCTTGCAATCTTGCCGCATTGAACCAGTACCCAGAAACTTTGAGGATCATAAAAAGCACTTCTCAAGTGGTTTACGTGTTGTTTATAGTAGGTTTACAGCAGGATGGGTTCGGTAAGAAATCACTCAGACTCTAGTCACTCTACAACATGCAAGTCAATGCCTGAATGGGAATGTGGGATTTAATCATCGTAGAAGTTATTGATTATCAAGACATAGTCAGCGACTTAATAACTGAGCTACCTTGGCTCCTCTGTTAGTTTCAAGCATATCTTTGTTTAGTTATTCATTAATATTATTGAGTAAGTTATGAATGAAGATTTGATTATTAATTATTTCAGGGAAGTGGTGCATTATGATGAATTTTTATCTTTAAATGTGCAGCAGGTGACAAGACTCATATCAAGTGATAGGTTAACTGTCACGACAGAAGAACAGGTTGGTACATATATTCATTTCTTTATAATTCATTCTTGTTTTTTTGTGTATGCAATATTGATATTAAAAAGTCAGAATACTGGTACTAGCAAGTATAGATTTTAAAACATCATTTTAAAACTAATTTCCAATTTATTTGGATTAGCAAGATAGTCAAATGGTCTCTTTGTGTACTTTGCAATATACTTCAAAGTTTTCTTTTAAGAAACAAATTATTCATTCCTATCTTGTTTTTGATTTTTTTAGGTTTTTGAAGCAGTTATGTCATGGATACAGCATGATCTGCTTAGTCGAAGAGATATTACATCTCAACTTTTAGAACATGTCCGCTTACCTCTAATGTCTCAAGACTATTTAGTACAACGAGTAGAAGAAGAACCTCTAGTTAAATCTAATAGTTTATGTAAAGATTTTTTAATAGAAGCAATGAAGTTTCATCTACTTAAAGCTGATCAAAAAATCTCTTTTAAAACACCTCGAACACAGCCTAGAAACCCAATAGGATTACCCAAGGTAAGATATCACAGGTTCTGTGTCTGTATATATGATAATTGTCATTTTGAATTTGGTTAACCTGAAAGGGTGGTTGGCAATGGGGTATAGTGCTTGCTACAGATCAAAAGGACTTTTGTCTATGCAAGTCATGATTTCGACGCAGAGCTTGTATGTGACAAGAGGGGTTGGATGGCCGAATTGTTAGCACGTGCGTGCTGTATCATAAGGCCTGTCATTGAGTCAACTGGCGTGGTTTCAAATCCCCGGTTGTACGTGACAAGGATTAGGGTCGCCTGTCCAACCATGTGGGGTTTTTCTGGGTCCTCCGGTTTCCTCCCACTGCTAAAGACCCCTATGCGCAAGCAAATTATTGAAATAAAATTAAACTATATGTTAATCCCGAAATGACGTAGTTTGTGTGGAGTGGACTTAACCTTGTAGAGGGAAGGATGGCTATCCAGGCACTTGGGACTAGAGTGGAATGGCAACTTATTGAGGATGATAGGTATGTGCATGCCTGCATTCTACAATTTGCTCTTTGGTTTTCTGCCCCTGTTTAAGATACTTGTTAATAACAAGACATGCCACTCCTATATGAGTTGGAGTGGGGATAGTCAGAATGCTATGATTCACTTTAGCTCACATGTTCTGTCATTAAGTCAATTGGCTTGGTATCATTTCCACACTTGTATGTGACAAGAAAAAGGGTCGCCTGCCCAGCCTCATGGTTTTCACCAGGTCCTACTACTAAAAATCACTACTTGCAAGAGAATTATTAAAATAAGATTGATCCATATGTTAGTCCCAAAATGACTTAGTTTGTTTCAAGTGGATATTAAACCCCATTTCTTTCTCTCTCTCTCTTGTTCTATGTGTTTTATTCAAGTTTCTCGTTTAAATATTTTGTCAGTCTTTCTTTTTTTCATATAGTTTGTATATCCTAGATTAACCAGACATATTTCACGAAGAATATGACTATTTTCAGAGATGCCCCAATTTATAAATCTATTTTTCTCTTTCACAGAAATTTTACTGTAAAAATCACGTCAAAATTATCTTTTACAAATTACTAATTATCCAAGATATTGCCACTAATTCCAGATTTCAATTATTATTTTGTGAGATGATCTATTTTATTGCAGGTTTTATTAATGATAGGTGGTCAAGCACCTAAAGCTATACGTAGTGTAGAATGTTATGATTTTCAAGAAGAGAGATGGTTTCAGTTAGCCGAAATGCCAACCAGGCGATGTAGATGTGGTAAGTATTATATAAGTATTAGAGATGTTCATAGGATTAGAGTAACATGCACAACCAAATCAAATAAAGTCAAAACTGAAACAAACATAATAACTTACATATATTGAAGTCTGATTTATCATAAACAAAAGCCTTAAGTCTTGCCACAGCTATAGCTCATATTTCTAATAACCGCTGCCTTGGGGAAATAAAGCTCTATAAAAACGCTTTGAACAAAATGACACGTTATTACTGTCTACAAATTTCAAGTCAACATAGTGATAGTTTGGGTATTATTAACATACTTTTCGATCGCAGAGTTTGAAACAAATCATGACATCTGACCATGTCACTTGAGAATCTCCCATTGCCTACTTGAGTCAAGATCAAAGAATTTAATTTGTCTGGCTTATGGTTAAAAAAAGGACTGGCCAGAGCTAGCCAAAGAAAGTACTTCCCTCTCAATAAATATTTTATATGTGAAAATTACAGGGGTAGCAGTGTTAAATGGCTCAGTGTATGCTGTTGGTGGATTTAATGGATCATTACGTGTTAGAACTGTTGATGTTTATGATCCATTAAAAGATACATGGACAGCTTGTCCTAGTATGGAAGCGAGAAGAAGTACATTAGGTGTAGCTGTATTAAATGGTATGATTTATGCTGTGGGTGGTTTTGATGGCTCAACAGGTAATAAAACTTCCTTATCTTTTGTTTTTCATACTTTAATCTTTGAAAGTTTAAATCATTTCTTATCTTTGTAGGTTTGAGATATTATTTTAAAGATTTTTACTATGGTTGATCGTTAACCTTGACCCACAAATTGTTGTTATTGACTGAAATAGAGAGTGATTAAAGATATACAGACAATTCCTCTAAATACAAGGAATTTTTGTTCAGACTGCAAAGATTCAAGCTTAACCTGAATATTCAAAAGAAAAACTGAGTGCCACAAAGCGAGAAAAAAGTAAATGTTTTTATTATTTTTCGATTATATTATAGGTCTAGATAGTGCTGAATATTTTGATGTAAGAATAGGAGAATGGAAGATGATGGCTTCTATGAGTGTAAGAAGGAGTAGTGTTGGAGTTGGAGTGGTTCAAGGTTTTCTGTATGCTGTAGGTGGTTATGATGGGGCTAGTCGACAATGTTTGAGTTCTGTAGAGTGCTATAATTCACTAGCTGATATCTGGATACTTGTAGCAGAAATGTCTTGTAGAAGAAGTGGTGCAGGTACATTTATATTTTTATTGATTCAATATGGATACTTTTAAAATATGTTTTGTTCTTCAGTTTTAGACGGTTCATGTCCTTGTCTTTTTTGCGAAGTGCAGGAGAGATGAGCTGAGCTGACGGATGCTTTCTTACAATTTCAGGAAATAAAAATGGCTGACTAAACCATCTTCTATTAGATTTAACAAGCAGTTGCTATGCAAGATACACCCACATTTTTTTGTACAATCAGGGGCCATTATCCATGATGTTATGATCTGACATGAGTCAATATCAAAAGATCTTTGGGATATAAACACATAATTTAAGCTTTGTCAAAATTGGATAAACATTGTGACCTCTAGTGGGTCAACAACCTTGGTATTACATACTTTTACACTATTTGTGTACAAGGGAGAGGCCATTATGTTAGTTTGTTTCGGTCTGTTTTTTACAAAATTCTAAATGTTTTTCTTTTTAAATTGGATAAAAATTGTGATCTCTAGAGGGACCACAAGCTAAAACAACATTTTTTCGTACAATCAGGGGCCAATATCGAAAGGAACCGTGGTTTTTGGGATTTAAACCAATATTACAAGTTTCGTCAAAATTGGTTAAAATTGTAACCTGTAGAGTGTCCACAAAGGGATGGACGGGCGCAGACAGACTGAGAGACAGACAGACAGGGGCAACAATCATATTCGTCCACATGAAATGTTGGGCATATTAAAACAGACTTTCTCTTTTAATGTCAGTGGTGCATTCGTTTATCGCTGTGTGTTTACTTGTCTTCCAATTCGTTCGCATTTTAAAATTAAATTTTGAATATGCTATATATGCTCTTTGTAAAATAATATATTTTACCTTTGCAATATTGAGATGAGACTCATTCTCTTCTGTATGTTTCCTCAAATAATTTAATGTTGGTATAAAAACAGATTAATAAAACCCGAGTGAAAGTGGAACTTGGGCTACAATGCATGCACCAACTGCATACAAAAACATCTCAGCCAACTATGACATCTGAAACATTCGTTGTGTTTAATTATATCACGATTCTACTCGCGCCAGGACTACAACAACCTAGCGTTATCCCAGTAGGAGTTGTCTCCCCTCTGACCACTAACTTATTACCAAAATGTTTAGAAATTTATGTTTGCTATAATTCAACACAAATCATAAAACTTGTTTGTTCAACAACCTAGAGTTATCCGAGAAAGAGTTGTCTCCCCTTTGACCACAAATGTTTACTTATTTTAGGTGTTGGTGTTGTGGATGGTCTGTTATATGCTGTTGGTGGACATGATGGACCTCTAGTTAGAAAGAGTGTAGAAGTTTATAATCCTGAAACTAATTCCTGGACACCAGTAGCTGATATGCACATGTGTAGAAGGAATGCAGGTAAAAAAAAATCCTTTGATAAATTAGCACTTATTATGTTATTAGGACATTGGATTGTTGGCTAGTATTTCTACATTTCTTAACCTGGCAAGGCTGTGTCTCTTATCAGTCGTCCTTGTCAAAGGATCTTGACTTATCATAACCATCAAATTTTATTCACGCTATTTATTCATGCTATTTTACAGGAATTTAATTATATAATTGCTAATCCTCATGATGCATATCTAAACATTACTATTATTGTGCTAGTTCCAATCTGGTATTGTGAACCAATCACTTTGAGTTTTCACGGAGACAGCAATTATTATTCAAAGAAATTGCAGAGAATTGTTAGCTTGCTGAACTTATATTGCAGTCAAGTGCTAAAATTCCAATAGAATATCCTTGTATTGATTATAAATTTATTTTTAACCAGTACTTGATTGTCATCACAGTTTACAGACATAGCACGCGATTAAAACCATGATTGCCTACTGTCAGTCATGCAGGTCATTAGGCCTTTTTTAAGTGCCGGGGCATTGTTTCTATGCCCTTTCATGAACATCAAGATTAATCTCTAAATTGATAATCCTATTTATGGGAATGCACTACATGTATATCTGACTTTTATTTCAATTCCAGGTGTGGTAGCTAATAATGGTTTGTTATATGTAGTTGGTGGGGATGATGGATCTTCTAATCTCGGCTCAGTGGAAGTTTATGATTCTAAAGCTGACACATGGACGTTATTATCTTCTAGTATGATGACTGGGAGGAGCTACGCTGGTGTGACAGTGATTGACAAACCAGTGTTATAGCACAAGCCTATGAGCTGTGAATAAAATGCCATTGTGACAAGTGATTGGCAAGTCAGTATTTATTATAAGTAAAATTTGGAGTGGCTTGTTTTAAGATGTGATAGTGAAATGTTAAGAAGGAAAATGAAAGTCTGCATTTCACCTGTCTTCATTATCGGAGAAATATGTGATAGTTATTCAAGATTCCAAGATATGTTATGAGCAGAGATGTTTCATCACAACATATGAGTGACCAAAATTCCCCCAAAAGATCTCAAATAATGGAAGGAAAATAAACATTGTTGTCATCAGAGGAAATGTGTAACTTACATGAAAATGAAAGATACTCTGTTATGGTGGTTTAAGTTATAATACAGTTAAATAATAATCCAAAAAAGTGAGGGTTTTAATGGAAGGTAATCTTTATAAAGTAACATTTTTAGATCTTCAAGGATATTGATATGTGTATTATGCTAGAAATATACTGTATGATATACATTATATCATAATCTAGAAGTATACTGTATGATATACATTATATCATAATCTACAAGTATACTGTATGATATAAATTATATCATCTAGAAGTATAATGTATGGTATACATGTACATTATAAAACCATAATCTAGGAATATACTGTTTGATATACATGTATCATAATCTAGAAATATACTGTATGATGTATCGATCATAATCTAGAAATATACTGTACGATGTATCATCATCTAGAAATATTCTGTATGATATACAGTATATCATAATCTAGAAAGATACTGTGTGATGTATCATAATCTAGAAATATTCTGTATTATAATATGCAGTATATCATAATCTAGAAATATGCTGTATGATGATATACATTATATAATAATCTAGAAGTTTGCTGTATGATATACAGTATATCATTACTTTGTATTTGTGTTTTTATAAAATAAACCTTGTGCAATGTTGACACAGAACATGTTTATTTGTTTAAGTTATAGCACAGTTCCTTTGATAATGCTACCTGGTCAGAATGTCATTTTAACAGTATATTTTTTTAGTTGCAATCCAGCATTATATTTTGGTATGGAAATATAATAGATAATCTTACTGGTATTTTACCTAAGGTTTATAAGGTTTAATTCATAGTTGATGGTCCACCTTTTTATAGACCCACATTGAAATGGGCAAAACAAATTCTAATGATTTTTTGATAATTACATTTGTACTTAATGAGTTGTTACTCTTAATCAGATTTTAGTGTATTATAAATCTTTCATTACCAACAAAAGTAAAAATATGCGACAACTCATTTTGACTGCCCGAACGATTTAGCTGCTGTTGTCGTACATGTATGTTTCGTTGCCTGTCAACCTATCTGTATTTTGTGACAATAGATACATAATGATGATAGCTATCTGAATAAACTTTGAGATAATTTCTATGTAGTAACATCTTTAATGCCACCAGATCTTTTCATATGGCATGGCACCCTAGAGCTGATAAATGAATCAATCAAATTTATTCAAATATAATTTTTCTAACAATTGATTCGAGTAGCTATCATTAGTATCCATCTTGTTGAAACTAAACCTTTACCCTACTTTTATATCTGTGGCTATTAATTTGAACATCATACTTGTTGAAATTATGCACCGGAATACAAAGTCAAGCCAGTCAAAACATGAATGTTCACACAGAATTAAGAAACTAATTTAGAACTGCAAAGGATTATATGTGATCTTTTTATGAATTCTTTAAATATTAGTCAACCACTCTCAACTACAAAATACTTTATGCGAGTCAAGGGAATGTTTTCCGACCGTGTAGGATTATTAAAGGATCTGGTAATGTATAATTGTTATATATATTTATCATTTTTATATGGTAAACTCCGGTTAGGCTTGCCTGAATTCATTTTAGCCTTAATTTATACATGTATTTCTAGCTTTCAGAGAGGATGAATGAATGTTTGCTGAATTTCTATTTCTGGCATCTTGGCATAACCAGACTGTGAGATATTATTATGGACTACAACTTGTTATTTATAAAACATGGTTATATCAAGATGCATTTCTGCATGTTTTGGGATTTGTTAACAATTAACAGTACTCATTTGAGCATGATATCTTTTTGAGATTTTAAAAAGAATATATTAAATATTTATATTAAATTAGTGCTGGTTGTGTTAACTTTGTATGTGTTGAGTCTTGAAATTAATTATTGTGCTAAATTAAATTTCTTCTATATTACATCACATTTATTTGTTACATATATAATGAACTTTACATGCCTATAAATTAAAATGTTTATTTTTTTGCAATTTGAAGAGATGAAAGGATCTGGCATTTACAATTTCATTTGATGGAAATAAATTTCTGTTAAACATATAATGAGTCATCTCCCTTGTATTTTGTCATCTGGTTAACTTGTCATTGGGAAAAATCGGAATATAGTGCAGTTTAAGAATCACTGAATCATTTCTTTTGAATATGCTGAAAAACTTCTGTATTCTACAAATGTGTTAAAAACTTTTTAGAATTTCTTCAAAAGCAAAGTCTTCTATTCTATATATGCCATTAAAAAAAAAAGTTGCTGAATTTTTCAGGTATTAGACAAACAGCTGTTATACCAAACCTTAAAAAATGAATTAAAATGTGCTGTTCATTAGTCTCCTACCGATTAAACTGGAGGGGACAGTTGACTGATTTTTGTTCTCCTTTTTTCTGATTCGACTAGCAATTAATCAAAAACTTATGTGATTTCTTGTTGAGATTTTTAAACCATAAAATTTAATTCTATGGAATTTTTCTTTCACAAGTTGTAACAGTGCTTACGTGTACCAATGAACAAGGCCAATAATACCCAGGCTAGGCCCTGGTTTGTGTTATTTTTATCCAGAAAATAATAGTTTTCAGATAAATGATGTTCAAGAGATGGTTATGTTGATCAGTAATTTAATTATGTTTTGTCTCAGTTGTATGTGTCATTAAATGTGTTTGTTACTGTAATAACAAGTGTGATGATTAACCATTTTGCTAGATTTCAAAATTAAGATTGTTCATCTTTACTTTATTTATTATATATCTTTCACTTTGGTATCCATCATTTATTTACTGGTCTATCTTTTAACAGTTGATACTCTTTGAAAATGTCTTCTATATTATGTAAAATGGTTGTGAATTGTCAACTCCACTCCAACCTACCAATCAAAACCTGTCATTCAGAAAATTCAGTTACATGTAATTGTCCAGAAATTTGATTGGTCAAATATAGAATTATGCTGTTGCCACAGGCCACGATCATTGTCTGTGATATCCCTTTCATGGAAGCAGACGTTAAACAACCAAGAAGAAGGCCAGGAACACACTTTTCTTTAGATGTTAATGGAGTGATTATCAGAATAAATCAAATGAAAATAACAGCTGACTTAAGCAGTGGACACATTAACCGAATTATTCGGCCGAATCAATCGGCGCCGAATTTTATTCGGCCGAATGGGTGGACACACTAGCCGAATGCTTCGCCCGATTCACTAGTCGATTGCATCACCTTTCACGTCACATGATTAACCATGGCGGCGTCTATGTCTTCAAACTATCACGTGACTTCTCGATATGAGTGGTGATTGGCTAATGAATTCTACATTCGGCTGAATGCTTCGGCGAAGCGGACACACCAGGCGAATATAATTCGATCGAATATATCAAACCTGTTTGATTCGGGTGAATCATTCGATTGAATGACAGTGGAAATACTAGGAGAATTTCGACGCCGATTGATTCGCCTGAATCATTCGGCTAGTGTGTCCACCGCTTTACATTTGACAGGCATTTACCCTTATTACCCAAGTCTTTTGATCTTTTTACAAATCAATTAGTTAAAGATTTGATCTAGCCAAAAATAGTCTCAAAGCCTTGGTGATTTCCTATGGTATTAATTTTAATATTTTAATTCAATATATACTTGTCATCACTGGCTATTGAGTCATTGACAATAGTACGTATAATAGCATTGATTATAAACAAAAAAGAACAAAATCTATGCTTTCTGTGTCCAATAATAATATTTTGTTTTTAGAATTATTAGCTGTTTAATAATTATGCATTTATTAATTTATATATTCTTAACTATTAATGTATTATAAATAAGTATGTTACAATTTACAAGAACAATAAACCATTGGTTTTTTTTATGGATTTTATTTTTATTTGTTGAGGAAATTTTCATAATTTTGCTTATGTATTCAATTCACAAAAAAAATCCATTTTTGGAATGGTAGGGCCTAATCAATTATTTTTTTTTTATCTTCTGATTAAACAAGTAAAATTAAGTGCTATCAGTTGCATAACCTGGGTAACAAGGCAAGTATTGTGCTCACTTACCCATGGGCATTTAGCACTCCCAGAGTCCCTTCCACCAGTCCAATTCTTTATCCCCTCCTAAACACATGTATTGTATTATAAGAAAATACTGATGTAAATAAAATAATTCACTATTATGTCTTGCTACATTTTCACTTTGTACTACTCGCTCCTTTCATTGAATAACAATGTCAAAACTTTTGTAAACTTCGAATATATCTACCGTAAATATAGCGCTTTCAGTTCCATCGGAACATCTTCAGGCCTTTCTCCATTAATAATACTGTGTTTCTTTCCTCAACATTTTAATTTTCATAATATTATAAACTTGTACTTTATCTACTTTAATAAACTAAATTCAAGAACATCTTCAGAGCGTAATCGGCAACAAACGTGTCAGTAATGACGACGCCACGTGGAGTTCTCACAGTACTTAGCACCAGTCCTACGCGCCGCCGGTGGAAGTGTGCGATATTGCTGGGTCGGTCTTCTGAAATTCTGCTACTTACTTTTTTTCTTTTGAAATTTCGCTCTCCCTAAGAATTTGCAGGGCAACCACTTCAGACACAAACACACACCCACTCAAAAAAAACAAAAACGCTGCGCCACATAGCGCTGTCGTCTCATGTCACGTCAATACGTGTATTAACCTTACTAGGCCCCTACTGTAGGCTAAGTAACGGCTTAGTCGGTTAATCTGCGATCTGGTGGAATAAAATACAAAAAAAATGTAAACTCTCGGTTTGTCGATGACCAAAATGAATGAATAAATAATAATAGAAAAAAATCCATGAACAAGTTAAGGTGCACATTTAATTAAATACATGTATCCATGTATTATTATTTCTAGTGCTGTTAAATTTTCAATTGGATAATATAATTAACGATGGTATTGTCTCCGTTAAATTAGTTGATAAGAAAAGTTAATGTACGTGTATACAAACTAGCTATGTAAATAGTATCACTTGTAATCATGATCCTGTTAACATTATCCATTGGTATCTAATATGTAATCTGCTTAAGGGGGATTATCTCTTTATTATTCAACTTCGGGTACGGTATCGTGTATAATATGCATTCATTTACCTACTTTTGTTTTAGTGGCGCGTGAAGAGGAAATTTACTGCGCAGGTCAGTTTGTTGTTGTCAGTAGAAACGTAGACTTGAATATGGCAGAAAACGTGAGACAATGATATTACGTCGTCAACTTAGATAGGCTAGAAACTAATGTCATTTTGTCGGTGAATCTATAACATTATAAGGAAAGTGGCATATAGAAAATGAAGAATAATTATCAAACTGATGAATAAGAGTGATGAGGAATTATGTCACCGAAAAAAATTGTAGAAAATTCCAGCCGTTAAACATAGATCAGATTACTATTAGTTCTTCTGTGTCATCTTGCGGGAGGTCGAACAGTTGCCAGTGTTTTTCGAAGGATAAGTGGTCGTGTTTATAGCTAACTATACATATAACGGAAGAAATAGTGAACTGTATTTGGTTATGTCTACAATATAACAAGTGATATAAACTACACAGGTGTTATTCAATTACAAACAAGTGATACTCGGGATTTAGACCAAGACCTCGCTTCTGTGCTAATTTTTTTTTTTTTGATTAGATCTAATAATGCAAAAAAATAGTCTTCACACACTTATTTCTGACTTCAATTTTTAATTAAAGAGTTATAAATTGATATTCCTTATGAAAACAGACGCCAAGAAGTCTAAATCACAGGTGAGAAAAATAAGATTAAATTCATCGAACTTTTTCTAGACTTTATTATATAGTGGGATTGTTCTTTGGTGGGTTTTTTTCTTCCCCAATGAATATGACAGTCCGTATGGGTTTATTCACACTGTTCACAGTAAAAGAACAAAACAACCTTTTTATCAATGTTTAAGCAATTTGAACAGAATAATATAGTTTGATCTCATTAGAGGCAGGTCTAGCAGATTTTACTGAATAAAATCATGAAAATACATACCACTACCAGGTAGCCTACACACTATATTATAGTAGGGGCCTACACTACCAGTATATTGTATAGGTTTGTGACCAGTTTTTAAATGATGAATTTGCACATAGGGCTATTAATAGTGTTAGAAATTTTATATTATTGTAACCATGAGAGCTTTTTTTTAAAAAAACATCTTATCTTTGCCTAAATGTTTTTTTTAAATTTAAGGCCCAAGATGATTAAAATTATTTTTAATGAAATTTTATTAATTAATGTTATTATATAATTCAATTTGTTAAAGGCTCAATACCACTCTTGTTGTAACTGAATAATATGTCCCAATCTTTATTCTGGTCAACAAATTGTACTATTTTAGAATATTTCAATAAATTGATGATACAAATTTCATCTTAACATACCTTATTTAAAAATTTTGAAAAATTCAACATAATGGTTTGAAACGTCTAACGTAAACCTTTTCAAATGAAACTTCGATTTAAAAATATTTTCGAACCCTCTGGACAAGTAAAATAGGATGTAATATTGGATAATTTACACAACAGGTAGGACACTTAAACATCTAGTACTTAGCTAGAGATCTTATTTATTTTCTGGAGCTTTCAAGCCAGCAAGAGTGTTATTGTCCCTTTAACACCCTCTTGTGTCCTCTGCTCGCTAAAATTTTTATAGCCATAAGCCTAAGAATACTAAGATATGCTTTCCGAGTAACACCTTCATGATTGTAAATTTTAAAGCAATCACCGATAGTGTTGATTGTTTTGTTTATTATTATTTCTTTGTTACTCCTTAGGTTTTCCATACAATGTTTCTGAAATTATTTTGTTTTGTATGCAGTTTTCTATTTTTTGTTTTCTTTTAAAAATAGTCATTAATGCTGTATGGTATTGGTCCAGCCAAGGCCATGGATAAATATGAAAACCTGGGATTAGTGGGAGAGGGTAGTTATGGTATGGTTTTAAGATGCAAACACAAGGAAAGTGGTCAACTTGTAGCCATTAAAAAATTTCTAGAAAGTGAAGATGACAAAATGGTTAAGAAGATTGCACTGAGAGAAGTTAAAATGTTAAAGGTATAGATATTATTTTAGAACTGTACATAGTGCCATTTGTATCCGATTTGTTTTGAATTTTTCAGTTTTATTAATGCTTCATGATATTGGATGCTTGTGTAATGTTTCAGTAATTAAAATTATTTGAATCTACTGTTTCTAAAATTGAAAACATGTATTGATTGTCTTTATTTTATGTACAGGTACTGGAACAATGAAATTATTGTAATATTATACTCAATCTAGCTGATAATACAACAAAGGATTGAATACTATAAATATTCCTGCCATGTTCAAATGCAGTAGATACTGGCATTTGTCCAATTAATTTAATTTTTATGGCCTGTGTATTAAGTATTGTTTAATGGTAGAGAGCGAGACATTAAGTAATATATTGTAACAACAAGAGGACCATCAGGTCCGAGTGTTTTTACAATATATTACGCAATGTCTCAGCTCGAGACCATTAAACATCTTAAAATACAGACACTCCGCACGTGCGTTTAAAGTGAAATACGTCACTCGAGTCTAATATTTGACTAGGTACGATTGGCAAGTTGCCCGTACGATTATTTGAAATAATGGTACGCCAACATCAAAGGGTGACGTCACATCTGTATTTTAATACCAGTTAATTTGTCTAATGAATGAACTCAAATAACTGGTTATAATTATAATGCTGTTAAAAGTAATTAAATTAATATGTTAGATATTTTTTTAGTAAGATGTCACATGGTCATATTGCATTTTAAGTTTTTTGTTCCCCACCTTTAGTTGGAATTTGATATAAGAGTAGGCCGTAGTGCTGCTGTCCGGGCAAAAATTTCCCTCATAGCACAATGTATGGCTTATGCCCATCTTCATTAGCCCAGTTCGGAGCAAAACCGTAGGACGTTAAACCTCATTTCATTTCGAAGAAAGCAGGGGACTATTAAAATAGGTATGTCTGTCTGTCTGTCTGTCTGTCCGTCCGTCACACTTTTTGGGACACTATAACTTTGAATAACTCTCTTTCTAATTGAGCTAGAATGTTCAAACTTTGTGTAGGTGTTTATTAGGTCGACGCCTTGATGGTGTTCGAAGATGAGCATTTTCTGCTTAGAGATAAGCAATTTGATTGGTTGATGCTTTGGGACGCGATAACTTTAGTTCTAATTAAATGAGAGTGATGAAACTTGGTGTATAGTTTCATTACATCAATACCTTGACTAAGTTCGATAATGAGCATTTTCTGCTCAGGTTAAGCAGAGCGATAAGCAATTTGATTGGCCGAGACTTTGGAACACAATAACCCTCCTTCTAATTGAGCTAGAATGTTCAAACTTGGTGTAGGTGTTTATTAGGTCACTGCCTTGATGGAGTTCGAAATTGAGCATTTTTTGCAAAGGGTAAGCAGAGATAAGCAATTTCATTGGTTGATGCTTTGGGACACAATACATGTAACTTTAGTTCTAAGTAAGTCAGAGTGATGAAATTTGGTGTATAGTTTCAATTCATTACATCAATACCTTGACTAAGTTCGATAATGAGCATCTTCTGGTCAGGGTAAGCAGAGCGATAAGCAATTTAATTGGTCGAGACTTTGGAACACAATAACTCTCCTTCTAATTGAGGTAGAATGTTATAACTTGGTGTAGGCGTTCATTAGGTCAATGCCTTGATGGAGTTCGAAGATGAGCATTTTCTGCCTAGGGTAAGCAGAGATAAGCAATCTGATTGGTTGATTCTTTGGGGCACGATTCTTTGGGGCACGATAACTTTGGTCATAATGAAGTGAGAGCGATGAACTCTTAATATAGATTCATTATATCATTACCTTGACTAAGTTCGATTGTTTGAATTTTCTGCTTAGGCTAAGGAGCGACAAGCAATTTGATTGGTCAAGACATTGGAACATAACTACTCTGCTTTTAATTAAGGTAGAATGTTTAACTTTGATGTAGATGTTCATTAGGTAAATATCTTGATTAACGTTTTGAGCTAAAGCTAAGCAGACCTAAGCAATTTCATCGGTCGATGCTTTGGGACAAGATAACCTTGATTCAATCTGATAGAGAGTGATGAAACTTAGTGTATAGTTTGAATGCTCGACACTTTTAAAAAAAATAAATGTGCGATTAATTAATATGGAAACATGGAAATCAGGATACTAAAAACCGGTCGCCACATCCTACATACGACCCATGCATCTTTTCTTACTACATATTTCTGTAGACTTGTGATCATCTAGAATTTGCCTCTAGCTGTCTTTACTTCTGCTTCATGTTGTGTATTTACTTCTTACTGGTTTCTTAAGACGTTTGTCTTCCTCAGTTATAACAATGCAACAGTTCGTTTTTACATTTTATATAGCATAGCCGAATACATGTATACAAGCATAGCACAGATTACAATACTAGCTAAAACCATTTCTCCATCCTAGCCAGATGTCTAGGAACTGAGATGGAACCTCTCTGGAATCTAATGGAAGTCTGCTTGAAAGTTTCAAATAGATATCTTATATAGCACTCACGCATATCACATATAACAGAGCGCATTCATGGCCCTGAACTTGTGTAATTTTAACAAAATGATTGGTTAAATTAAACCCAATGACACAATAGTACTTTTCCTTGCACATGTGCTCTCTGTGGTATTTTATAGACACATGTTTTGGCTAAATAACTCTTTTTTATAGAACAATATGTCATTTATACCCTAAGTTGATTTAAGTACATGTGAATATGTGTGAAACTATTAATTTGCCAAATATATTAATTAATGAAATATAAAGTCATCTTATTTCTCTATTCTTTGTCTATAAATTTAAAAACAATGTCGCCCCGACTATATTGCTACATTTCGGCAGGGGACATCAGCCTCACTGTTGGCTTGTTATAATATATATCACAATAACCATCACAAAACTCCAATCTGCCCCCTTTCTATAAGTGTAGAAAAACAAGTTCAGGTTTTTGTAAGAAATGTTGTAATTTATTGTCAAGTAGGGTCCAATTAATTTCTTTTATGGGCATCTTTTAAGTTCAAAAGGATTAAATGGCTGTAATATCTGTTTATTGTATAGCTGACTTCTAATGAACTGACGTGACAAGGAGTAGGATCCCCTGTCCAACCTCGTGGGTTTTCTCCGGCTCCTCCCACTGCTAAAGACCCCTACGCACAAGCAAATTATTGAAATCAAATGGAACCTTGATAGTGCGCGCTGTATCATAAGTCCTGTCATTGAGTCAACTGGCATGGTTTTGATTCCCCATTTGTACGTGACAAGGAGTAGGGTTGCCTGTCCAACCTCGTGGGTTTTCTCTGGGTCATCCTGTTTCCTCCCACTGCTAAAGACCACTACGCTCAAGCAGATTATTGAAACAAAATTGAACCATGTGTTAGTCCCGAAATGACCTAGTTTGTGTCGAGTGGATGTTAAACCCCAGTTCTCTCTCTCTCTCCCTCTCTGTGTATATATATTTATAATGATGAACAATACTTTGCTTTAGATCAAGTCTAATCTAACTTGTACTGACTATGATGGACACCCCTTTGCTTCTATCATATTGACTGTTGATAATTTGGAACATGCTTTTGAGTGGAAGTAACAATTTTATTCTCATAAGCTTATAATTTAACAGCCATTGTTGCATTAATAAAAGTAAATAATAGCACTGCAAATGGCCCAGTCATGCCAATTGGAATCTAGGAACTATTTAACCTAATATGGACCCTGGAATGGTAGCAGGCAGGTGCTAACTGACGGCCATGTTGCCTCCTAGATCTTGAAAAGGGTTGACTATATATTGTACTGTACTGTATATTAAGGATTTCCAAATTTTCCTTACGTTCCATCATTATCAGCTCTTCATAGGCTTTTAGTTTGGTATACAATCCTGTTTTATGACTCTGCTTGTCGTTTATATTAAAATATGTTTAGTGATTGTATTGGGTTTGGCTCTCTTCTTTTGTTCCGCTCTTGTTTTCAATGTAGAAGACTTTGGATGATATTGAGTTAGAGACTTAGTTACTTTAAGAGTGACCAGGTTACTTACTGAAGCGACAAAAAAATACAAAACAGAAGAATCGAGATTCAATATGCGAATTAAGAGAAGGTGAATCGCCATATTTCGATTCAATGATATATCGTGTCAGCACTATTTTATATTACTAGTTGTACTTGAATGCACTAAGAGAACACTGGTCGAAACTTGGTATATTTATCACAATCCAGTGATTGTATTCCATATAAGTGGTCATTATATATTTTCAGATGCTATTAAATTTTATGCCATGTACTTAAAATGTTTCTTGTAGTTTTATGAGCAATAAACCAATATTTGACAACTGGTGCCAAGAGGACTGGTTGATTGAGTCTAATCAAGACTAGAATTCATACAGATGCACTTAGGAGATTGGAGATTGAAAAAAAAAATATGTAGGTCTATAACAGATAGGCTTGCTCTTAAATTCTTTAAACTTATATGAAGTACCTAAGTGTGTGAAAAACATACCTTACCATTTATTATGAATATGTGACTTGTGATATTATTTAAACATTATATTTCATATAAACTATGAGGTATAGTACATGAAGGTGGGATTGAAGTAGACTAGAGTATTTATTTTGTGCATTGAAAACAGTCTGACTGTGTTTATTTAGTAAATTTTTATTATGGCAGGAATTTGGTATTAGCAACTGAGTGCATAACAATGTTCATTACATGTATGTCTAAAATCGCAAAGTTACCTTTAACTTCTTATTAAACATTCAAGCTTAAAATTTTTTTCAAAACTTAAGTGGCAAAGTGGGGGTTGTTCATTAGGTTATAATCAAAACTCTTATCATTTGACAGAAGTTATGTACATGAACAAAGAAATTCTGTGTTATTTTAAACTACAATCACAACATACTTGGTCATTCTGCTAACAGATTAAGTCTTATAATTTAATACTCTATGTTTTTTCAAGGATCATAATAGAAATATGGATAGGAATCTATTCAAGTATTAGTTTACCAAGTTTGATTTGAATTTATCAAAAGGGTCATCATATTAAATAACAACAGTATAGTGTAATTTGGCTACAACACTGTTCAGTGTTTAGTTCAGTTAAGTTAACCTTAAAATAGAAATTAATCTAAAATAGGAAATTATCATGAGCATCTAATTGATTAGAAAATGTCTACATCAATACATATTTCTACATACATTGTATTTCTACTTAACCTAAAGTAGATTTTACCCTTTTTACATAATCTAAATTATATGTACTTGTCTCATCATATTGTCATCTTCCATCAACCTGTTTGTCTCAAACTCTCATCCCATCTACCTGTTTGTCTCTTACTCTCATCCAATCAACAAGTTTGTCTCTTACTCTCATCCAATCTACAACTTTGTCTCATCATATTAATTGTTTGTTCTTGTCTCATCCTTTATCAATGTTATGCTTATGTTGACTGTTTTTTTGGGGTTTTTTTTTTCATTTTCTGAATCTTAACAGTTTAAAAAAAAAATCCATTTCTATTTCCAAGACGGATATAAATTTAATTTATTGAATTATAGGAAGGTTACCCTTTTTGACAAGCAAATTTAGAAGACATTATAATTCGCATGAATTATTTTCAAAATTGTCATAGTTTTTAATCATGTGATGCACTGTGTGATATCAACTATTTCATTTGTTTAGACAGATTATTTTGGAACAAATACCAAGTTGATTTACGGAGGTGTTTTGCTTGAACTTATTGGCAAGTTGTCAAGAAACCCCTTAAAGCTACCTGTTAATGTTGTATGACATGTATATAGGTTGTATATAGACCTACTATATCTATTGAATATTTTATAACTGAGTGGTAACACTACAAACAGAACTCGTTAGATATAATCTCTATAATTCTAGCTTATAAACCATTGATTTAAAAGTTGCATGTATAATTCTTCTTTACACCAGTTAGTAACATTACGGGAGATCATATCCCTGCTGTGTGGTCAGACATACTTGGCAACATGTAAACAAATTATTTTAGAATGTAAATCTACTGATAAAGTGAGCATGTAGCTTTATTTCCCATTATAAATTACAAGAGATTAATAGCCAGATGGATCAGATCAACCAATAATTAGATTTATCATCCATATTTCAAATCAAACTGCCCACAATAATAGCAACATGATGCTAGGTCCTAGAACATACAGGAGAGTGGGGATGACACTTTTGGGTTTATTCACATTTATGCAACTACTAATGCACTTGTCTCTGAACTTAAGAATGGAAAATAAACTTTAACTTATTAGCTGTAATACAGCTAGGTAGTTATATTATTCTTTGTGTTGAACCACTTTTTGGAGGGATAGTAAAATGTCTAGATTTTACCCCATTAGCAAGGAGAAACCGGTCACCACTTGGGGGGAGGGATACTTTGGAAAAATGGAGGAGGATTGGACAAATTGAAAAGATTTCTTTCACAGTTTTGTTGTATTTATTCCAAAAATTCTGTTAACAATAAAGTTAACACAATAGTGATAAATTTAGAACTGAGGCATATTTTAACATAGCTGGACAGAAATAAATGAACATATTCAAAAAGAATTAACTGATATTTCTAATGCCTTAAAGCCTCTTGTTATTCTCTAGGTATGACATCAATCCATAATTTACATTGAAAATGCTAACGAATGTTTATTCCAGCAAATGACACACCAAATTTGTAGTAATAACTCATCCCCTTTGTTGCTACTGGACAAGGGTTTCGGAAGAATTGACAGAATTTGATTAAATGGAAGTAAATCAGTACCCATAGTTTCAGTAAACCTAAAAGACCCGATAACTGCCAGTCATCATTCTTTTTTTTCGTCAAATCTGACTCTTGGAAATACTTAACAGTTTCATCTGGATGCTTGTGGGGTAATTCCGGACAAGTGTCTGGATGTACCCCAAACCTATAATTCTGATGTAAACAGCCATTATGTTTATTTACAATGGACATGTGATAAAATTTCTATCTATTTCTATTGATTAGCAAATGAAGAAAGGTGACAGCGTAACTCAAAAAAAAACTTGTTAAACACCAAATTAATTTAACCATTTTACTTTAGAAATATTTTACATCAACTTTGTCAAAAATAGAAAAAAGCTTATCAACATCTACATTTGAATGTTTTTATCTGCCATGTGTTTTCCATCCCCGCTCTCCCCTACCTACATGTAGGCTTACCAGGTTATTTTACAAAAATTTAAATTCATTAATACTGCTATCCTGGAATTGCCTCATGTTGAATTTCTGCAGGCCTTTTTTCTGTGGAAATGGATCATAGCAAGCCCCTTCACTTTGTTCACTTTCTATTTATTGCACTTTGAATTTGTTTTTGTGGTTATTGTTGTTGAATTTACTTTAAGTGATTATAATTTGAATTCCATCCTTTGATAAAACTTCCATTAGAAGATTGCTCCTATATGACTTGTTTCAGACAACTTGCATCCTTGGATAGCCATAGAATTTTTCAATAAAAGGTCATTTAACAGGGGTGTGGTTTAATGACACTTATAAAAAAGACTTTTGGACTCTTGTTGCCAGAACAGTTCTGCCCCCCAATATTCAATACCTGTAACTTAACTGTAAGGCTTGGATAAGCCAGTAATTCAAGAAATAAGGATTCATTCCTGAAGTTTGCCAAGTTTTGACAATTTTTTTAAAACCTCATGAGTTAGGGTTTACACTGGTGCAGGAAAAGTTAAAAACTGTCAAATCAGTATTAAAGGTCTTAATTGATTTTACTGGTATAAATACTATATTTTGATGATTTTTTGTCATTTTCAGCAATTACGTCACGATCATTTAGTTAATTTATTAGAAGTGTTTAGAAGGAAGAAGAGACTATATTTAGTGTTTGAATTTGTTGATCACACAGTTTTAGATGAACTTGAAAAGTGTCCAAACGGATTAGATGAAAATACAGTTAGAAAAATATTATATCAAGTGTTAAAAGGAATAGAGTTTTGTCATTTACATAATGTAAGTATAGAATAATTTAGATTAATCATTTGGGTTTTGCAAAAAAATGAAAATAAAAATATTATTATAGTTTATAATTAAACAACTGGTGTATTAGTGGCTATTTACCAAGCCCCTTCTGCTTCTGAAATCCATATCCAAATCATCACTGCAATAAGCTGTAAGTTCTGTACTGAAGGGTATTGTGCACCAGGCAGATAACTCATGATCAAACTTTCAAAATATGTGATAGTTTTTACACCATATTAATTCCAGATTATTCATAGAGATATTAAACCTGAGAATATTTTAGTGAGTAGAACTGGTATAGTTAAATTATGTGATTTTGGTTTTGCTCGGACATTAGCACAACCTGGTGAAACATATACGGACTATGTAGCTACACGATGGTACCGTGCACCAGAACTTCTAGTTGGTGATACCAAATATGGCAGGTATGTAATTAATTGTTATTCACAAACTATTCCAAAAGAATAAGGAGTGATTGATTTGTCTGGCACTCCTTTTTCAAGGAAGGTCTTTTTTATCAGTAGGAGTAATGCATGACTCTTGCTGAAATATATTCTAGCTTATACATCTTTAATGACTTCCAGTATAGTAGTTTGGTAAAATTTATGAAAGTGTTGTTAAATCTGTGTAAAAGTTTTAAGATTACAGAGATGACATAATTTCTATTAGATGCATTTAGCTAATTCAGACACTAAATTAATTATTCATTTACTACACTTGACTCTGACTTGACCCATGAGTACAATTATAGAAAACCTGTATGTTTTCTTATTCTGAATAGAGTATAGTCCATAAATATTGTCTTTGGGTTAAAAATAGAGTAATAGCTAATCTTAAGGAAACAGCAACATATGGTCCAATTTATTTAAGAAATCTTTCGTCTATAAAAGATGTTAATTGATAAAGTCAATCTGTTAATTATTTACTTTGCATTGGTTAATTTGAGTAATCTTATTGATTTTTTAGAGCTGTTGATTTATGGGCTATTGGCTGTCTGGTAGCGGAAATGTTAACGGGAGAACCATTATTCCCGGGTGATTCCGATATTGATCAACTTTATCATATAGTCAAATGTTTTGGTAAGTTTCCATAATAAAGCTTTAGTTAAATCAACATCTGTATAATATATTTATGATAAACCACGCCACCATTTCATATGTTGACATACTGAAACCTTCCAGGCTATTTTAATGGCCAATCAATTTCTTGATAACTTGTAATTTCCATTTTTGATGACATTGAGATATTTCACTATTAATTTCAATTTGTACAGTAGAATGAATATAATAATCTAATATACACTTCACACTGTTTATTCTAGTAGTGTTTGAAAATAAATATTGCCTGGATAATCAGTGTGGTATTTACATACATCATATAGACTAATCTTAATAATAAAAGTTCACAATGTCAGCTTTTGTCTCCATGGAAGTACCCCTTTAACTGATAGTATTTATTTGGTTAAACTTGAATATTTTAGGTAATTTACCATCACGGCATAAAGAAGTTTTTTTACGGAATCCTTTATTTGTTGGAATGAGATTACCAGAAGTTCGAGAGATTCAGCCATTAGAGAAAAAATTTAAACGAGTATCAAATTTAGCCTTAGATATAATGAAGGTAATTTTTATTTCTTTAGGGGACATAACATTTCATGACTCATTGTCTTGTTTCATAGTCTTTAAGGATTTCAGTTACAGGTTTTGTGTCACTGTGTTATATACTTGGAAATATTTATAGGACTATTTTTCGATTGAATAAAGAATGAGTTAGGGAATGTGGATGGGGTTCGAGTGGTTTAATATGAATTTTGAAATAAAATCGAACCTTATGTTAGTCCCGAAATGACTTAGTTTGTGTGGATTGAACTTTAAATCCCATTTCTCTTTCTCCCTCTTTGTCTTGATTAATCAAGAATGCAGAATATATAATTGGATCAAATATTAGTAGAAGTAGTATTATATATATATATATATGTATATATATATATATATATATATATATATATATATATATATATATATATATATATATATATTGAAATTGACCCATTACAATTTGTATTAAACAATTTATACAATGGTATGAAATTGTAGTCAGTGTTTATATACCCCCACAAGACTATTAAATAAATACAAAATATTTTACAGTTGAAAGTCCAGTAAATAATGTTTTTATAGACACACCTAACTGATATATGATACTGTTTTCAGATACTCGACAATTTTACATGTCAAAGAAAATGTCTGGGTTGAACTAAAGGCGACTTTGACCTATGTTTTATGTACTGTTAAATAACTTCCATGTTGTAAATTAATCCAGTGTTTTATAGTTCACCATTCAAAGCATTGTTGACATTTTGTATTGACTGCTAAAGGATGGAATTGATACCATTCAATTGATTTTATGGTGTCTGCCCAGGCAGTCAGTTTGCCTACTATTGATGGTTTAGCTAAGGGCCCTTATATATCAGTCATATTTGCCACTCTCAAAACACATAGAAATATTTATAAAATTGGAAAAAAATAGATCAAAAATGAAACATCTGTCAAAATTTTGAAGTGACAGTCCTGGTTCAGCTAGTCCTAAAGTGGAAACATATTGAAATTTCACTGAACCACTTTTGCAGAGTTACTGACCTTGTCATGGAATTGGCTCATAATCGTACCAAAATGCAGAGGTTCTTATGCTTATGCTTATTTATTGCCCATGACCTCAAAATCTGCTTATGGTTGTATTTTTGTTGCCTAGCAACCCTGTGTTTGATGTAGTAAATGGAGAAAGTCCGTACATTTTTTTAAAATAAATCCTATTAAGAAAATAAGTGGTCATTATCAGAATATTTCAACTTCCATACTCTATATGCTTTGAAATTTTTGATATATTCTTTCATTTTCCAGCAATGTTTAAAATTAGACCCTGATGAGAGACCACAGTGCTCAGAATTAATCAAACGTGAATTCTTCCAAAAAGATGGCTTTGCTCAAAAGTTCAGTCAAGACCTGAAAATGAGGTTACAGCGTGCCACAACAGATAACCCATTATTAAAATCTATTAATAAACCTGATAGTGCTACAAATGAAAATAAAGATTCTTCCGATCTGTTAAAAACTGTAAAGAAAAAGAAGAAAACTGAATCAAAAGATAAAGATATCAAAGAACCTGCCAAAGACACAAAAGATAAAGACAGTAAAGATAAGGATAAAGTAAGTATTGCTGTTCCCTAATATATGATGGTGTTGTGTTGTGCAGAGATTTTCTGTGTTTTTGTCAGAAATGGCTAGCTGAAAACTTATACTTGGGCATAAAAGAAAAAAGAAGTTTGCCAAGACATCATTCGACATCAATGGCAGATATGTAAAATGTGGTGAAAACTAGCCAGCACCACTATAATGTACCAGTATAACATTGGTCATCATTGGTGGTACATTAGAGATCCTCTGACAGTTGAAAATCGAAATAACAGTAGGTCATTCCACCTCTGGTATGGCCACAAGACATGACATAAAAAAATGACCATCTCATTAGCCCTGTTGAAGCTGAAAAGTAGGATGTTAAACCCCATTTCATTTCTTTATGTTTTCATTTGTTATTGCATATTTTTCAGGAATCTAATGAAGATAAATTAAAGAAGAAAATATCAGATTCAGAGCCAAAGAATTCATCTAGAAAAGTACATCCACCATTGTCAAAAGAACAAACAATAATTCTGCCTGCTGCTCCTGTAGGTGGAGTTGTCAGTCAACCTATTGGCAACCAATCAAATTCTACTGATGACGTGTCAGAGAAAGAAAAAGTGAAAAAGGAAGAGAAAGAAAACGAGAAAGAAAGAGATAAAGAGAACTCTACGTCCCCGCAACTGCCACCCAGTGGTGTACCACCTATAAATATGACACAAGTGATTGGTTGTGGTACACCATCTATACCTGCTATAAATAGGTGAGTTTTATTATACTGCACTGACTGAAGTCAGGGATGAATATTGAAATGGACTCTGTCCTTCTGTCTGTCTGTCCTGATTTCATTCTTATAAACAGTTCAAGATATTATTTTGTTAGACTTTGTACACATAAACATAACAACCTATTATAGTAGTTGTGCCTTTTGCTATTTAGGAATTTCTCAGATTGTTGTGTTTCCTTGGTAGCAAATTTGGTATACAATTTTTATTCTGGAGCATATCTCATAAATTGTTCAAGATATCTTTATGCATTTTAACTACCCGTGACCCCTACTGTTTTATTTGGACATTTAATGTAATAGTGAGTTTGACATCAACATGTATATTATTAATTTTTAATGAGTAGCTCGTTCACCTGATATCACATTACTGGTACCTATTACAAATAGATTTACTATAGTATAGTATTGTCCTCTACTGGTCTAACAATAACATTACATCAAGGTCTACAGATAAACAATATATGACTGGCTCTGGCTAAATCAAAACAAAACTATACATCAATTTAAATTCTATATTCAAAGACCTATCAATTTGTATGTGACATATATACATTTATCTTAGAAAATAACTTGAACATGGTATTAAGTTAATGAAAAAAGCAGTTACCAAGGCAAACAGAACAAGACCCTGTAGCACCCAAGATATCAGATTTTATTCAAGTTTTGGGCTTTAAGCTTTGGGTAATTAAGAACATTAAGGTAAACACTAGAGTTCTATGGATAAACAATTACTGTACAGTGGACCCTGTCACTTTCGACATCTGAATACTACAGCATTCTGTGAAATCCGTCATCTTTTCTCGATTTATTTCCTTATTACTTCAGCCAAAAAAGTTCTGAGTAGTCCGGATTCTGAATATTGTTCTTTCTGTCTGTATCATTGTTGTGCTTGAAAACGACAATAGAATCATTGTTGAGACATAGCTCTGATTAAAATACAGTAATTGTTTATGCATAGAACTCTTGTGTTTATCTTAATGTGTTCAATTACTAAATGCCATTCAATCAGAATAAGAATATTAAGACAAACTTTATATTGGATAAATTAAATTTACTGGCTTATTTACATCTCTCATTTACTCACAGTTGATATGACAGATGTAACAATAACCAGAAAATCATAATGATTCCTACAATCAAAATACAGCTCATATCAAGCAGTGGTTATGAGCACAGTCAACCCATTAACCATTGCTACACTTACACGTGCTACACATAAAGTATTGTTTGGGATTAGTTATTTTCCCCAGACATCATTTCTTGTGTTGACTTTGAAGTATCCTAAACACTGAATGAGAGACTTTGTTTAGGAACCAGGTCTACGTTTGCTGTTACAATTTGATGAGTTATCTCAAGGTTTTAACTTGCAAATTCATTACTTTACATTTCCAAAAAGCTTATCTCCAACGCGATGTATAACAGTTAAAGATACATTATGGGAGATTTTAATAGAGAGTTGGCCATTCTTGCTATAACAGTTCAAAAATAGATGATGAAAGAAGAATATATTGGAAATTTCAGTCAAATTACTTAATTATGAACAAAGTTATCACCATTGTAATTTTTGACTAGAAATAGGTGTCAACTCTCTCTTCACCGTCTCCGAGAATGGCCGATCGTTTGATTGACAGGTGTTAACTCCACCTACATGATCTTGATTATCAAGTAACGTTTTCAATGGCTGTGGTACCGTTAGCCTATTTGGTTTGAGACGGGGTTGCAATTCAATTCGTATCACATTTATTTTTACTACAAATAAAAAATAAGACTTTTAATATATAGATAAGAAGCGAAAGTTTGAAAGGAATGGACCAAATCTATGAGGCATAATTATAGCCGACTTCTTCAATCTTGTTAGCCTGTGTGTACTCCCGAAACAGACAAATTGAAACAGGAAACAGTGATCCAATGGGGCTGCAATTCAACTGGGGTGATGTTAGCTGCGATGTTAATCAATTTCCATAATTTTTCTGTAAACGCAAGTGACAAAAGAGCGTATAATACCGACATCCAAACTCTCATTTTAACCACAAATAAACATAATATCAAGGCCGTATATATCAAACTTTCAATCAAATTGACTGACATGCGGCCTCGCTCAACAGCGGCCTCGCTTCGTACACTCTATCATTTAGCCTCAATCTAAAATTTCCGGGAGTATGACGTCAACGTAACGGTTAATCTCCGCTTACAACACCATTTAAAAATTTAATCAATCAATAAAATCCTGTTTAAATCCAAGCCGAATCCAAGCCATCCATGGGTCTACAGAGTTGATTTTGTGCTTGTTGTGTAAATAAAGATCTAATTTATAATTTCTATGACATCTGAAGCCTAAATAAAGACTTGCAATAATCAGATTTAGCTCTTGCATAATGTATGTTTAATAGAAGTACAAAATAAAAACACCAGAACATTTATCAACTATTTTGATTAATTTGTGAGGGACCTAGTTGTCAAGTTAATAAGCTTATCATACTTGTTCACTTACATTTGAACACTTTTAGATAATGTGTTCTTGTTTTGTTCAGTTTATTTATACTGTATTTGTTACTCTTACATATCCTCTTACAAATATAAAAATATTTAAACTGGGTAAATGTTAGAATCAGGAATTCTACCCCCTGTTTATTGTGTTTCAGAACATCAATGGTTCTAACTCGTATAAGGTGAATTTATTTTGATTTCCTCCTTGTATTGATTTTGTATATATCTGTATTTCTGCATTATCTGCATCTTGACCCATATATATAGTTTGGAAAGTCGAATAAAATTTCTATATCGGCCTGGTTTGCTATATTTTTGGTATTTGTGTGTGCTATGAGCTATATAATAAGCAGTGAAATGTGATTTAAGATCTATAAAACTATTGTTGAGATAATCTGACAAAAAATAATTTTTAATGCTACTAATACCAGCTTATATCTGCTTGACTAACAAATAATTACATTAGTATTAAATTGACTCAAAATTTTCAACTTAATTTATTTGTAGTCAGTATATACCCCTGTTGGTTTGTTCGGTGTCTTCTGAATTAAAAAAAAAAGATTTTATTTGTGTTTAATAGAAGAGTAAGATTTAAATGTACACATGTTCAGGGGAAAGTGGGAAATACAGTTTTGCTCATTGAGTGAAAGATACAGAAATTAAGCTCGGGCTACCTTTAATACAATGTATATATTTACTGCATGTTGAGTGATTTTTGAAATTGATTGAATTAACTTGATATTACAGTCCAAATGTTGCTTGTGCTACATCTAACTATGTATCTGTCAACAATTTAACATTATCAAGTCCGACATTATTAGGCTCACTATGGGGGCCTGCTTCCATAAGGTAAGCCTGCCATATAATCAATATTTATTACATAATAGTGTGGGCAACTAATTTTCAAAGCATGGCTTTCAATCTTATCGGAAAAAGATTTTTCACTCGCTGGCATGTTAGATTTTAAGGGGCTTTATGCCTCAAATCACCACCTACAATTATAAAATAATTATTGGAATTTATATCACTGTGTATTACATATATTCACAAACATAATAATAGTATAATAAAAGCGCACCATAATATAGTTAAGTTCACCAGGATTCAATAACAGATTAACAATAATATGAACATTTTCATAGTTTACAAGAATACACTCAGATTTGAAATTTGATTCTTGGCAGCTTACAAGATTTCTTCTCGAATCACATTTCCAACAAATTTGATGGTTTGGTAAAAGTGACATTAAAGAACTATACAAAATTATTCAATTGAACAAAATGTGGTATAATTAGACTTATTCTAGTTGTAAAGTGTCTACCTATGAGATAAATAAGCCTTTGTTAAACTGATTATGTTAAATCTGTATCTTTGCAATGAACTTTAAAAATTAATTACCTGTCAGATCTAACTTGCTCAATTAAAAAAAAGAAAAAATCAATGCTCTCTTTAAGTCAAGAATTTTAGATTTTTTATTTGACATTTAAGAATAAATTACATCCTTTGTAAATTATGTATTAGATGATAATGAGGAAATTAATCTTCTGAGATTCTGTCCGACTTCACTGATGTTAGATATGTGCCAGTGGATTGATTTTTGGATAAAAATTTAATCAAGATGCCAATATGGTAATTAGTTGAAACTAGCCTTGGTCACGCCATTTTTCTTCAGCTTTATAACATTGAATCAAGTCAACATTCCAATAAAATATTGATAATTTGATGCTTAACTACTGAAAAGCAAAACATTTTAAAATTTAAACCATTTGAAATAATTATATAGAGATTTGTTTGCTTTTTAGAAATAATTTCAATATTTATCTTCATCTTTTGTGCAGGCAATTTGGATTTTTGTCAAAAACTCTCAGAAAGTTTGACTTTTATGTCAATAGAAACTGGTAAGATTGTCAATACATGTTGTCCGAGTTCGTTCTGTTTCCATGGTGAAACGGGTCGTGTTTACAAAATGTGATGTCAATTGATTATTAATCAATGTTTGTACCCTGGGTGTGTTTTTAACAATTAGTTACAGGAAATATGATTCTGTGGATATGTGTTTACAATTATTTGTCCATTAGATACAATGAGATTTATGAGTATGTTAGAAAATTTGGATACTATTACTGCTACAATCATTTTACTTAATACTATTATTATTACTAGTAGATTACCTATGTAGAAATTAAACAATAAATGAAAATTTTGGTAGATATAATTTAATATGAGATATTAACAGGGTTAACATGTTCATTGTTTATTAATATAATTTGTTGAATTTCATGCATGATCTAATATACAGGAAACTTTCATATGCTTATAATATATATATATCGGTATATGGTGCACAATACGCATGCATCTTGTTCTTCTGCATGATACCAGTAGGACGGTCAGCCAATCTTCTGCATTTAACATAGCTATATTGATTAATACTGATTGACTGGTGATCTACAATTCCTATTATACAAAGGTCATGGAACATTTTAAATATTGGTATTTCATGTTGTAAATTGGTATTGTTTAATTTCAATTACATTTCAAATAAAAACTTTTGTAATGTTAATATACCTGGTATATTACATATTGATGTATATAAAGCATGCTTATATCATATTAATATTATAATAGAATAATTATATAATCAGTAGCATTATTTTATATAATCTTTGTGTATTGTTATATAATTTATTGAATTTTTGATGGAAGTGATGAAGTCTTATGTTAGATCAATTATAATATAAGACTGTAAAGTTCAGTGGGATTATGAGAGCTATGATTCCCCCTCCTCTAAAGATCATTTTATCCAAATCTGATGATGGTTACTATATTACTATCATTTCATCGATATGCCATTTTAATACAGGATTGTAAGAATGTACATATTTTTAGAATTATAAGATAATGAAATGGGTGTTTAATGGCACCCCTTTACAATATAAATAGAATTATAAGAATGTAAATAGATTAAGATTAAAGAATATACATAGAATGATAAGAATGTACATGTATTTACAGTTATACATGTATTTTATTAGACAGATATTTGTTGCCTCAAGACAGTCATAAGATGAAAATATAAAATAGGGATCAAAGAAGTATCACAAACCCCAGCTATTATAATTTATGATAATTATAATGTGGTGTAAATGTCAATATATTGTTAACTATAGATTGTAAAATGACCCTATTGCATGTAAAATCACAGCATGAATAGAATCAAATGTTACAGAGTGTTTTACCCAGATAGATTGTATGATTGTGGCCAAGTAATATAATTAGTGTACTTTTCAACTTTGGGTCATTTGCTATACAAATGGTTCATGTGGAACAATCATATTGCTAATCATGACAAATGTTGAAATTTTCAACAAGTGTATTATATTATTAAAATGGTAGAAAATACTTACTATTTGTACAAATTGCATCCCAAATTTTGAGCATAGACAAAAAAAAAAAAATGCTATGCAAATAAAAAAAGTAATTTGACCGTGGTATTGGTATGTCACTATACCTAACAATCAATCTGCATTTTTCATGTATATGCATTATGTACATAGTTTATATTTGTGTGTATTTTGGGTTTTTTCAGGATCAGTGATAAGGCTGTCAAGAAATCCTCCTCATCAAGTTTTAAAAAGCCCTCTCCATCTAATCACCACAGTGTCTCTATTAGTCCTCAGCCATTACAAACAGAAAAAAGTTCCTTATATGATAAACATACACATTATGATGGTAAAAGTAAGAAAGGTGGTGATAAAAAAGATGATAAAGGGTTGAGTTTCCCAGAAGTCAAGGGTTTAAGTTTACCAGAAGTTAAAGGAGCTGAAGGTAAGAGGCATACCAGTCATAGAATTGGTTCATTTTTATCTACATAAATATAACTTTTATATTTTGAATTAAAATAGTAATATTTGAAATCCTATTGTTTGTATATGTGTATATAAATGACAAACCAGTAAATACCAGTACACTGTTAATTGAAATTTACTTATATGTTGTTTTGTTTTTTGTTTTTTCAGCTAAATCTAAAGAAAAAGTCAATAAGAAATCTAATCTATCTATGATACCTCATATTACAACTTTAGATTTCATGGGTTCTTCAAATCAGGTAATATATTAAACTACATTATTTTTACAGCAAGCCTTTGTATCATTCTGGGAGAATATATTTTCATATTTGAATAGATCTTGGTTTTGGTTTGTAATAATATATGTATTGTATGTATTTTGCAATGAAGTTTGAATAGAGAATTATGAAATATGTTCAAAATAATCATACTTTTCAAATTTAACAGACTAGTATAACAAGCGGTTGCCTTATAAGACAGAGAACAAACTAGAAAAAAAAGTGATTTTTCGTACAATCAGGGGCCATAATCCAAATCAAAATTGTGACCTCTAGATGGTCCACAACCTTGATATTTACACACTTTAACACTATTTAAATTTGTGTACAAGGAACGGCCGTTTTGTCAAGCAGTTTCAGTCCTCTAAGAGAGACCACAAGCTAAAATATGATTTTCATACAGTCAGGGGCCATAATCCAGGAAGTTGCGGTCTGATATGCAAGAATATCAATAGGAACCGAGATATTTGGGTTGTAAAACATACATTTCAAGTTTCATCTAAATCGGATAAAAATTGTGACCTCTAGAAAAACATGATTTTTCATACAATCGGGGGCCATAATCCATGAAGTTTCAATCTGATACATGCCAATATCGAAAGGAATCAAGATCTTTTGGAGAATTGTGACCTGTAGAGTGTCCAAAAACAAATTGTGGAGGACGGGGTCGACAACAATATATGTCCACATGAAAATTATATTTTATTTAACTTGTATTTTCCAGCATAACGCGTACGATTCTGACCGTGATAATAACAGCCTACCTAATGTCTGACAGAAGTATAATCCATCAGTATATCTTATCAGAGTGAACAGAAGGAGAAACACTAAACAAGCAAACAGAAGCAGCATGCAATTGATCAAATCAAAATTTAAATCTTAAAATCGCAATATTTAATCAAAATATCAGAAGAATAAGTTCAGGATTCTGAAAAACCTTGTAAAAAGTCTATGTAAATAATGTACATTATTGTAAATATGTGAAATACAAATACTCAAACCAATATTTATTTTTTTTATATTTGTTGTTACATGAATTAGTGTAATATGTTGTACAGTACATTGAATTATGTAAAAGAGAAACCATTTTATACATAGTATCACCACTGTAGCTTCATACTGAAACATAGGGATCCAAAACTGTGTGCAATGTTCAACTTATATCTGTGTACTTGTGGACTTGAAATAGATTTTAATTTGTTCTCATCATGATCTGCTTGAGTAAATGGATTTAACCATTATAAATTTTAAGATTGATCTATGCATTTCTATATTCATACCCAAAGAATTAAATCTTATGTAACTATAATGAAATAAATGGGCAATAAAATGAAAAGAGATTAAACGATGTATATTTACGGACTATTTTATTGTATATTTATATTATATATATGCGTTCTTAAAATTGGTGTGTACATGTATATATCGGTTTATGTGCAATTATGTTGAAGTGTTTTGCATAATACTTTATATTTGAATAAAGGTGTTCTTGTACTGTTTTATTTCACCATGGCAGTATTAAATATTATCCATTAGTCCCATGTCTGTTCTTAATGATTCTATCTTTTTTTCTTTTTTTTTTGACAGTGAGAGTTGATGTCACCCGAGTTCTTTCTTAACAAGCTGGTAATTAATTTACCTTGCTAGTTTCAAATTACAAATGAAGAGTCTCAAGATTGTATCATTTTTCTGAATAAATTATTTTATTTGAAAACATTGCTGGCCTCATAAGACAGATCTGCAAATAAAATCTGACTTTCAACTAGAACATCTCTCATGTTTGGACCAAGAAAAACCTTGTGCATTTTTCAAGCTTGTGTCTCAATTGTCAGAGGTGGTACCTGCGGGTCTAACAAATGTGCTTGATTGTTTTGGCTTGGTTGAAAAAATAAGATGCACCTGTGTACACATTGGCATTCAGGTAAATGAACTTTTGGCAGTTGGAATTCAAATAAAAGTGTGAGAAGATGCCACTGTCTGGGCCAAATTCCTATCCAGCATATTACATGTAACCAAAGTAAATAAAAATGAATGAATGAAATGCTTTTTTAACATCCCACTATTCCTACACTTAATGAGTACTGGCATACGTCCTGCAGTATGCTATGAGAGAAATTTTTCCCAGACAGCAATTTAAGTAAATACATAACCATGTCAAAATTACAGCCAGATTTCCGGCAGCATTCCAGTTGTTAAAAGTGCCATATTGCTGGACTAAGAAAATAAGAAATAAAACATAATGTAAAAGATTTTAATTATATTTGTTATACCACCCATTGCAGGTCAACATGACAAAATGGATGGATCAAGTTAACTGCATTCTTTCCTAATTGTCTTAAGATCCATTTAGGTGGTAGGGTATATGACTTAATGTCATCATGACAAAATCTCTACCTTTATTTACTATTTAGTGGGTCAACATGTAGGTCACGTTGGTTTGTTTATAGTAACAATGGCATAACTTCCAACACATAGTTGGCAACATGATCAGACATTATTTAAATGTGTTTTAATCTCTACATGCAATTCATCTATAGATTTAAACTGAAAAACACCACCAAAATCAATACCAACATTAAGTTTAATTAACAAAAAGAATAGCTTTTACAGAGAGTCAACAGTATTAAGATTTGCAGCATTAATTGATCTGTTGTTTCAAAGGGATTGTCTTTGTTTAAAGCTGTCTATGATAAGATTTTATTGGATTGAATAGCATGAATCAAGGAATGATTTGAAGCCTGTCAACCCACAGCTGGCAACAATTTAGTGACACGATAACTTCACAGCATTGATTTATGGATTAAAAAACAAAGAAACTCTACAAGAATTGATTTTTTCAGGTTTTATTTCAAAGATAATTTATTGAAATATATAGTTTTATTTTCTACAGAGTTTATCTGTATTATGATATAATACAAGTTTGTTCAGATCGTCAGAAGTAGATGCAATTAAAATCCATCCAAACATAATAAGTGCTCCAGAAAATTAATAAACATCCCCAAATTGATTACCACGCAAGTTAATAGAAGACAAAATATTTCATCACAGAAAACAAATATTTCATCACAGAAGACAAAATATTTCATCACATGCCTGACAACATCATTTTCAGAATATGTTATCCAACAGCTTGAATTAGTTTAACATAGTGATGTCACAAAGATGGCTACCATGCTGGATCATGAATGGGGCTACTTGGGAGAAAATTTAAGCATTCATAATTGTCCGATACACTGGGGCACTATATCATGATAATTACATCACAGTAAAAAAAAAATAATAATAATAAAAATTTCTTTAAAGCACAAAATGCCATTAAAGCACAATTATCTTATATGTACACATATATTAATTTATTTTGATTTAAAACAAATGTCACAAATTTTTATTTAAAATTCTATAAATATGACATGAAACACTATGGCAAAATGTTTGAGGAGAGATATAAATATCCATATTATGGCTAATTTATTTACAAAATATAAGCTACACAAGCGTTCTACTCATTTGTTCTCTTGCTCACTTTCTTCTTGTTATATACAGGTAATATCATTAGCTCTTGTAATTAATCAACATCCAATCAAATTGTTCCTCATATTTAGGATTTATTTGGAATTTCCGCTAAATCTAATTTAAAACAAGTCAAAATTTATATTAAGGAAATTCAATGCATATATTACATAACAGACATCCCGATTTGTAATACTGAAATTCACAGCAGCATGATAAATACAATTAATGCATTAGTTTCAGAAAAGAATGCTATTATAACAACTTATAGAACAACTTTCTAAACACATATTAAAATTAAAATTATTGCAAATATTACGGTACAAGAAAAATATATATCGATGCAGCAAATTTGGTAATTAAGAATAAAACAAAAAATGAACTTTATTAAAATCCAGAAAGTTAACGATCATGGAGAATGGGACCATTTTCATGTAACAGGCAAAAACACCTGAATGGAAAACGGGCCTTAGGATGCAAAATGAAACATTTATGTCTTATAAAATGTACAAAACTAATGGAAAATATTTAATGCTCTGAAGAATGCTGGTTATTGTAAATATGTAGTGTATAATTATAATGCTTACCCTAATTACAATGTACTACAAGATCAGAAAAAAATGACATGCACGTGTTTGTTGATCAGTTCAGATCAATTAATTGTTTGAATTTACCATCAAACAATTCACATAGAGATATCATGCATGGTATGTTAGAGTAATATATCTAAAGCATCTTAAATAACACAAATTCTATCAAATGTGTAACAAATATGAAAACTAGAACCATAATGATACACAAATATGTCATATTCACCTATGATTGATAAGCATACAATTTGATGGGTTATTTCTTATGTCAATATCACATAATCTTTACACCAGAAATCTTTAAACACATCTCTTAGTCGTAAATATTTTAAATTCAGTCAAATGAATTCTTATTGCAAATATGGTCTTAATCTTGTGTTACAAATCTATTATACTATATAAAAGTATTTTAAATCTAGACAAGAGTTGACTAAGTATAAATACTATGCAGTGTTATGCTACATGTGATTATCATGTAGATTTATTGAGCTCTGATATGATATTTGTATAATTTCAGGCTTTTCCTGCTATAATGGTGTTATTTGTATACGACTGTGAAATAGTTCAGAATGATCTGGAGGCTCTACTATCTGACCACAAGGATGTAATAATTTCTCCTCACCAATAACTGTTATAGATGTCTCCTGTAACATACAATAAATAATAAATATAATAATTCATCAACCATCTTATGGCTGAATGGTTAGCGCGTGGGCACTGCATCATAAGGTCTGTCATTGACTCAACTGGAGTGTTTTTTTGATTCCCCGGTTGTACATGACAAGGAGTAAAGTCAACTGTCCAACCTCGTGGGTTTTCTCCAGGTCCTCCAGTTTCCTCCCACTGCTAAAGGCCCCTACGCACAAGCGAGTTATTAAAATAAAATTGAACCAGATGTTAGTCCTGAAATGACCTAGTTTGTGTCAAGTGGACATATAACCCTTTATCAACCAACTTCATAGCAGCCTACCATAATTATCTCCCTTTAATCTTCGAACACCATACATGAACAAATGTCTCATTGCTGTGAATTTGAATCAAGATTTTTCTCAGATTCAGAATACATTCAGTTTTTTTTCTAGGTATTAAAATCTGAATCTGAGCCGACATACTTTGTGGATGGTTTGAAAATATTTAAGAATAGAACAAAAAGGATTCTTAACCCAATAAGAATCTATATTTAACTTTCCAGCAATAAAATACACCTTAAATTTCTATGAATTATATGGCTATGTATAACTGTTTGTTTGTGAAACAAATTTGGAGAGATTTATCCAAATTTGGATTCTTAGCAATTAAACACATTTCAAGCCCCTTTAAGAGCCCCTCTTAAACAAAACGTACCTCATTGTTATTTTTTCCATTATAAAATATAGGTACTGTTGTAGGAAAGGTGCTTTGTTTAATATACTGATGTATATGGGTGACAACGAGAAATAGGCTAAGTAGGTATTTTGCAAGATTCATGTTTCTTAGACTAACTCACAAGACATTTTCTGCCACCATCAATTGCTGAAAGTAGGGTACTATCGTCCAGTTATCTTGTACACGGATTAGTCCAATTAAAGAGAATAATGTGTGACGTAAAGCTGTGCCCATACGAAACACTTACCCAAAGATAGGTTACAAGGCAACAAAACATATGCCCACAGCAGCAAAATCGTCCGAGTGGTCAACAAGGGCTGTCGCATATTTATTCCTTTGTAGGTAATTGGGGGCCTTTAATTTTTGTCGTTTGCGGGTTCACAAGGTTCTACAAATTGAAACAAGGGCCTCAATTCTGGTAGTAGTTTACAGAAATTGTTGAAATTTGACAGATTTTTCCGTTTTACTAATTTAAATAATGCATATAAATTTCACACAGATCGGATGATCACTTTTGTCATTCAAACGTTCACAAGGATCACAAAGTAAAACAAGGCCCATAGCTCTAAAAATAATTGACGGAAATTGCTGAAATTCAATAGACCTCTGTTTCACAAATTTAAATGATGCATATAAATTTCATACATATAAATTTCATCAATCGAGCACTAACAAGGTTGAACAAAGTGAAACAAGGGCCATAACTCTAGAAGTAATTATTGTAAATTGCTTAAATTCAATAGGATTCTTCTCTTTACTAATTTAAATGACGCATATAAATTTCATATATATCAGCAGATAACTTTTGATGTTAGAGCGTTCCCAAGGTGCAACAAAGTGAAATTGCTGAAATTCAATAGGCTTCTTTGTTTCACTAATTTAAATCATGCATATAATTTTCACAAAAATCAGGTGATAACTTTTGGCATTATAGCGTTCACAAGGTTCAATAAAGTGAAACAAGGGCCATAACTCTAGAAGTAATTATTGTAAATTGCTTAAATTCAATAGGATTTTTCTCTTTACTAATTTAAATGACGCATATAAATTTCATATATATCAGCAGATAACTTTTGATGTTAGAGAGTTCCCAAGGTGCAACAAAGTGAAATTGCTGAAATTCAATAGGCTTCTTCGTTTCACTAATTTAAATTATGCATATAATTTTCACAAAAATCAGGTGATAACTTTTGGCATTAGAGCGTTCACAAGGTTCAATAAAGTGAAACAAGGGCCATAACTCTAGACATAATAAAAGGAAATTGCTGAAATTCAATAGGCTTCTTAGTTTCACTAATTTAAATAATGCATATAAATTTCAGAAAGATAGGATGATAACCTTTGGTATTAGAGCGTTCACAAGGTTAAACAAAGTGAAACAAGGGCCATAACTCTAGAAGTAATAAACAGAAATTGCTGAAATAGGCTTCTTCGTTTCCCTAATTTAAATATTGCATATAAATTTCACAAAGATCAAATGTTAACTTTTGGCATTAGAGAGTTCACAAGATTCAACAAAGTGAAACAAGGGCCATAACTCTAGACGTAATAAAGGGAAATTATTGAAATTAAATAGGTTTCTTCATATCACGGGGGTGACTGCAATAGAAATGTGGACGTATAAAAACACAGTGTTCCAAAGTCAACTAATCATTGGAAATAGTTTTATACACAACGTGGAAGTCAAAGTTAGTTCCTAACTGATCGTAGTGTCACAGACTGTTTTATAGTGCAGTGACGAATGATAGTCACATCTAGCCCGTAGTGTCACACAGCATTATTACCAAAGTACTATTCTGCTTATTATCATTGCTTTATGGCTTCATATTATAGTTTAAATACTGATGATTTTATCTGTGTACTTTATTAGAATTGTTTGTTGTATACTAGTTTCAGGGTATAAAACTTCAATTATATGAAGATCAATACATTATACAACAATATAAACAAAATACAGTTTATCTTATTAAAGACTTACTTTATGAAATTTGACTAAATCGGATAATGTTTCATGTTGAACTTGATTAGCACCAAAAAACTGATATCCATCCTCTGATGTATCTATTAAAAAATGTTTTAATCTGTCTTGAGCTTTATAAGATATAGTATAACCCCACACACGTTCACTGACTCGTACAATAAAAGATCCCACAGCTTTCTTCTCTAATAATCTTTCTGCATCAGTTCTACTTATAATACCTGAAATATTTATTTTATTAACAAACCAACAGTGAGGCTGATTTCCCCCGCCGATATCCCAAAATAAATAGATGACACATATTAATTAATAGTACATTTATTTTTTTCAAAAGTATCAAGCAATCAAACTGATTATCAACTATTCACTAAGTTTGATCACATAGAACCAAAGTTATCTTGTCCCAAAGCATCGACCAATCGAATTGCTTAGCTCTGCTTAGCTTTAGCTCGAAATGTTAATCATTGAACTCAGTCAAGACATTCACCTAATGAACATCTACACCAAGTTTAAACAGTCTACCTCAGAAGCAGATTTATTATGTTTCAAAAGGTTTGGAAGACAGATCCTCTTTAATATTCCTGTCATCTCCAAAAAGGTCCAGACTTTTCATTTCAAAACTAAATACAATTTGATAGATCAATTCTAAATTTAGATGTCAAGTAAGGATAATGCTCCATATAATACTATACTAACCATGAAACCATTCTGCTACATTACCAGTATCTGGATCAATACCAGCACCTTTAGGTTTTTCTTCACTTACAAACCATTCTACAACTGATTGACGATCTGGTGGCAGTGGCTCCGTTCTGTGCTTACTTTTTCTAATAACATTTTTATCTTTTAAAACATTTCTTCTGTAAAACAAACATGTACTATTATTACCTTCTAGATTACAAATATAATTGAATTTTAATTATATTTTCCAGTGTATCATTGTAATATTACTAATATAGAACCCTAAACTTTACCAAATACATTTTACAAAAAAAAAGTATGGCACATATTTTCTTTTAGACAAGAACAGTGTCATGAAAATGGTGGATTTGCGACAGAAATGTGCTCATGTAAATTTAGCTGTAACTTAAACACGAATATGGACTTGACTACAATAGTCGACACTTCTATGGTTACATGTGTAATTCTCACTGCCAAGAGATATTCACATGCACTACCAATTTCTACGCAGGACATACATATTTTATTCCATTGGAATGACTAAACACAATTTCCTTGTCAGCCATGGAGGTGTCACACTAGACAAGTTTGAGGTCCTAGTTAATAGTTCAACCCAGTGATGTGATTTTGCCCGTATATTCCGGACTTGTCCGAATCTTTTTTCCAAACGCCCAAAATTGTCCGACCGGGAATATGCCCAATCGGACACCAAGACATGGTGAATAATATTCAAAATTCCGAAATTAATATAGTTTACTGAGTGTATAACTACCACTCAACCCGATTATCGTCGATAATACGCTGGGTTTATTAGGTAATTAAGTGATCAACGTATTTATCGTGTTATACCGTCTATAGTATAAACCTACCTTGATTTAACTACTTAATCTGCCTTGATTGACTGACTTAATCCTTTGTCGGACAATTCATCAATCTAATCTTAAACAGAAGTCATTTCTTTCCTTTTGTCGGACTATTCATCAATTCAATAAGAATGATTATAATTTTAATCCACCTGTTTACCTCGTGGTTTCTCATTTGTCGGGCATCTTAATCGCATTGATGTGAGCCGACATCATCTATGATAAACTAATCATAGATGTCACATATCGTAAGAGTAAATAACACCCTAAATCAATGGACAGTCATTTTGTCTACGATATCTTTTACGTCTTTTAAGAATCCATATAGAAATTCTCATCCACAGTGGCACTTTCCCTTGATCTCGAGCACGGCACGAATATTGCTTAACATATTATTAGGCAGTGCTTACTATGAAGCCGTGTGATGTGTCACGTAGGCTATTAGTCTCTATTATCCAGAAAAATATTCTACGAATATGTTGAAGACTAGGAGTTTCTGGGTGACCGAGACTAGTACGCACCCAGCAAAATAACAAAAAGGGGAGGAGCTACCAATAGCTATTTGAGCAGAAATTCTAACGTATTTGCAGGCGGGAATTAAGAAGCATGTCAATCATTCTGCTGTGTTGCCTATGATGCCTGTCACTCTGTCGTGACTATGAAAGAGTGTTATTCGCTGAAGTTAGCTATGCCTGTTTACAAGTGATTTAACTATTTCGGAAGTTCTGCATTCATTTGCTGCCGTATAAACGAAGACACGTAATTCTAAAGGAATATTATGGTTGTGAATTTGATGCCGAAGCAGGATCGACAAGCTTTCATTCAACATATTACGAAAATGCTTAATTTTGTAGGACATTTACTGACATAAATGTGAATGCCGTACGTGAATTAAGTGTGAAAAATAGCGAGGTCACCTATTTTTATTACGTACGGGATTTGAATATTTTGTTGACATGTGGTTTTTAATTGTGGTATGAATTGAATACTGTACGGGAATTAAATATGAAAAATAGCGAGGTTCACCTATTTTTATTACGTACGGGATTTGAATATTTTGACATGTGACTTTTAATTCGTCTGCTTAAATAACGATAAGAGTTATGCCCCTTTATTTTCGGTAAAATGTCCGACAAGAAAAATTTTGAAATCCCATCACTGGTTCAACCCCTTAAAACAGGAGACTAATTGATACATACTTTGGTGGAAGTGGAGGTTTTACGTCTGGAGGTAGTCTACCTGCCACCTTGAATGCATTGGTAGCATGTATTTTATTATTAACACGTTTTAACGATTCTATACACTCTTTTCTAGCTTGTCTAGCCATCTCTCTTCTTTTTTGTTCAGCTTCTTTAGCTTTCTTTTCTGTACAAATAAAGGTAGATTAACAATAACTATGTGTAGTTTAATGGTCGAGTGCGAGACATTAAGTAATATATTGATATTGGACGAGTGCGATAGCATGAGTGCAATATCTGTATATTAGGCAATATGATCAAATGTGCTCTATCGCAAAACGCCACTCAAGGTTGAACTTCATGGGGTGGCAGGTTGCAAACTTCTTAAATAGGTCCAAACTGAGCCACTTCTCTCAGATCCATTTTACATGTAAGTTACATGATGTAACTCTGCCGATTGCCAATAATCCCTAGGCCACCCTCTAATCAAAAGTAAACATATGAAACATCAAGCAGGGTATGCTTTATTGATGTTTGTGCTGCAAATAGTTTCTCTTAAACTCAAATATTATACATTTACTGGTAGCTTCTGAAAAACAAGCTCAGCTCTAATAGGTGATAGAGGACTGTACTACATTCAACAACCAATATAATATAAATCCAAGGACATCAAGCAGACATGAGGGGCATGATATACGTTTAATCTGATATCTAAATTGAATATATGAGCTAACCTTGTTCTTTCCATGATTTTTCTACTTCTTTGTTACTCTCTATAGCCATTCTCTCAAACATCTCTCGATTTTCTTTCCACTTGGAATAAATTTCTGTACTTCTTCTATTTTTGTATGTATCAGCCCTTTCCACAGATTTTTTGCGATTTCTTTCTTGAATATCCTGTTGAAAATATTTTATTTTAAATTAGTTCATGTAAAGAATTTAAAATATAGTTTAGCAAGCAAGGTAACATGGCCACACAAAAAGCTTTGTCATCATGAGGATGGTATGGTGGCAATAAGAGAGAGAGAAAGAAATGGGGTTTAACGTCCACTAGACACAAACTAGGTCATTTCGGCACTAACATACTGTTCAATTTTATTTCAAAGTTTGCTTGTGCGTAGGGGTCTTTAGCAGTGGAAGGAAACCGGAGGACCCAGAGAAAATCCACGAGGTTGGACAGGCAACCCTACTCCTTGTCAGGTACAACCGGTGAATCGAAACCACGCCAGTTGACTCAGTAATAGATCTTATGATACAACGTACACGCACTAACCATTCGGCCATCTAACCCTCCAGGTGGCAGTAAGACTGGCAGTGTTTTGGACAAATTAATGTCCAATCAACAATATTGACATGATAATTAGTGACAAATGATAAGATAGATTCATAGTTCTAAACAAAACATTATCCAATTCTTACTTGTAATTGTTGTAATTTCTTTTTTTCTTCCTCTTCAGTTTTTTTCTTCTCTTTTTCTAATCTTTCAGCCTCTAATCTCGCTTCTTTTAATGTTTGGTACAATTCAGCCTCCTCTCTTTTACGCCTGTTAAATGTAAACGTATGTATCAACAGCGTATTTGTAAATTAACAAATAAATTTTTTTATAATACTTACACCAATAAATGGATTATATCATTTTATTTCATTTCCAAATGATATCCTGACAGCAATTTCATAATAAAACTAAAAAAAATCTGGGATATTATTGCTAAAGTAACTTATTCCACCTAAATCCCAGAAAACAGGAAGTTTAGATCTGAAAATCATAAGTATATACAAAAATTTCTGTAGTAAAATGTAATGTATTTGTCAATATGCAAAACATCTTAAATGATCCTGAGAACTCTTTATTTAGAGTTAAACAAAAATGAAATGAAATGGGGTTTAACATCCTCCAGTTCTGCACCGACAGGGCTAATGAAGATGAGAATACGCCATACAGTGTACTATGACGGAAATTTTGCGCAGACAGTGGTTCTATGGCCTACTGTTATCTCTAATTCCAACCGCCAAGAATTCTTTTACGTGCATGCCAATGTATTCACGGGACCTTGGTTTTGCGTCTCATCCAAACGGCTATACATTTTTCTTGTCTGGCCCTCTGTCCTGCACCACTGACAAGTGGGAACCACGCTAGAAAATCCAGATGAACTTTCTCGGCCAACACTGGGATCAAACACAGGACCTCTAGGGTAGCGAGCCAACATCTTACTCACTGAACCACCACGATCCCGATAGTTAAATAGAGAGAAATTAATCTTACTTTATCAAGTAGATAATATTAGATTTTTTGAGCTGTAATTAAGGACATGCTCATGTTGTAATACTATTAATTTCATTATGTTAGTAACACTAGTGGGGAGACACAAAACCAATCATATAATCAGTGTTTATTAGACATGCTAATCATGCAAACACACATTTAATCAAAAACATCCTTATTATGCTGTAATCTGAGACATAATATTATAATATGCCTCTGGCTCTCTAATACTTGCCTTTCTGTCAGGTCGCTAAGTGAAAACAAATTAACATTTATTTTTTTTAATCAACTGGAATAAAACTCAAAAAAGGAAAGGTTTTGAAGACATGCAAATGATACTACTAAAATAAAAGCTCTACAACGCAAACAAAATTAAAAATCTAGCGGTACATATTGGCCTAAAATTGTATGAACGAGAAAATATTTTCCCTCCTGATTGAAACTAAAGTTTATCTACTGACCGTATTTCAGCTTCTTTTTCAGCTTTATGTTTTTCCAATCGCCTCTTTTCTTCTTCATATTGTCTCCTTAATTCTAACTCTTCTTTTTTCCTGCAACCATGCATTGGTACATGCAAGCAAGTTGTATAAGCTTTTTAACATGCAGTATGAAGATCACTAAGTCTATATTAGCCATATAAAGGGTCCACTAAATGTACTGTTATCACTATGATTTAATAAGATATAATAATTTGCACAAAATCTCCAATACACAAAATGGCCATTTTTTAAAATGCTTACACAAAGCTCTCAATTTGTAATAAATTTTGTCCAAATGCATGTTTTAATGGTTCAATGATAACATTCTGAGAATGATCAAAGAATTATTGTTTAGCAACCTGGGGTCTGTTTCACAAAATTTTAACTTAGATAAAATCCAAATTTTAGTAATTTGATTGGATAATATTAGATTGATTTTAGTGCTTAGCCAATCAAAATTGAAGTATCTACTAAAATTTGGATTTTATCTTTCATTAAGATTTCGAGAAACAGGGTCCAGCTTTCCTTAATTCAATCTCATGCAAATTAATCTGCAGACTGTCATGTGCACTATAATAAATAAATTTGTCTTGAAAAATGTTCAAACCCACATTGTGTTTTAAGTGTTCAATGAAATAAAATAATATTATGGAAATCTATTTTAATTTCTTTGAAAACACTCATACCCTAGCATTTTAGCTACTGAATTGACCTTTCAATACTAGGCAAAGATTCTCAGTGTTGTTTCAAAAAATGCTTTGATGCGACTGACTGGATACCACATGGGTATCTAGCACAGGGGTCTTATGTTGTAAAAGTGTGTATACGTATAAATTCTATTGAGTTGTATAGTATAAAATGTTTGAAATGTGTGTTCGGACAGAGAACAGATTCTTAGAAGTTTCAGCAATATTCTTATATAATTTTATCATCTTTTTTCACAGAAAGTACAAAAATATGTGACTGATTGATTGGTTTTAGGGGAGTTTTATTAAGAAATGCCCTGCAAGAGACATTAATGCATAAGTCTTTTCAGTCAATTTTTAGTCTTACACTTTATGGCTTTAGCCTTAGGTAAAAAAAACTTACTAATTACATTTAGAGATATGAACTGAATAACTCTCTACACTAACTGAATATTTGTCTCAAAAAACTACACAATAACTGTTATATTTATAGTCTAACACTTAAATACAATCTTCATTGACATACAATTGTCTATACCAATCTTATATAGATGTAGACCATATTTTTTTTTCATCATGTAAACTATCAAGGTTTGATAATGTCAGGATCATACTTTTGTTAGTATATTTGTTAAAGAGGCAAACTTACTTTGTCAACTGTTACCGACACAAGGTAAACTAATATTTATTTTGATTTGACTATCCATATTAGATTAAGAGATAATAAATAAATTCTATCTTGAGTCAAAATAATTTGAAATTCATGATATGACTAGAATGTGTTATAGCATCCTATTTTTTCTAGTTACAATTATATGCCACACAGAAAGTAACTTATTATATGGGTTGTGAAGTTTATATCTAAGGTGATATTAAATGTTTATACAAGATTGTTCATAAAATGGATAACTTGATAATATGCCCCATTTACTGAGAAATTATTTTTTTTTACAAGGAGCAATAGAGCAACAAATATCTTGGGAACCATTGGTTACTTGATGTACCACACCTTAAATGCAGTAGCCTAAGCCCCTGATGTCTTGGTAAAAGTAATTTTGCCTCTTTGAAAGATTATTAAAATCTATTTACATCATCTACACTTGAATTATATAAATATAGTAGATACCAAGTCAATGGCTTGTATTTTTTTACCCACATAGAAACCAAAATTTGTTTATAAAAAGCCAACCAGATTCTATAATTCTCTAGTTTTTGTTAGGAAAGGCAGAGTGGCATGGTGCTTTTTTTGTTAGATATATTCCTGTGTTGTTGATGTTTAATTACAATATTAGACAAAATAATCTTATCGATTTCTAAACTTAAGATTCCTCAAAATGTCATAGTGATATGGTTAGTGACCACAAACCACACACAAAAAGAAAAATTTCCCGCAAAAAGTCAAATCCAATCCATTAGAAAGAAACCATGAATTCAGAATAAAGAAAAATAAAAACTAAATACCAGTAGAGTGATTTCCCACACCTGAGGGTAAAAGGTTATTAGAATGAATTAGGCTTTACAAATAAACTGATATTTTGATTAATGGGACAGGTAATTGGCAAGCATCTCATGCATCTAAAATTAGGTTCAATTGATGATACATACACAAGTTGATCATATAGGTAATAATAGTAGGAATATATACCGTAATTCTTCTGCTTCTTTGTCTGCCTGTTGTACAGCTTTTTCTTGAGCTTCTTTCTGTAAAATATGCTCTATAGACTGGTCGTTTGGATGTTCACCCATGACCCATACCCATTCCCTGTTATCTTTACCAGTTAAAAATTTGACTGTTTTAACAGCTTTACCTATAAAATACATAAGTATAAATAAAGGCAAAAACAAAATCATGTCCATCAATACAAAGTCAGAGATTAATGTAATAGTATGTACATGTAGTACCCTGTGTTACGTTGACATATTCAAGCATAAAAGTAGTATCAGGTTTTGCTGGAACTCTAATTTCTCTAATATTCAGATGAAACAATATTATCATCAAAAATTAAACTTGCATTTAAAATGAAATGTAACCATGGTTAACATCCTACTGTTGGGCACCAATCAGGCTACTAAAGACAAGTGGATTAAAAAAAATAAAGGCACTCATGTTTTATTGGTAAATTTAAAACCAATTTAAATAAGCCAGAAAATATGTAGAACTTAAAGTGTGTACATAATTATGTCAGGTGACCATATTGAAACCTGATGTATAAATGACAATCTTGTCATTGTGGTAACATTTTAGCTTTATAAATCTACAATTGCATTTACATAATGTATTAATCAATTGCTACAAACAATCTGAATGATAGTATCTATTTATTCCACGTTTCTTTTATTTATCATTTATCCTCAAAAACTAAATATAAAAATTAGGTCAATTGACAATTCACAAAATGTACCCAGGAGGGCTGTATATTTCAAAATTGACCTTTAATGTCAGCTATGATGAAATGAAAGAATATGACAGTTGGAAGTAAACCTGTTTTAGTTAGTATAAAGTAGAATGAGATATTGATGTGACAGTGTAAGTCTATGTCTCTGCATGTATAGAAATACTGGATTTAACCTTTCCATCGACCTTGTCAAAAGTATCAATTAACCTATCCTGTTATTGTAGGTCTTTTTTTTTCTGGCTTCAAAATGAAATGTTCTATCAGTTATTATTTAGACAATTATTAACATGACAAGCCCATAATCAACAGAGACTGCCGATTGAAGGACTGGAAATCAAGACTTTGCTTATTATCATGACAGTGGTATAGGGGCCTACTTGACAATTGCGACTATAAATTCTGTCAGTTATTTCTTATCCAAGATTCACACATTCATAGCTTTGCTAAGAATAAAGTAATTTGACTGGAATTTTCAATATTCATTTTTCTTTATCTATTTTTGAACTATTGTATCAAGAGCAGTCAGCTCTTTATCTAAATCTTAAATAATGCATCTTTGTAAGTTCGGTTAAAACAGTCTGATGTTCAAACAGACTCTGAACTACAAATGAATTCAACTGATTGTATCCAAAGGTACTCAATAATGACAATTCTTTTTGTTTATTTTCCTAAAATCCGACTAGGCCTACACTCAATTTCTAATAAATTCTAATCTTGATAAGAAAAAATCTTGGATCATAGCCTTTGAAGTTATTAAATACCAAATATATGAAAGATAGGCTGCCAGTCATCAAAACATACGCCCACAGCAGCTAAGTCGTTCGGGCAGTCTGTAATGAGAACATTTGCAACACATGAAAATCTGATTACGAGTAATAACCCAAGAAGTAATTATCAGAAAACATTAGAATCTGTTTCGATTGTTTGTCTCATGACCTTAAACAATTTATATTAACTTTGACTTTAGTCTCTAGAATGAATGAATGAATGAAGTTTTGGCCTCTAGAGCGTCCACAAGATTTATCAAAGTGATTAAGGGCTTTAACTCTAGCAGTAATTATCGGAAATCGTTGAAAATGAATAGGATTCTTTGTCTCATGACCTTAAATGTATAAATTTAAGGTAAATCAGATATTAACTTTAACCTATAAAGCGTCAACAAGATATTTCAAAGAGATCAAAGGCCATAACTCTGGCAGTAATTACCGAAAATCACCGCAATTAAACACTGTGTATAAATTTAACGTCGAATATTAACTGTAGCCTCTAGAGGATCAACAAGATATTTCAAGGAGATCAAGGGCCATAACGCTGGCAGTAACTATCGGAAAACGCTAAAAATGACCTTCGGTTACAGTTTTTTCACGACTAGTGGTCGGAACTAGAAACCGAAAGCGGATGGTTCGGATCATCGTCTGTTCAAATAGTAAGTTCAGGGGGACTGCACCACACATAATTTACACAAAAACAAATATATGGACATGACATATACTCTTCAAAAAAATTAGGGGATAATGAAATGCAAATACCTATGCAGGTTGTGATATGATAAATAGTCATGGACACTTGACATGCTTTGAGAGTATGTTCACAGATGAAGAACTTATTGCCCCAACAGAACAACTGACACGCAATAGCGTCATACACGTGGGAGGGGTTCATTGTCAAATTTGACACTTCAAGGATAGGTTGATGAAAACTGCCGCTTGCTGGTTTATCCTATCCGTGTTTGCTTTCCTATCGGTTCTTGTATAAGATTTACTATTTATCGTATCTTTGATTTAGTGTTTGATTTGATCGGGAGATGTGTTCGGCGACGTCAACGTCAAATGTCAACACTGCAAGAATTGGCCGTGGCACTGCAACAGGAGTGGGTCAGATTGCCCCAAATCGTGATTGGACGGTTTATTAGGAGCATGCCACGACGAATTGCTGAATATCTGAGGATTGGTGGAGCAATTACTCATTATTAAGACAAAAATCAAAAACGTCCATTTTCACTTTTGACAGTGTATCTCTTTGCGAGTGAAATGGGGTCGTCAGATAAGCCGCCCATATGAACTGTTTATGTTTATGTTCATGTGTAGGCAATTGGCCTGTTAGTAACATACACTGGTCACCTCTAATAAAAACAGCAGTGCATTTCCACATTTTTTTATTACGCAGAAATAACAAAAAAAACGCACAATTCAAATAAAGTGAATGGATCAGGGACTAGCTGTAAGCTTCCACAGTGCTGTACAGTCCCAGACTGCCCCCAGAGACATGGTGATGTCGTTTTACTCTGCTTTAGACCTCGACCATAACCCTAAAAAATAACCTTAAGCTCAAGGAAGGTCGTCTATACATCTCTCTGTGGAGGATAATGAATCGCTGTGTTATATAGTTTAATAAACAAATAATACTTTCATGAAGTTAAATTTGCACGACTCAAATTAATTTTAGAGATGACAAAATTCCTTGTAATTTGACTTTACTTTTTGCATAGCGCAAGTTTTAAAATTATGCGTAATTTTTAGACTTACACAGATTCAGACATAACATACGAGACAAAAATATCTGATCATAGAGGTAGCAACCATTTAAAATTCATTCAAGATTTCCTAAAATCATATTCTTAACAAAAATAGATTCTTTTTAAATATTCTACACTTTGGTTTCATCAACACCGCCCTCTTGGAACTACTCCGACCATGCCACAATAGCATTGTTCCGTATTTTCAGACTATGGTCCAGACTAAATGAAATTCGGATTCCGTTAGTTCGACCATAGTCAGGAAATCACGATAACCAAAGGTTGCCCAATATATCCCTTTAAAACAGAAGTGATAAGATAAGGGGTAGTGTGTGATTGATATGAAAAATCCTTTGGACTGCAGTAATATGTTTTTGAGCTACAGACTTTTCTTACTGTAATATTTTTCCTTTAATGTCAATTGAGACAGATTTTCTATCACGAAATCAACTATTAAATAATATCAATGGTTACCTATATTTAAGCTGTGAAGTTTTACCTCATCTTTCATGTTACTATGGAAGAGCGTTACAAAATATATGACAACCCTAGAATAAAACCTAACAGCAGTTTAATGTAAACTGTTGAGGTATTTACATGTACTGTCATTTTCTTTTAGTCTGGAGGCCCAGTGCGGAGGGGTGTCCATCAAATGGGCAGAAAACCAGACCCACCTTTTCTAAAGTAAAATTTTGAGCAGAATACGATGCCGAGTGGTAAGTGGTAATCAGTCCACCGTTGGGATCTTGCATAACAAAACCAAAACACTTCAAAACCTGTTTCAAAAGTACGTAAAAACTGTCAAATCAAAATCTCTCTGATTTAGTTTCACAATGACTCCTATACATAATGAAACTAGTTGTGCGAAAAAAACAATTGAATAGTTTCATGGCTGAACTCCAGCCTGCAGGCCGCGTTACAAAGTCTGCCAAACTTTTCCCCGGTAACATTTACCAATACGACATTTATATCCCATGAGCTTTATTTGCAATGCATCCGTTGGATTTATCTGTGTCAATGTTCCGGCAAAATTTATGAAAACTCATAAAAAATTTGCAAACCTTTAATCACGTCATTTCATACGTGTTTTCCGGTCACAGATTAATGTCGGCTTTCCCAGATTGGGATTCCCGGAAATCCAAGCGGCCTGCAGGCTGGAGTCCAACCATGAAACTTTTCAATTGGAGATTTCGATTTGGCAGTTTTTACATATTTTGAAACGGGTTTTGAAGTGTTTTGTTTCTGTCATGCAAGATCTTTTTCGACGTTCCAAAGTAAATGTACGGTGCTAAGACCACCTAAAGATAAGTTTTAAATATTCCTTTTATAATTTAGAACAGGTTTCGCTTTAGTTTTTATATTTTCGCCAACATTTTATTGCTTTAAAACTTCCTAGTGCAAAAACGGAAAATTTAACCTTTTGGCCTCTTGGGTCACATAGAACAAAGGTAAATTTAGCAAGTTAACATTTTTATTGAAAGGTTGATTACTTTCGATCATTTTCAGCATGTTTTCACGATACAAGAATAGCTGCGCATTCACTTTCAGTGCAAATGACCTTATTTGACCTCGAATATCTCGAAAAAGCCCCCAACGGCGGACTGATTACCACTCGGCATCATATTCTATGCAAAATTTTACTCTAGAAAAGTTGGGTCTGGTTTTGTGCCCATTTGATGGACACCCTCCCGCATTGAGCCTCCGGGTTATTTCAAAGAAATCTGAATATTTTGATATAAAAGAAGTTAATTCTACAATGTGTATCTATATACTTGTAGTCTTGTACTGTACATGTATATTAAATAAGTCTTGTACTGTATATTAAATATTGATTTATGGTTTGATTATAAAATCAATAAGTGCTATACATTGACTCTATTCATTCATAAAATTTGCCAGTTTCTGTGGCATCTGGTTGTTTATAGCTGTTTATTTGTAATGGAAGTCTTTTGAAAAATGCAAATGAACACATTTTTATTTACGAATATATCGTAAACAACAGGTGTATATCCTAACAGATTGTTATTTAATATTTTGCTGCTCCAGCCTCAAATGTAGATTTAAATGCTTTCTGTACTTATACTTTAACATTTCTGCTTTATCAAATTTTGTTAGATTCCTTAAAATCTTGTAACATTAACTATCAGAATGAGGAACTTTCTTTCCATACAATTTGGCTACAAATACTTTGCATACAAATACTTTTGATACATTGTACTGAAATCTTAAGAAATTAAATGAAATGGGGTTTGCATGTTTGTTGAATTAACGTCCTACTCTTCTGCATCGACTGGGCTAATGAAGAAGAGTCAAATCTTTTAAAATGATATACCATGTACATGTATTCCAAATTCCATTTAACAGATTAAGATCCCATTAGTTTGACCATCACACTTTTTCTGTTGAACTATAATCACCCTGGAATTTTGACGTGTAGTTGGATTTCATATTGCATACATGTACTTACCAGGTTTTGGCGATTTTTTAGGTTTTAATTTATTTTTAGCTTCAGCTTCCTCCCACTCCCTTTCATGTTCTCTATATCGTCTCTTCTGTTCCTGTAATGATAGATAGACCCATTATTCAGATACATGTAGAAATGGTGTTATGAGTTTCAAGCATATCTGCCATCAAAATTACATTATCTTCACTTCAACGAGAAATACACAAAATCTTCTATTGCTAGTTGCTGTAGACTTTTGCTTTGTTTGTATCTTAAATCTGAATTGCCTTTTTATATTTTTGGAAATGTTTGTTGATGTACATGTAAGCTTATGTATCTTAAAAGCTAATTGCATATATTATATGTATCTTTCAATACAGAATTTAAATTTGTTCATAGGTGTTTTCATTTTTGACACATGATAATATTTATGGATGACCCAGCCATACAAATTCAAATACAAGTATTGATACAATATAAGGAAACCTACCTCTCGTAATTTTATAAATAGTTGCTGTTTTTGGTCTTCATTAAGCTCATTCAATAGAGCTGGTTCTATGTACATATCCTTCAATATCTGTTCCAACATCTTTAATATCTCCTTATATCACTGGAATATAAAAACGTCATATTTACTATAAACATTATTAAAGGTGTGGCAGGCGTATATTTTTTGTTTTTTTGCACGGATATTTATCAAGGAAAGAAAGGTACATCATGATTAAATTCTGGAACCAGTAAGAAAGAAAATGTACCCAACTTAAAAACTGATGGGTACATTTCTGGACTGCTCACCGATCAGACCAATGGTCTATCTATATTTTGTACCTTTCTTCCAGAATTGTATTTCGAAGAAATAGGAAGAAAATAAACAAAAAATATGCATACATAAATAAGTTTAATAAAAGAAATTCCAAGAAAAAATGTACGTTTGGAAGAATATAAATATGTATACATGTATACCCCTACTACGAAGTACATGAATCAACGTTTCAGTCATAGAGATTTGCAACATTAACCATGACCAGTTAGCTGCTATTATCCCCTAAATCCCACCTTGTTTTTTCTAAAATAACACTTTAGAAATGGACTTCAGACAAAAACACATTTCTATTATTATATTTACTTAAAGATGCATTATGTAAGATTTAGATTGGGAAAAAAATGGCCCTTCTTGCTGTAATAGTTCAAAAATAGATAATACAAAATGAATATATTGAAAAAAAATGTCAAAGTATTCTAAGCCAAGTTATCACTGGTTGAAGTTTTGACAAGATGTGGCATAGATTATTTATTACCAGTAGCAATTATTTGTGACTAAACCTTGTCCATCATTTTTAAATTAGATCATTAAATGATGATCATGCTTCAATTCATTTAAATCTCTGCCTTCCATGGTACAAAGAGTTGATTATAGGCTTGTTATGTGAATAAATACCTAAATAATAGTTTATACAATTATTTGAAGCCAAAATAAAGCCCTGTAATAGGCAGATTTAGCTCTTACATGATGCATCTTTAATTGATTGACAACTGTTAAAAATTAATTACTAGAAGGTTGAAATAAACACCTACTAAGCCAATATGTTCACAAATACATGTATTTCACTGTGATTTAAAGTCCAAAAAATACCATGGTACATTTACAAAACATCCATTATAAAGATATCATGAATTATAATATTTGTTTAATTACAGATCAACATATAACTTGCTGCCATAAATTCACCTTAGATCCATTTTTTTCTCAGGTATACATTACTACATGTATTTACTGGTAATATACTTCCTCAGTCAATTACCTTAATGCTCAAACCCATGTGATTACATCCTGTTATGTTATTCAATATAATGGTACTTTATATTCAGTTGATAAGATAATTAATCAGACAAAATAAACAATGCAAAAGTCATTTAAAGAAGCATATAACCATACATCATGTAGGTCAAGATTTCACATACAGATTTTAACTGTTTACTATTTTGAACATGATTGGTTTAATAATACCAATCACTACCAATTAAATTGAAATGACTAATTACTATGTTTTAGAGGTTTTTAAAAATATTCTAATAATGATTTAACCAAGGCTTTACCTAGCAGATGGTATCAAATGTTCTTTTCAATATTTCAGTACAAAACACCAGAGAGAGAGAGAGAGAGAGAGAGATGGGGTTTAACTCCACTCAACACAAATTAGGTCATTTCCGGACTAACATATGGTTCAATTTTATTTCAATAATTCGCTTGCACATAGGGGTCTTTTGCAGTGGGAGGAAACCAGAGGACCCTGAGAAAACGCACTAGGTTGGACTGGCGCCCCCTACTCCTTGTCACGTACAACTGGGGAATCGAAAGTAAAAAACACAATCTGTAGAGACATCTATATTCATCACTGTGTTTCTTTATGTACCGTACATTTAATTATGTAACTTGAAATGTTAATGGTAAACTAGGAAGGTAAATAATAAAACAATATATATTAATTATACTGATTAAAGATTGTTGAGAATTTCAAGTGTAATGCTTGTACTGGTAGTTAAAAATACCTTTGTTAAGAGAATCATGGCAACCTTTTAAAAATCTATACATGTACATGTATATTGTACTAGACCTTATAGTCTCTGATCAAATAATAATATCTTTATACAAAAGATTTCTCTTGAAGGTATAATGTATCAACAACACTTTTCATTTCATATCACATAAAAATTAATATTAAACATGTACACCACCATTACATAGTAAGTACTGTGTATGAGAACAGTATCATTCTTTACAACCTTAAGAATGACCATATTGTGGTTCTCTTAGATTACATGGAATGCTGATTTTATTATTCATATTATTATGTATATACCAGAGTATTGTGTATGGAGGACAGTATTATTTTTATTTACAACCATGAGAATGACCATGTTATGTTTTATTTTAGCAGTACCTTTTGTATATTACATGTAGTTGATTTCATTGAATTCAAGTATTACATGTAGCATAAATACATGTATGTATATTTCCTATAGGAGGAAAACAATTGATTTCATGCCCTCATTTTTAACTGACATTGAATAACGAAAACCCAGCAAAGCGAATACTCAAATTTATGTAAAGGGGCAAGGGGGGCGAGTGGTCATTTGGTCTCTGATTGAGTCAAGTAGTGGTTTCAATCCCATACTGGACGTCTGCCCAACCTCACAGGTTTCATCTTACTGCTATAGTCCCCCGGTTAAGTGCAAGCGAATTATAAAATTAATTGTACATTGTGTTAGTTCCAAAATAATAACCCCTCTCTCAATATTTTTGTGAGCACAAATTTCTCTTAGAATTGATATCACTACAGATTCTTTCAATATTTTGTAACAGGTAAGCTGCTCTTATTGTTTATATGGTACATTAATTAGAATATATCAGAAGTTGATGATAAATATTAAAAGTTAAATATCAGTATAATACGATATTCAAAATTACTTACTTTAATAATCAACTAGAGATTCATTTACATAAAGTAAGAAATGTAAAATATACACTACTGAACTGTAGGTTCGCTCATATCTAAACTTAGTTTCCACAAACAATGAACATATATGAGCCTTTGTTTATCTTATGACTAAAGTCATGTAGCTATGACAGGTAAAATAGGTAAAGACAGGTACATTACAACATGTATGTCACAATATCTAAATAGATAAAACAAATACCACATGCATATAATCTCACAAAGATGTAGAAATACCTAGTTTCAGATAAATATGATACAAAACCATGTCAAATATTTGTCAAGCCATAGTATGTAGGTATAATAACTATAATTAAATCCCTGGTTGACTAACAACATATATAATAAGACTCAGTATACTACCAATAAGCTTTACCCATTATACGTATGTAGGCTACTTACTGGACCATGACATGAAACGGTTCTGTAAGCCACATACTTCAACCTCATAATGACCACATTCATATATAAATAGGCTTTACATCAGTGGATCAAATCTAACAGTGTACAACAACACCCCAATCACATTTCCATTATATATATAAAAATGTGAGCAGGAAGGTTTTCTTTATCCTCCCCCAAAATATCAAAAAAAATAACAGTGTCTCATTATGTGTGTCTCAATTATTTCATTGGCCTTCTCTTCCCCACTCCACCAAAGCTATACAGTTACATATAGTTATGCTTGGCAACATTCAGACTATCATTTTTTTAAATGGCTTGAGTAGTAGTTTTGGAGATTGTTATGGTGTTTTAGAGTTGAGCATACAGTAAGTACATGTAATATGATAGTCATAGCCTGACTATTAACATAGGAAGCTAATGGTAGTCCCTGACACAGTTATTACAATGTATCATCTAATATCAACAGGGTTTTTTTTCCAGAAATATTTGGGATGGTGCAGTCCTCATCCCCATCAACCCCCTACCCCATGGAATTAAAACAAATCTGAGAAATATATTGTTCAAAATTGAAAATCTCTAACCAAGATACTTGATACAATTTCTCATGGTTACTCTAGTTGTAGTTTTATGATGTGTGAAATGTACAAGTGTTAGTGTAAATACGTGCAGTGTTTCCATCCTAACATCTTGTAGAGATAAGAGTAGAGTTTATTTGTAACTTGCTGCATCACACCTGTCTATACAAATAGTCAGTACAAACAACAGTTAAACTGTCAGACAAATTCAGTCATGTCATTTCAGACTGCTATAAAACAAAAGACCTAAGGGGCTTCTATCTCATAGAGTTGCACCATTGACTTTAAGAAAAGTAATGATTCATCAGCAATAAGTCAAAAGGCAGTATAAGAACTGTTTCATTTTTTGTTTACATGTATGGTACTAATGTGATTTATGTAACTGTATCCTGCTCCCCGTGGCCATTTGTATGCAATAAAATTGATCTAATCACTGTACACAATAACCTACACTTGTAGGGTAGCTTGCCTGTTCATTTAGTAAATGATGTCATCACCGGGGAGATATATGATGCTGAAAAAATGTCCTTTGCAATGAACTTCTCCTGCAATGCAGTTTTACTTCTGATAAATGATTGCACCAAACAGGTGCCACATGACCTATGACATATGATCAAATACATTTGTATAAAATATGTCTTACCCTTTGCATCGTTTGTAGAAATATGCTGATTTCATGAACAGAGCCATTATTAGGAATTTATCCTTGGTGATATGGTTTTTTTTTTAACTATTTGAGGATTAGTATGCTACTGCCTAAATTAGGATTCAGATTTCAATTTTAACATGGGCAGCTTTAACTGTAGCCACAAAAATGAAATAATTTTGACAGCCATATACAAATGAAACATTTTATTTTATTCTATTGTCAGTGTTCTTTGTCACAGGTGTCTTACATAAATCTGACATGTACATGCTTAAAATCATCTGAAAAAAATTACATACCCGATCTTATGTCTCCTGTTAATGAAACAGTCCACATATTCTAATTGAATTCTTTGATGCATGGGCTTAAAACAGTCAAGTACCTCTTCGTAAATTTTCATTTGAAATGCAAAGACTTCCTCAATGATCTGTTTACATTGCAGGAAGTAAACAAGAAACACTTTAAACTCTTTCACAACACATTTATA